CAAGAAGCACGAACCACGTCATAGGCGTTTAATTGTGCCTCGTGGATGGTGGTGTGAAGACGGGGGGAAGAGAACTCAAAGGTAACCTAGCTCCAGAGGTGTGTGCTCAGGGAAAAAGAAAAAAGCAACTTGCGAGTCGGCATTGAGAAATCGTCGAGTCAGAAATGGGTGAAATCCCACAGCAGGCGACTCAAAACTTGGATGAAAGCTTGAATGTGTGATGGCCATGAGACGCAAACGGAAGATGAGGGGGGTGGGAGGGTGCCCATGTCTCGTGCCGGTAGATTGCTTCTCCGTAGTTCAACTCAGCTCGAACCTTTCCGCCGAAACGCTTTCACCGAGGAGGAGGGCCAACGCCGCCGTCGTCGTCATCCGGTCATATGTCCTCCGTTACCCCGGGACTGCGTTCCCCGGACGAAATTCTTTTAATGACCCTGCAGCGGAATGCCGGGGGTCAGGGCGTCGCAAACCACCAGTCGAGTCAGAAGATCTACAAGGTTGGAATCTACCGGGCTATTCCAACTTATCCGTTCTTACCTGGCAATATGGGTCAAGGTCCCGTGTGCAAGCACAAGGAAAGACGGGTCCCCTGTTGGGCTTGATGCTGGACACGTCTCAACCAGGCCACGTTAACGATATTCCGGGGAGCGAACGTTTAGTTTTCCGGGCTATTCACCCCACAATTCCGCGCCTTACCTTCGTCCTCAATAAGCGCGGATCGGATTTTTCATGAGCCCATCTTGTTTTCTGCCGATGTTCGACAGTCTTGGGAAGACTTGTCTCCAAGGGAGAAACTAACATGAACCCTGTCTATCCCTTGATGAATGGCACCCTTCTCGGGCTTTCAGCGGTCGGGCTGAGCTCTCAGCCTGACGTTGCTTATTACCCCAGACTTTTTTTACGCCCCGGCATCTGAGACAACTGAAACCATCCTCTTCGGCAGTGAGGAGCGGCAATAGGGAGCGGCAATGAGGTCTCTGTCAGATTAGACATGCTGTCAAGCTAGCGGTAGTCTGCCATCGCTAACTTGATGCGGCATAGAGATCGCTTGAACAAAACACAGTCTATGAGCCCGTTTGGGGGTTCGAAGGTCCAATGGCTGCATCTGCTTCTGGTTGGTTGGTTCGGGTGCATTTGGTATGGATGCCAACTGAGTTTTGGCTGTGGTCACACGAGCGCTCTTTGCTCGCCACAGATGTCGCTCAAATTCAAGGGCGTGGCCACTACTGGGATGATGTTGCTAAGATGAGAGGCCTTTAGGATGGAGCTCTGTAAAAAATAATATGGGCGACGAGACAATCCTGGGGTGCAGCCATTACAGACAGAACATCGGCTTACAACACACAGATGGGATACTCGAGGGTGAGTTTGCCGAAGGAATGCTTGCAGACATGGTTGATGCTCAATGGGAAAGGCGTAAATCGGCAGCATCAGTAACGCATACGGACCGCAACATGGCCAGCTCACGACCTCCGTATAACGGACGCCGTCTCTTACACAGCTGTGGAGCAAAGCCCGGGACAAGGCCGGTCCACCGTTCTCCACCGGGCACGGCATCCGCAACTTCCTCCGAAATCAACGGCACGGTACAAAGGAACATACTACAGTCTCGCAAGAAAGATGGCTGCCGCTGGTATTGCTACTGGACATGATTACACTGTAAAAAATCTATCCCGCATACCCATAACACACTCCTTCATGGTAGACGAGCATTGCGATATGGAGTGGACAAAAGCAATGAGTAGTCGAGTTTTTCAGCTCGATGAATCAAGGTAATGACTCGTTCTTGGAGCTGTGTTTTACTAGCAATTGATCGGGGACCTCCAAGACATGTATATAGTTTCTCATTTTACAATCATTTCAAGAACTTGTGAGCGATGCAATCTGGATCTTGTTTTGAAAGCTATGAACTTGAGCATTGGCTGACATTTGGATACCAACAACTTAACTTCTCAAGCTCTAATATCATGCAGTTTCGTCGTGATTCGATGATCCTGTGTAAAAGTGGTCTGAACTACTCACAGGTGAAGCCATCGGTCGTTTCCAGCGCTTTGAACCACTTTGATAAATGCAAAAACGCGTGGTCAGGCTGGTCAAGTCCAGCTTCCTTGTGCCTTTTGTTACCAAAACTGTCTTGTTGATGGCCGTGTTTGATTCACGGGTACCTCATTTCTATCAGATGCGGTCCGCGTAGATCAGCCACCTTTTATTGACCAGTCCAATGTATTGGTACGTCGAGCGAAAGAACATCTCGGTTAGCATAATACAAGGCCTTAAAAGATGGGAATTGCTGTCAACTATCATGGCGGTGCCAGCTCATTACGTAGAAGACGCTCTTCTCAATCACCTGCCCGTACGGCAATATGCGCGCACAAATTACCGAGATGCCACCAAATCTCGAGGTTCGTGGCCGATCCAATTTCGTCGGCGGCTCATGTGATCTCTCCTGCATTGCCGGCGACACCGGCAGCTCTTTAAGCGAGGCAGGGCAGGCTGGGCAGGTGACTGAGCTCGAGACCCCCCAGCCTGGCCATCGCCGAGAGCTTGGGCCCTGGCGCCCAAAAGAAAAAAAGCTACGTCACCGCTGAACCACCTGTCGCCGATGCCTCTCTGCTAGGTATCCGGACATCAAGATTAGGTACCCCCGGCTGAGGTACGTAAAGTATCCTTTTGCATTGGGGCGTGGGGCAACCTTTGTCGTTTCCAATTACGACATTCCAGACTCTGAAAATAGGATACTGGTACGCAATGGCATTCGATAGATAGAATCGAGGGAACTGTAGAGTCTTCTCATGAGAAAGTCACAGCTTTCAGCCAGCAATGCCGAACCCCTTGGAGCGATATGCACCTCGGCACCTGACGCGGACCAGCTTTAATGCGCGATACCAGCTGCCAGCGCCCAGGCCGCCGATCCATGGTGCCCTCGTGACGGTCTACGCCAGGCAGGAGTGGGGCAGGGGAGATGGGCATTGGGAAGTGAGATGGATATGGGGGATGAGAGAAAGGGGAGGGGGGAGGGGGGTGAGACCGCGGAACCTACAACAACCCTGAGTGAGCCACGCGACATGTGCGCGTCAGGCCTTGTCAGGCCTGCTAAACGATGATCCGCTGTGAGTAGGTAGGTATTCATAGCCTGTAGGTACTAGCACGCCCTCCCAAGTTCTAGCCGTGCCAGCGGGCTTTCGGGGCATCGATGAGGTGACATTAATGACTGCCCTAGGTAAACATTTCACGCCACAAAAGCCGGGGGGGCATCGGGTGCGACTGCTTATCGCATTGTAACCAGCCAGCAGGCCAGTCGTCGATGCTGCGTCGCGCCGCGCCGATGAAGCAAAGAGAGACCTTCTCCTTGTGTCTTCAGGTTCCCAGTCTCAATGGGACTTTACAATCGCAGTCGGCTCCGCGCCGTGTCTTCCAAAAGTGCCTCTTCTCCCCCCCGACCGATGCAATATCCGACATTGAACACATGAAACCTCCCCTCTTTCCATCCCATGTTGGAATCTAGGGGGGCAGCCAGCCTCGCCATACAGAGTTTACAGGCCCCGTCACTTGACCGGTTCCCTTCCGCCGAAAACGACCTTTGGCCCGCACTGTCTTTTCTCTCTCTCTCTCTCTCTCTCTCCGTGGGGGAAGGGTGAGATGGCCAGGGATGGTGTGTCTAGGTCCTCTAGGGGAAAGGGAAAAAAAAAAAAGAAAAAAGAGGGAGTAAGCTGCTGCTTCAGGCTCCAGGCCGATGCGGCGCTCGACCACAAGACGAAAGGGGGGAGGGAAACGGCGCCCTCATGGTATGGATGGATGGATGGAATCACGAATGGCAGCAATGTACGGAGCATTGCGCGTAGAGTAGGAGTGGCATGCACGCAGCAACAACGCTTTGATGGCTGCGGAACCCTTCTCTGTCAAAGCAGAACGTCGCTAGGCCTCCGGATGACAATCCGAACTGGTGTGTGCTCACTGGTTATGGTCATGGTCATGGACGGAATTTTCGCAGCCTCTCGGCCGTCGAGTCCTCCTGCCATACGATAGTAGTAGGGGTGTATTCTAGACAGTCCTGCTCCGTCGCCACGCCTGGTTGGTTTTCGGTCTGATCTCTTGATCTCGGGGCCCCGGGGAACGGCGGGTCGGCTTCCAGGACCCGTCCCTTTTCTCACCATTTTCCGCAATGTCTGTACGGAACTTGTCCTTGCGTTTGGAAGTACGTATTCGCCGCTTTGCACTTGATTTATTTTATTCTTATTTTATTTTATTTTTTACCCCCAATTGGATTATTTTTTCGTCCGTTTCCCATCTTGCCCCCCCGTTATCTTGGCATACATTTTTCAACGTTTGTTCCCCAAAATTGTGGTTTTCCGTTCCCCTGGCAGTTCCGGTAGTTCGGTCCACAAGTCAGCCAAGTGCGCCGCAGGGTGACACAACATCGTTCTCCATATGCGCGCCTTTCTTTGGTGGAATCCCCATTGTGCTGCAGAAGCTCCCGATAGCTTTATTCGCATCACATCGAAGCTTCCAAATCCGCAAAAGCTGTCGGTGATTGTAAGTGAGGTATTGCGAAACTGAGCAGCCAGTAAGAAACGGATAACCGGACGGAAGAGCTGCGAGTCATAAGACGGTCCGTCCTCACGGACGTGCGAGTAAAGGGAAATCGAAATAATCAAAATATTATTAAAATAAAATAGAAAATACGGATACATTGGAATATTCCAGGAGCGCTTCCAGAACACCGCGCACGTCCTCTCCTTGTAACAAGGGGCTGGCCTGTCACGGAAACCAGAACACCCTCCCCTCGAACCCCCCCAGATAGGTCAATCTCCCTGCCACGTTTTTTTCCCCCTCCAACTCTGAGCGCGCTCTCGACTCAAGCGAAGAATCTCCGCAGTGAAAGAAAGGCAAAGAGACAGAGAGGAGACAGGACCGAACCCACCCCCCCCCCCCCCTTGTTTGACGGCCCCAGCATCATGGTAGCGACCACCCGGGTACGGAGCCGCGCCCCGGCGCCGGGCTCACCCCAGTTCGTTGTGAGCCAGCCCCATGACTCGCAGGGTGCCCTCGTCTTTCCCTTCGAAGCCCTCCGAGAACCAGAAAATGACGGAACTTTGATCTCCCATTGGGGAAGTCAGGCCCGGCCGGCCCTTCTTTTGCGACATCGAATCGACGATTCGTAGGTAAAAAAACGTCTCGCCTTTTTCTGAAGGGTGCAGATGTGCCTGTCCTGGTGGTTGCGCTCGGATGGGAAAGGCATACGATACGGGGCTGCGAGCCGGCCAGACGTTGTGTACGACGCCTGGAACAACCTGCCTGTCCTCGTCCATTGCCACACGATGACGGGCTTTCCTAAAGGTGAGGCGATTCAGAGTGTAGCCTCGCCGTGGGCTTAGAGACGGCGCGTCAAGGGAACGTGCATCGACGACGCCGCACTGAAGTCTGAAGACGAGAGCATGACTCTCTCATCCTCGCGTCCTTCACTCAAAGAAACTTTGGGGGGGGGGCAGAAGACTTGCGCGGCCCGCTGTGGTTGCCCAGCCCGGGGGGGGGGGGGGCGGGGGGGGACCCGCGGGGGGGGGGGGGGAGGGGGGAGGGGGCTCGCGGCCCGCGCGCGGCCGGGGTACAACAGGCGGGGGGGGGGGGGGGGGGGGGGGGGGGGGGGGGGGGCGGGGGGCGCCGCGGGGGGGGGGGGGGGGGGGGCAGAGTTTGGGACGATCGGAGGGGCTTATGGGGACATTCGCGGATTGGGCTCCTCCAAGACCTAACTTTTGGCTCTTGCGTAAGGCCTCACCGAGATTCGAGACAGGGGCAATTGTTTCTGTGATAACCACGATGTTTTTTTTTTCTTTCTCGATTTGATGGGCTGTGGTGGGGGGGGATTTTGCAGAGTTTTGGGTTCACACGGTGGAGTTGGAGTTGGAGCCGCGTCTGTAGTGTACGGATACGCTCTGCTGCCGAGCTGACAGGTCGAAATAGCATGAACTCGCCGGACCCGTACCTGCATGGCCACTACGGCGTTATGACGGCAAAATTAGGCATCTTCCGACACCTCCGTATGCACGTCGGTTCATGTTCCTTTCGGAGCCTCTCCGATGGACGGGGGGTGGTGGGGGGGGAGGTTTTTGGACTGACCACACGCGGCTCTCCAATTTGTCCCCGCTCGAGAAAAGAGGAAAACTCTTCATGTCGGCGGTTGCCGCTTCCCGTTCGGGACGTGAGTGTGAGCTGCTGGATCCTGCGACTACATAGTGTAGTAGAGGAGGATGGCAACTACATCACCAAGTCCACGCCACTTTCACGTTAAGCCATCAAGACCATGTGCCGCCCGCTGCCCATCCTCCATGGTTAACAGCAGCCTCGCCTACGGCCAAAGGTCGGAGAATGGATCGGTAGCACTGCGGCTCCTTTGCGGGCTGGAAAGGGCACATGGCCAATTTTCTCCACGCCCGTGATTCGCAAGCAGCAGAATCCCCAATCCTAGAACCTGTACAATATGGGGGTGCTTGGGGTTGACCGTTGCTGTCACGAGGTGTGTGGACTAGGTAAAAGAAGATTCGGCCGATTTCACAGTGAGGAGAGAAGACGGGCAGTCCTTGTTTGACTTGCTGGGTATCTGGGGAGTCGAAGACAGGGGATGCTGTTCGTCGGGCATAAAAAAAAAAAAAACATAAAAAATATAAGAAAAAAAAGGTAGGGGGAGAGGGGTGGCCCGTTTTCTCTCCCTGAGGAAGTGATACCACTCGCCTGTTGAGTTCTGAAAAGGGCACTTGTCAGCCTCGGAAATAACTTCAGTGCGAATGGGTAGCACATGGTATGGTTGCGACTCCAGGGCCGGTAGGCAATTATGATCCTTGCAAATTTCTTTTTTGCCAAACTTTGGCTTCAGCATGGCATGCCCCCCCTTTCTCCCCCCTTCCCCGTATCCGTTGCCGTGGTAGAAGCGAGCTGTCACGCCCTCCTTCAGCGGCTCTTTAAGTCTTTTGTGGGGTAGCTTTACAAAAAAGCATCGGGCTATAGCCGCCGTCCCGAGGAGTTTTGTCGGTCCATTTGCCGGTCGCCTGGGATCCTCCAGGCTGGACACTGCCGGCTCTTTGGGTAATTTCCGGGACAAGAGGGTAAATTGTGGAAGCAGTCATTAAAAGGGCAGTCTGAGCTAGCAGTACGAAATACAAAATAACAATCTGGAAAGTAGCTGGCAATTAAATCCAATTGCCGTAGTAGAGAGGAGAGCACATCACACGCAAAGCGTATGGGGCAGATTGGGTGCACCGTGCAGCAGGGCTTCACTCATCACAAAACCATCACGTGTGGAAATAGGAAGCTGGAGCCACCGGTCCAGACCCCCTCCGCCGCATGAAGCACCTCCTCCTCGTCGAACGCGTACCTGCATGCGCATGATGGAAATCGCGCGATGAAGAGGGTGGAGGGGGGGACGCTCTGCAGCGGAGTCATGTTTTCGGTCGTCCCAAGTCGGGCATCACAGGATATACGTAAAACCGGGGAAATACGGGTGCTGCGTAGGCACAGAGTTGGGGAGTCGTGGAGGGTTCAGCGAGTCAAACTTTTGACAATCCCAAGTCTCCTTACCGAGAGTTCGTCGGTGTATGGCTCGTAGAAATCTCGCATTAATAGATTCGGATGAGAGGCCCGGCTTGAACGAGGCGTAGATCGTGATCTGAAGACAAGAGGGGGGAGGGTACGATGTTGAACAAGGTTATGGGGAACCCCCGGACAGGCGCTCTGTATTCGGGACGGACTCGACCTTTATTTTTCACCATGTACGGATACGTCGTTTTTACTACAGAGGCAGTCGAGGACCCTGCGGGCTTTTGGTGGCTGATTCATGGTCCAGCAAGCTTGGGGCACTTCACATGTCGAAAATCACAGCTCTGCTCCTTAGGGACTGCACACTTTGCGACATCGACTGTTTGCTTGGGAGTCAGGAAAGGCATTTCACATGCAACTACTTGACACGGACGAGCAACTCACTGACGGTATTATTGGCGGTATACATTGGGATATTGATGAAGCGGGTTTGAACACCGACTCATGGTGGAAGTCTACCGGAAGAAGACTCTAGCGGCACGCAACGTTGGGGGCGTATGTGTATGTATTGTATGCGTCTTGTCGCGACACAAACCGTTCGAGTCGCGCGGATAGAGTGCGTGTAGTTGGCGAATCTGGGGTGTGGGGAAGAGAACCTGGGGCAAATGGTACATGCACAACGGGGTACAGAAGCACGGCAATGACTTGTTGATACCACGCAATACAATTACCTAGGAGCAGGTCAAACAGGCTTGCGATGGTGAAAAGCCAATATGTTCAATGTGAGACTGGACTCGGAGTCATTTGGAACCATCACCATCACCGCCAATAAGAGGAGTGTTTCCCAAAGTGACATGATGCGTCTTCAAAGTGGGTGGCAACCAAGAATACGAGGGACGCGTATCCGGTCAACGTGACTGAGCCGCACGGCATGGCGGCCAGAACGTCCGGCATCCGCACCGTCCAAACCTAGCCACTGGCAAATTCTATCTAGGCAGTTCGCACCCCCGAGTGCCAGACATAAGAGGATGAGGAGGGGGAAAGTCGTATCGACGCGGTTCTCGGAGAGGCTGCCGACGCGAGCGGAGTCCGAGGCTGATCCCCCACGCGCCGGAATCCTGGGGCAGCACCCCCGAGATTTGGTGATGCGCTGGGAGAAACGTCAGAGCGTTTGCGCCCGAGTTGCATGTGGTTCTACTGCTTCTTAATTCAGCGCCAGTGAGGAACATGTCTTTTGAGGCTTGGAGCTTGATTGATTTCATTTGCCCCGAGGCCTTTCGCGTCGTTGTGGCTCCAGGGCCGGTGCCAATTTTGAAACTAGGGGATGAGCTCTCCGGTGTAGGGTAGGGTAGGGGTTCAATATTGGCGTTGTTGGGCTTGGTTCACCTGTTTGCTCTTTGATCTTCATATCTTGACACGGTGCTAAGTAGCCCTTGATAATGGGAATCGATTGGTCATGCTATGGGGACTACCAACTGGAGGACCCATGGAAAGGTTCCCCGGGAACAGCTGTGGGACGCTAAACAGACGAGCCATCAGATCTCTATTGTCCCGCGGGTGAGCTTCCGAGCAGACGGCGCCGAAAGCCAAGCTCGAGTCTTCGATAGACCGGTCACCTCGGGGTCTTGATGACGGGGCGTTGGAAGCTCGCTGCTTCAGGGAGAGACATTTCCCACACAAAGGGAACGGCTTTCGAGCTCAAACGTTCTGTTCCGTTGACCTCAATTTGTCCAACCATCAAGAATCCTTCGAGCCTTTGTTGACCGAACTGGGGCACTCGTTATATCCGCCCCCTAGCTCACCGGCGAGCGTGGTATCATTACATGTTTTGCGGAAACAGCTGCCAAAGGTCTTCAGTCCTTGGCCCTGTCCCATTGCGGCCACTCACGACTTCCCCCGCAGAATCTCATATCCGTCCGAGCCCGCTCCTGTCAAATAGTCTTCCTCCTCCATATCGAACTTGCATACAAGAGAGGGGAACACAGGGGAGTTTGTAGAAAAGGATTCAGGGTATCACAATCTGATCTGATCCTTCTCTTTTCTCCCGGGGGTGGTCTCGTACGGGAAAGAGGTGCAGAGGAAGAGGAAGAAGGATATGCCCCAACAGAGAAGCACGGACCCGAACACTGGAAGCGGCGTTAGCGCCGTGCGTAGATCCAGCGGGATGGGTTCCCCGGGTACATCCTCCCGGGACCCCGGCGGAGCCGGTGAGCCCTACCCCGGAGGAAATGAGCGATTCTGATTGGTGGGCTTTTTGTCACTCGCCGAGGGGGGAAAGGAGTTGGTCTCATCTTTTTTACGCATTGTTGAGCGTGGCTTTTCTCCTTCTCTCTCTCTCTCTCTCCCTCGTGATTTCTCCTCACTTTTGTCTCCCCTGGCGTGGAGAGAGTTCCAACGCAGCGGAATGGGGGCGTTTTTGATGCATGGCAGGGGTACGTAGAAGAGAACTAATTTGGCTGGTGCGGATGGGCGGGCGCGGAGACGATGGGTGGCGTTCAGGTGTCCTCCAAGAGGGTGTAAGAGAGATCGGGAAGATACCTTCCTACTTAGTAGTTGAACGGGGGAATGAGAATCAAAATATTTCAATATTCTATTATTTTCTTTTCAGATTCTCTTTTTCTGAATTTTTTTTAACAAAAAATCTTTATTCATTTGACCCCCTGGTTAACTTGAAATAATACAAGATACTCCTTTTGCAATTAGCCCAGCACTCCATCACAAGTCATTCTCCAGCTCCTTCAAACGGACGTGATGGTGGTAAGAAGCGCTTACCTCCCACCAACCAACCGCGCCACTATTCACAACTCTCAGCCCACCATTCGTGTGCCATTTTCCCCCAATCACAAGTCGTATAGCAATTCTCATGTGACGGATGGACAATAATAACGCCCAATTGAGAGGCAGATAAATCAAGAAAAACGCATCACATCGTATACCCAGCCACACACACACACTCACACACACCCTTCGCACAACTCAATCGTGCACAACGAATGTCGTCCTCCCGTGTAACGCGCAGAAGGTCAGATCGGCGCTGAGAAGGGGGTTCCCCGTGGGCGGCAGTTGAGATATATCACCGTTGCGTTTTGCGGTCACGAGGGTGTGCGAGCCGCCCTGGACGGGGGTTATTGGCGTTTGAGGTCAAGTTTCTCTTGGGGGTTCTTTTTCTTCATATTGGGCGAGACGGATTGGATGCCAATACAGTAAGGTATCTACGGCGTAGAGTTTTCAAACTTGAAAGGGGGAAGGGTGAAGACGGGGGGGTTTCCAAGAATCACCAAGTAAAGACACCAACTGGACCTGTCACCACCCATCCTCTACTCCTTCTTTGCAGCCGCCGCCGCACCCCCACCTACCCTCTTGAACTTCCTCGGGTCCTTGCGACTCATCAGCTTGCGGTCGCGCGTGCCCTTACCGCCCTCCCAGAACCCCTTCCCCTTGCGCCCGATGACGCTCCGGCCGCAGAACCCGCACGCCTCTGGCGAGTACCGCTGCTCGCGGCTGCACCAGCCGCACACCATCCGGTTGGCCCACTCGTTGACGTGGTTCTCCGCCTCGTCGTGGCAGCGGTCACACGGGTGCACTTTTGCGCAGCACGAGAACCGGAACCAACGGTAGCTCTTGCGGTAGTGCACGCACGCGCCCCGGTCCGGTAGCGGGGTGCCCACCTGCAGACCGAGTTTCTCGGCCTTCTTGATCGGCCCCGTTGTCGGGGCCGCAAGCCCGCTGGCCGAAAGGGTGAGAAACTTCACCGTGGGGATCTTGAAGGTGAATTTGCCGTGGCAGGTGCGGCAGACGTTGGTGACCGCGTCGCCGCGGACAGCGACGAGGCCCTGGCTTGGCGTGGAGCACTTTGCGCAGACGGGGATGAAGGTGCTGGGGAGCATGTCGGACACGATACAGCCCGTGAGGTCGACGAAGCCGGCGCGCGTAGAGTTGGCGTGGACGAGCGTCTGGCGGAACTGCGCCGCGAGGCCGGCGGCGCATTTGCGGCAGCTAGCGGTCTGGGCGACCTCGTGCTTGAGGCCCGTGATCTCGTTGATGGTCTTGCAGCGCGAGCACTTCACGCTCAGGTTGAGGATGGAGACCTGGAAGAGCTCGATGCTGTGGAGCTCGATGGTCGGGAAGGAGATGGATGTGCCCCTTTCCGGGGTGAGGCCGGAGGAGAGGTTGGGTGGTTCGGCGTCGAGGTCGGCGCCGCCTTCGTCTGAGTCGTCTTCTGAGTCATAGCTGTCTGATTGGTCTGCGTCGTCGTCACCGTCGGCGCCGGGACGGCCCCATTCCGGCGGCCGCGGGATGACCTTGATGTGGCCACGGTCATTATCATCCATAGCCGGTGCTTTTGCCTTGGAATCCTTTTCAGATTCCAGGGTTGATACGGGCTGAGCAGCAGCAGCAGCAGCAGGCTTGGGCGGCGCCGCCGCCTGCTTTGCTAGGACGTGCATGTTTTGAGCCAAGTAGTTCACGTGGCTGGTGAGAGTCATCTGCTTCTGTCCCGCTGCCTTATGTACGTAGAGCTCCTCCAGGGGTTCGGCGTCTTGAGAGTCACACTCGTTCAGCTGGATACGCAGCGGCTGGAGCGGATACAGCAGTGGCACGATGAGATGTACGGTCTTGACACCTTGCAGTCCAGGAGGTAGCTCGCCGCGACGACGAGGCTCGAGAGGAAGCGCGTAGACGATGCCGTCCGGAGAACGGCGGTACAGAGACAGGCGTCCCATGCGAGTCTCCAGCTGCCGCGTCTCCTGCGCGCGCCGGGCTTTCGCGGCCGCCATCTCCTCCTTGGTGAAGTATTCTTCAGGAGTGTAGTACCTCACGGTCGACGCCGCCGGTGCCGGTGCCGGGGATGGTGCTTTGGTGATCTGCGTGGCCGGGCCTGGGATGGAGGCAATGGCGGCGGCTTCGAGGTGACGGGTGTCCTTCACCCCTTCGTCCTTGTACGTGACCAACTTCACAGTAGCTACCTCCTGCTCGGACAGGAACTTTTCCAGGTTCTTGTCCAGGGCGTAGGTGAGGGCGAGAAGGGTGGCCCCTTGGCGCTCGGCGACGAGCCTGTCCCATCCCCGCTCAATGTTGATGCAGAATCCGCGCGGGATATCGCTATTCCGCACGTGCAAGACAGCGGTTGCCTCGGGGTACTCCTCCGGCACGCGGAGATCGCACTGCAGATGCTCCAGCTCGAACGGGAAGTCCGGGTCGGATGGCTTGATGCGGAAGATGAGGGATGTGGTGGTACCGTCTGCAGTGGTGGATTCGCGGGGCGAGTAGCGCTTGCGCAGCTGGTCAAGCTGGTAACCGCGGGGATCCTTGGACCGGGCCTCCGGGACGGGTTTGGGGACCACGCGGTCGTTGCGGGGCCTGGGGACGGCCTGCTGGTGTGTGCTGCCGCCTTGATTTGTGAGAGAAATCATGCTGGGCGGGTGGGAATGAAAATGGGAAATGTGCTCAACGTTGGAAATTGTGGATGAGCTGAACGGATGAAAATGCAAAAAAAAAAAAAAAAAAAAAAAAAAATAACAGGCAGGCAGAGAGGATGGACTGCGGGCGGAGCAGTGCTTGTCGTCTCTTGATGAGCTAGCTGGCAAAGGCGAGTATTGAAGATGTTGTCCAAGAGAGGTGGTCCAGTACGATCTCGAGGCGAAGGGGCCGTATATGACGATTCTGCTTGCAGTGGCGACGATTGAAGATGGGTTGGCCCCGGACCGGATGTAGTGGAATCTCCGAGTCGCTTGGAACTCACCAGGGTGCCGAGACTTCAGCGGCGTTGAGTTGCGGTTAGTCGACGTGACTCATAACGGGGCACAAATCTGCCCACGCTAACGGATCTCTGCGAGAACCATCGGTGTTGTATGTTAGTGCATGCTCCTCACTCCCGCTGCCAGTCACCAATCACCTGCAGATTGGAGGTGTCGACACCGGTCGACTCATCTTCTATAGCAAGAACAAGCCATGCATGAAACCCGCTGCGCGATGCAAACTACGGGTGCAGGCGCCCCTTTTCCAGTTGGACAGTTTCCGCATCACAGATTATGATGAGTTCGTAGCATCTTGTACATCAACTTTAGGTACCTAGTCAAGGGGTTACCGGTGAGATCTGGCCACGCCGGTACCACAAGTCGGGTGTCTACGCCCGCGCAATTCAGTGAACGTTTCCACTGGAAGCTGAGAGGTTTATATCAGGAAGGAAGTACTAGTTGCTTGAAAGGCCGGGAGGCATCAAGAGATCGTGCCTCGCAGTCGATTTTACATGATCCCCGGCCTGGGCAACTGGACGCAGCCACCCAACTGTCAAGCTGTATGTGCTGGCAAACACAGGTCGACGAGGTGAGCCGCATAGCCTCTCAGGCTGCGAATGAAGAAAGAGAGGTCCATGATCTCCTCGTTATGTTGGATTCGCGTCAAACACCGCGCTCACCGGGAATAATTCCAGTATGGCTTTTCTCACCTTGAGCGGTTTGTTTCATCAATAACTTCGTCAACTAACAGTCAAAATTCATCTAGCATGGTTCAAGAGGTGCCCGTTGACGCTTCAATTGGCCAGCCACGGCACCCGCAATGCCCGCCAAACCGGAGCTCGGGTGGATCCGTCTGGCCCCGGGCACCGGTCGAAAGTACGGGGAGGTGGACCCAGCTACCACCGGGACACCTGGACAGCCAAAACCGATCACAAGGGAGATGAAAGAGCTGCATGACGGTTATGCCAAAAGTTCAAGAAACACAAGACGCCTTTATCGTGAGTATCTACCTAGAACCTTGAACCTTGAATACTTCACACAAGTACTACTTCTATGCAATGTAATTTGCCATGTTTTGCGAATGGTTGGAGCGAGGCGACGGCGGTGACGGTTTCGCCCGATTCGGTCCCATTGGAGGCGGTGACGATAGCGAAGAACAAGGCCCAGAAGTCTCAGTTGGGAAAATCCAGTACATTGCATCCTATTCATTTATTTTCTTTTCCAATTTAATTAATAAAGGACGTATCTAACGAGGAGACAAACGGAGAGCTTCGCATCTACCAAGCGCACCGCCGTGTAACGACTATACTTTCCAAGCCTCCACGGAATGGACAAGTGAGGTCCACTTGAGCCTATTCAGGTGACAGCTTCGGCATTCTGAGCATCACCGGCAGCATTCGTGATCAAAATGATCGGGTATGAATGATGAATAGCGGTATCCCAAGGTAAACTATTTTGATGGAAAAAGTGACAGATGGTTTGAAAGGATGACACCCCGCATGACAATCAGATATGCGTGAGCTGGCGTGTCTCAACAACGTGATGCCCCAGCATAAACACCTCCCGGCCAGGGGGGTGGTAAGAGAACATGTCACCGAAAGCAGCCCCCTGCGCGGTAACCAACGAAAGTGGTGCTCAATCGCTGCCCAACAAGATGCAGGAACATCAAGTCCTTTTTCTTTGTAGGCGAGAAGAGGGGGGGGGGGGGGAGTCGAGGTTCGAGGACCTTGGGACATTTTTGTAACAGTGACATTGGCCTTTATTGCAAACGTGACAAGCTGAGCTGTACCGGCTCGAAGCCACACCGACAATGGGGTAGCGGGCGCGGCGATTTGCCGCCTCAGCTGGCCTCACATCTTGCCCGCATATGCGGACGAAGAATGACCCCCGACGATGGGAGTGATGCTGCTGCTGCTGTCGTAACCCTCGCCAGGAAAACGTGTAGGCTTCAGGCATGAGGGGGTGTGTCAACACTCTTCCGTATCACTGCTGCCTTTGGGCGGCGATATAGTGCATCTAGAATCGGGACGATCGAGGTTACCACATAGGAGGAGGATGAGGAGGAGGCAAGGTAGAGGGGAATAGTTGCACGTTTAGCTGACATTGCTGGAGGCACGACAGACGCCACCTTCACGTGTCGCACAACGGTGAAGTTGCGCTCGAAAACGGGGCAGGTTTTGAACGGCAAGTCCAAAAACGGTAGGCTATCAGTCTAGCCGGGGCGAGAAGAAACCGGTCCATCAGATACCATCAACCTACCCGCAGTTGTGGTGTGAAACACTGCGGTTTGGCGGGCGCCTATTTCGTATCGACAAGGAGGTCGAATGCCAGTTGGCCCGGGGAACTGCCACGGATGCAGCTATGCGGCGATTGCATGTAAGGCGCAGAAGCTTGGTGAGGTCAAGGGCAGGCAAGAATAGCGAAACGTAGATGTTGGAGACGGGCGAGTGGACGAGACACGACCGCTTCTGGACGGGAACCCGTGACGGCTAGGACGGACGGCGTTTGACAGGGTGTCAACGATTTTTGCGGTTTCTGGCAATTCGGTCAGGGAGAATCTGATGCTCTGCATCTTGTGGTAGTCCCCCCATGCTCACCTTAACCTGGGAGCAGACCGGCGCGGCGGGAAGGACATGGGAGAGGATTCGCCGGGAGATGCAGCGGGTGGTGGTGTAGTGCCCGACCGGAAATGCAGCCCGCCCGCCACCATCATCAATCGTGTTGAGTATTGTACCGCGAGGTATTCATTAGATGCTTTCCGGTACATACGGGGGCCACGGGAAGGCTGCGTGCGTGGGATGTGACAGCTGTTCCCTCATCTCGATGTCAAGACTGGTGTCCTTGGATAGTAGTGGTGAGTTGATGACCAGGGCCTCTTTGGATGACGATACCGTAAAGTTCTTGCTGATGGAACGGGGCCCTGGAACTACGACGCTGGAAGTAAGGGAGATATGCCAGCGCATCAGGAAGAGGACCTGGTGACCATGGTGTGTATGCAAGTCCAAGTCAGCCTCCCGAGCGGTGAGGGGACGGGAGTTGAATAGACAGGGTGTAAAGGATACGGGAGGTTAAAGCTGAAGAAGGGTGAGGTGGGGGGGACGCGGACGTGCTGGCGGATTAGAACACTTTTTTGAGGAGGCTACGGTGGCGGACCGTCGGCGCTACCATTTTAGCAGCGGTGCCTGTAGGTAGTTGGTCCCGTCGCCGTCATCTGGGGCAAACGGTGGGGCTCAGTTCAAGATGGTGTGTTTTTGTGTGCGTGTAGGTGTATGTGTCAGTTGGTGACATGCCAGAAACGCAGCTGAAGATAATAACCAATATTTTTGTTTGACCGTTTATTTTATTTTTTCTCATCTTCATTTTTAATTATTCATTGATTTATTCCAGTTTTATTTTGATTTTATCCCTGTTCATTTGTCTTTGCTTGCATCAACCAGATCCGATGCGCCCATATCTAATCCCAAGACTTTGGGAAACCACACGATGCGCCCGGTTTGCAGCCCTTGCTGCCACACTCGCTTGAATGTTATCTCTCCACGGCCATTGAATGCCCTCGTCCGCCCCGTATGTAGCAATCGATAGATCTCGTATGAGTTGTGGGGGATTTCTCGGTCTCTGGGTTGTGCCGGGAATGATGAGCTCTGGATATCGGTCAAAGAACTGACTGTCAATGGTTTCAGTATCATTGTGTCTTTTCTATATCCAGGGTCTGGTTCGCAAGCGAGGCAAGTCTCTCCAACGTGACGCTGAATCTCTATACATGGTGAGAAAGTATTATTATTATTAGTATTATTTTTTTCAAGAAAAAACATCAAGATGAAAAATAAAGAAAATCGTTTATTGTCCAGTCTTTCGAGGCTCGCATGGCTACCAGGGTGACGGATTGGTACTCGTTGATGGCACCTCATGCAAGACAGTCCATGTGTTCACTACGGCCCCAATTGACTGGTTGGAATTCGGACTTGGGGTTGCCCCCAGGGAGCCCAGAATGAGCCTTTGTTGAACGTTTACTCGCAGGATGTGGACTGAACATGAGAAGGTTCCCAAAGGCAAAGGTCAAAGTCAAACAGGGTAAGTCGAGTCAGGACGAGTGTATCCGGTTCCCTAACCTCTCTGCCTCACCCCCAAGTACCCAGAATACACGAGAGTCATCGGTATTCCATTGATGACCGCAGCTGATGGATGCCTGGGCTGTGTCCACAACGAGGGACAGTTCCATTGCATCTTCGCAACCTTGATTTTGGGACCTGGGAGGTGCACCGCCTCGAGTCGCACTGCACCAGCCCCTGCGAAGTAACTGGGGAGTGGCTGATCCCCCACCGTCAGATCCGGGAGGAATGGAGGGTCTCTCAATGGCCAAAAAATACGGATTGGCGTGCAATGAGAATTTCCGGAAGTTGCAGCATTGCATCACTTGGTTTTCGGTGGGTGCCTCACATGGCAAGTCATTGAGCGCCAGCATGTGTCAGTCATCTCATCCTGCGCCTGAGGTGACTGACAAGCCGGCAAACATGTGCGGCATTGGACCTGGGGAGCAACCGCAACTTGAAGATGCCTGCCGCTACCTATGTTAGCCTTGGAGAATATTATTTAACTATTATTTATTTGATGGGATTATTTGAAAACGCCGGATGATAATCAAGTGTTATTTTCAGCAAAGGCTAATCGATCCCCTATCCGTGCGGACCTTCGTTTCTACACTTTGAATCCTCCCACATCCTTCACCATCACACACACCCCCTCCCCCGTACTTGTCAGTACGTACTTCCAGGTCACTACCTTGGACGCCAGCGCAGCGCTTCCCAGAACCACATGGCCCAACTTCCGCGGGAGCTAACTTCCGAACGCGCCAACCACGCAGAACCCTTCGCTGTTTGCGTTCTCACCTGACTGAGGACTGACATCACCGCCGACGGTCTACCCGCCATCCGCCAAACGCTCTCCCATTGCCCCAACGTTCGAGCCGCCGAGGCATCCTTTTCCCTCCATCTTCCACGGTGTCTCTTCTTTCCCACCGCGGTTGCGGTATCAGGCTCGGGGCAGAGAGACAGGTTCGTGGCGCTGAGACAGCCTGCCAACGCGACGGCGCGAGACCCATGCGGCTTTCATGAGGAGCACATGCTACTTTTGACGTAGTCCCCTTTGGAGTACCCTCATCGAAACCAAGGCGTCTACATCGTGCCTGATGGAACAAATCGAGATAATCGACAGCATGGCAGCGACAATCTCTATTTTGTTTCTTTCGACAGTTGGAGCTCCTGACTTGTTCGGGAATGCGGGTTGATGTCACTTCAGACCCGTGCCTCCGCTGTGCGGACCGAGCCACGGGGTTCCGAATAGCTTCGTGACATACCTCGGCGCGCGCGCTCTCTCTCGGTGAGGGACTACGTTCCGTCCTCGGCAGAACATCTCGTGATATATATGTCAATTTGGCTACTATACAATTGTTGTTGGCCTTCAAGCTAGAAGTTACTTGGGGTGTGGTGATAGCTCGGTCGAAGAACAGATCCTTCAACGTTGTTGTCTTGTCAGTGTCTCAGTGTTGCCGTGCCAGCGGCGGCATCGACATCGGCGGCTGTAGCTGCACATGTCCAAGACTCTGCCGAAAGGTTGAACAGACTGCACGTGTTCAAGTGAATAGCGGTCCATCTCTTTGGCGTCGCGTTGAGCAACCTTGTTTCATTGCGTAGCCCATATCAACTATCACCAGTGTCAGCGGACCTGTTCAAATGGCATCGATCAGTAGGCAAATCAAAATTGCTGGACCTAGAGGCAGTCATATCCATCGGCAAAGAGAGGAAAGCTGTTGAGGGAGAGCTGTTCGGAAGAGATGAGCAAGGCACTGGTCAATGAGACAGGATGGCGCCCCTAATCTTCTGCAGTTTCTGATGATAAGGGCAGCAAGACTGGATATTGAGCGAAGGTACTTGTGAAGGCGGCTTTTCTGAAGATTGGTGCTTTCATGCAGTCCAGAATTAGAGTTGTTACAATGGCTACCTTGCTCGATCAGATAGCCTCGTGAAGGCATCGTGAAATTGCGGAGACTAGTGCCTTTGCATGATTGATAGTGTTTTCAGTTCAAATTGCGTACTCACCAACTGGATATTCTCCGGGAGTCCACTTTACCTCAAGAAAGAATCGGCACGAGGTGGAATACTTTTGCCATGCTTCCTTCTTCTTTCTAGATAGCTGTAATCTACGTGAACCCAAGGCACCTCAACCTCAGCAAGAGGCAAGGAAGATGGGAAGGAGCGGATGGGTCCTGAAGAAGCGGATGGGTCCTGCTCCTTCCCCGAATGAGCCACTTGCTCCTGCCCTACATTGCAATCACTGCTTGACTCAAGAGATCATCCCCCGCGAAGGAAAGAACCCATCTTCTTCTGTCCTAGCATCTTGGTACCTACCTAACTTACCTAATGGACGCCATCTTTCCGTAAAAATGATTGCCTGGAAACTTTTACTCTCACATTCCCCCCTAAGCTCTTTTCTCTCGTAGCACCCCCTGACCATCGATCTGTCTCTGAACGTTCTGCCATCCGTTCTGTGCCTGTCTTCGTAGCTCTAAGTCTAGGCTCGTCGTGAATCGCTGAACAAATATGTAGGTGGAATTTTCAAACCTTCTGCTTGGCCGGAGACTAACACCTTCGAAGCACACAAAGCCACGAACCCTTCATAATGCAAATCGCGGACGGCGGGTTCACGCCCATCAACGTCCCCAAACGACCCCTGACGCCGACCTCCTCTGTTGCAATCTCTTCGCCGCTCAAGCGACTGGCCGTCGATGCCTCCATAGGATCAAACGTCTTCGACCAGGTAAGCCTATCTCAAATGTCATCTGAATCCAGCTTCGTAGCTAACGCCCACAAGAATATGACGCAGCATTGCCCTCCGCCAGACCTTGTGCAGACTCCGCCGAGTCCGTCCGAAGCAGCTGTCGAGATACCTGAGACACCATCAACCACATCAGCATTCTCTGCTACGCATGTTACTGCGGTCGAGTCGGAGGCTGCAGACTTCTGGATGAACCAATTCGTAAATCTAGACAAAGTAGGAGGCGAGGGTTTCGTTCCGGTCACAGAGCTACCTGGTCAATATCATGGTACCGCATCTGAGACTTTGTCTAATGTAGATGGAGTTCCTCTTAAGCCGTTTCCTGAACTTAACGTCGATCTCCTTGCGCAAAGCTCGCCAAAGAGTGAAGACACCATCGAAGACACATATGGCCTTGAAGAACTTGACGAAGAAGAGCTGGCCCAGCTATTTGAAGATACCGGAGACAAAGCTCCTTGCATCCCATCGTCAAGTATCATACAGAGGATGGCCCGCGATTCAAGATCAGCCTCAAGTTTCGACTCCAAATTGCAGTTCTCCGAGCCCGATACGGGCAAATTTGAAGCTTCCAAAGCCGATTTGGCTGGACCTGATCTTCTCGACGAAGACGTTGACTGGGATCTTGTCACAGAATGCGCGGCAAACGCGGCCGATGTGTCTCCGGATCACAACGCCAAGTCGAGTGTTGAAAGTAAGCCCAAGGAAGCAGCGAAAGCACCATCGAGTCTGGCACCCTTCGTCAGACCCCCTTTCCCCGCCAAAACGAGAGACCGCTCTGTGGTCTTCGGGCTCTCTTCAGCGATGATGATGCGCACTTGCTTCAGGATTGGGGAGCTTCTCAATGCCCATGCCAAATGTAACCGAGAGAAGCAGGATGTCATCTTGGAGCTTTTTGCGAAGGTGGTCTATGCCAATCGGGAGAACATGGCCAAAGTGCAACATTTCCAGCTGCAGGATCTCTTCACTGGCCGGCAGCCGTTTCTAAGTGGCGCATTCAAGGGCTGGAAGAGCGGTGGTCCTATGGATGACCAGATCAAGGTATTTTTGGGACCCGACGGAAAAAACAAGTTGTGTCGATGTGTTTGCAAGCTATCAGATGACAAGAAAGCCACCACTCGCCGCTCAGCAACGATTTTATCGATCAGGGAGACGACTTGGGATGAGATTCAGTGGGCTATGAGAATCGTTGCAAGAGATGGCAAGTCAGATAATGACATTGATAACGAGGGGATGACGTCTCAGATGATCTAAGTGGCGCACTCTGCTGGTATGAAGGATTTTTTTGGAACGATTTGCTGCATGTTGGGAGAGCTCGATTGATGTCCAAGAAGAAACTGAGGACAGTTATAGCTTCAAACCGCTGGGTGGACAGCTTATGGGGCAAACCATCTTGAAAATAGGGTGCAAGACCAGCAATAGTATCTGCTCATCTCACATTATTCACCGTCAGGCGCTGCATTGTAGAGCTGTTGCAACAATGCTGCCAAATTCGTGCCCATGAATCCTTGACTCATGTGAGTGGTTGATTACGTAGGTTGTTGGTCTGAGATAGAGGGAAACCCGCCTTGGAGAAGTCACAGGAAAGCTCGTAGTGCGTTACATTGACAATGATATCGTTGCGTTCGCCGCACAATTTTCCACGGACTCTATGCTCAGAGATATTGCTAATAGAAGTTCGTATGATGGACTCCCCTGAGAAAAGACTGTTGTTATCATCTCTTTGGACAACCGCTGGTGAAATCTGACTTTTAGGATCACGCCCTTGCTCCATCGATCACTCCTTGTTGTACTTAGGAGCATTTATAGTCTACCTATCTCTAGACTGAGGCGTCTATCTTCATTTATCAGAGCTTCTTCCCCAAGTCTTATCCCAGTCCTGATGTCCGCCTGCCGAAACATTCAGACTTACGCAAATGATCTCTGCCGAGGCTCATTTTCTGCTTAGAGTCACGCATATTGAACATCACATCTTGGTGCCAATATTTAGAGGGTTGTTGATACTGTGTTGTAGGCGACGGGCCAGTTTATGAGTTTGCAAATTGTAAGCTTAGTGACTAGTGCGGCGAAGCCGTTCGAAGGAACGACCAATGAGTGATTTTTGTTCAGGGGCATGTGATTGAATTGATAAACCAGCCTCGGTGGAGAATTTTAGAAGTTGACCAAAGCGATGTCTTTATAGTATTCGTCTTGAGACCCGAATTCCTGAGCGTTGTCCGGAAGACTGATTCCTTCCAAGATGTCCTCGGAGTAAACACGATTAGTTTATCCGGGGAGGAATCTTTCTCGGATAAAAGTAAATGGGCACATTTGTAGACCTTTATCGTCAAGTTCGTGTTGTCCACTTGTGGTCTTCCTGGAACCGAGGCTTTGACCCACTAGACAATTGCCAGAGCTCTAATCAAGTTCTAGAACGGCTTCGAGACCAGGTATACCACCATTCTTCCTAGTCCAGAACTCATGAACAACAGACCGCTCGAGGTAGTGCCGTTTACTATTTTCTTCAGCTCAGTATACCCTTCGGGTGCAATGAGACGATAATTTCCATCGCTGTCTCAGTCCTTCCCAACCTGCGGTGTGACATCGTCGTATTTTAAGCCAATAGCAAGCGCCCCAAAGGGATCCCAAGTAAAGTTGCCAGTAGAACATAAAAACGGTGGCCTCTGGACGGAGACTGAGTTTGAGGCAATCAAACCGCCCCAAATCGCGGCTTGCATGTCGTATATAACGAGTTAATGCAGGACCTGGCCAGCCCTAAAGGAGACAATGATGGACAACGGAGGCACATATGTGAACCCCTGATTTCACTAGATCCCGTAATATCTCCATCCCACCACAGCTTGAGAATTTGGGCTGTATGCTAAATCCATCGCTGCCGAAGAGACGTACGTGACGCTATGTTGGAAGAAAGAACTAAGGGCAGTGGTTGCCAACGTGATCCAAGCTCCGATGCTAGCGAATTGTCTGCAATAATATGAAAAGGCAGTGCTTGATAATCGAATACTGCAACTGGGTACACGTGGACGGAGTGAAGTTTGAAGAGTAAGAACAGGCTCCCAAAAGGGCCTCTGCTGGCAGCATCGTAGGATGCAAGACCTTGGGGATATCTGCCTTGGGGGTGGGTGTCCCGTATCCAGCCAGGTTGGCTGCTGCAGCTCGACACAGGAAGCAATAAGCAGGCACGAAAAACCGTCAAAGTGATGACGACGACGGCGTTGAATATGATGCTTTTGGCCCAGACTCCAGGATCCCAAAAGTCATTGTGAATCTGGCTTATGCTCGTATCTAAGAGGAGAATGACGACTCCAATGAATGCGACGGTTTCGAAGTTGGGAGAAAAAATATCATAGATTGAGCTATAAACCGAATTAGTGGGATGTCTCGAGGTAATGCTAGATGAAGGTGTGGTGCTGTCGTCTCCTTCACTTTCCACCCTGTTGAAATAAAACATCAGGCCCACTAGCTGTCTGCGATTATAATGCGTCGTCTAAAAGTTTTCCACAATGGGTAGGCATTTAATTCATTAAGTAAGGTAGGTAGTAAGAGTTAAGATTACCAGTAAAGTCGGGGAGACCCGCGAGGACAACTGAAAAGGTTGGACCCGCAAGAGGCATGTTGGCTCAACTTTATGGCCTCAAACTTTGATCGAGGAGGTGATGGCAGACTGAGTAACAAGATGTACGGGCACGGCTAGACTTTCAGCACAACTGCAATACAGGTGTTCGGCCTCCTCGGGCAGTGCCGACAGTTAATATTTCGGCCTGGCTGTGTAGAGGGATAAAGTTGACCGTGAATAGTGCTATTGATCAGTAGATAGACATGGCTAGCCAATGGGAAATTCTGCTGAATATGAGGTAGCCCCTAGTCTGTTATCTGCCATATTGGTTCACTTAAGATCCTTCCATGAGAAAAGCTCTTATACTACTGCAACCGAGGCTTTTCACGAATGACAATACTGCATGCAGATTGCATCAATATTTGTAAACCTAGGCTGAGTTCGTTGACTATGTTGGCGCTTTGATATGCATCTAATTCACGAGTAGTTCCCCTAGATAATTGGAGCCGAGAGACCCTTTTCAATGGGAGGCACAAGAGATTCGACGTACCCCGTGTGCTGGACATATGTTATGGCAAAAACGGACCCGTTAATGCGGGCAGCATTAACCACATCTAGATCTGTTGACAAAATATGTAGCATCACGGGTTGCCAATAAAATATTCACCTCGACGACTTGTTTCTGGCTGTCTTGTTTACCCAGTCCTGAGTGTTCAATTCTGTTTCGGTCATACTTAGTACGTCTAAGACAAAGGTGTCTTGACTCAAGGCACATATAACTCCCTGCATTTGGTTCCTCTATCCCGTAGACACCGCTGGGGTTCAACATGTCACTGGCCAAGTCCCCTTAGGGTCACATGACATGCCGATCGACTCTTTACGACCATTGGCCAAGCCGGATCACGGCGCCGAGTAAAGTCGGCCCCGTCTCCCTCAGGGAATGAAGACCCCACAGGGTTGAAGCTGGTTGGTCAAGGGGAAATGGCCCGTGCTTCCAGCGTTTGTGTGAGCTTTGTTTCGTCAGATGTCCTGACATCCAGAGCTCAGAGTCTTATCAGCAGTTCCTGGGACTTGGGTGCTATTCCTCAGCCATGTGCCATGCCGGACCCGAAAGTTTGATTGCAAGCCCTGTGAAGCTGAGTAAAAATTTCTCATCTCTTGAGTGAATTTTTGGTTCGTTTTACTAGCCCACACATTTGTGTCCAAGGCCAGTTTCTATGGCCTGTTTGTTCCACGGGCTTTTGAGCGAAACTACGTCAGCGGGGCCCAGCCCAGCCCAGCTCACGCGCACACGAAGAGTACGTACCTGGGACACACCCCGCGGAGCTACCTGAAGCTTGGAGGGCGCCCTGCCCCACCAAGCCTCGTCCGTCCCTCATTCATTCACCTCATGCACATTCCACCCCGAGCCCGACCCGGAACCCGATCTTGATGACGGACTGTCCATCACTCATATCGTTTGCGTACATTTGAACTTTCCAACCGGCGACGATCTTCTTGCTCCGGGCCGCATCTCTCATCCTTCCTACTGAATCTACGGGCGGACCATCCTCCGTCAGCTGGCGGCGACCTCGAACCTAAACCCCTCCTCCGGCCAGCCACCTGGGTTGCGCCGCGCCGCTGTAGACTCCGGTTGTTGATTGCTTCTAGCACTTTCCACTTTGATTTACGGACACCTCACCGTATTGCATCCCAAGCATCATGTTCTCTCAGGTATGAGTGACCCTTCATATTCCCCCTTTACGCAACAGAGGGAGGTTGCGGCCGCGCGGGGGTTCGACGAGGCCGGATGAATCGAGGGCGGTTCATTAAGAGCTATGCATCGGTGTTATGGTGCCTCTTAAGAACCCCCGAAAGCTTCATTTAGCCCTGAAAGAGCTATATCGCCTGTAATATACTTGGATTGACACCGGGTACAGAAGAAACCGTATTCCGCCGTCACGGTGAGCGTCGAGACGCTTACCGCCGAGACATACGATGAGGATGACATGAGTGGCATTCCCGACCTCGTAGAAGTCATCAAGCTCCAAGCTTCTGGTCCCATGGAGGCTGCCCGCGCCATTCGCAAGAAGCTCAAGTACGGCAACGTCCATCGCCAGCTCAGAGCCTTGACCATCCTGGACGGCTTGATCCAGAATGCCGGCCCGCGTTTTCAGCGCGCTTTTGCTGACGAGCCCCTGCTGGAACGGCTGAGAGTCTGTGGCACCTCCGATCTCTCTGACCCCGACGTCAGAAAGAAGTGTACCGAGTTGTTCCGCAGCTGGGCTCAGTACAAGAGCACGCCAGGCTTGGAACGTATCGCCAAACTGCACCAGGTAAGGCTGACGTCTTGGGTTAACGATACCGGCTAATTTGGTATAGGAACTGCCTAAGCGCAAGGTCGTCGTTACCCAGGAGCGCTCGAAGGCTGTGCGGGAGACGGAGAACCCCTTCGGAGAGGAGGAAGAAGAGAAGCCTCCTTCGCCCACTCCGCGCGCTGGCGAATCATCCAGACCTCAACAAACGCCGTATCTGCCTTACGGTAACACGTCCAATGTCACCAATTCCTACGGTCACTCCAAATCCTCCTCCTATTCCGGCGGTTCCTTCTTCGGATCGTCAAAGGACAAGAAGAAGGACAAGGAAAAGAAGGGCAAGCGCAAACCCTTCAACCTGGAAGTGGAGAAGGACGCAATGAAGAGCGCGATTGCTGAAAGTTCCATCGCCACCACCAACCTAACCAACCACCTGCAGAGCATCAATCGTGAGAGAGAACGGATCTCTGATAACGCCCAGGCTGTCCAACAATTTGAAAGCTGCAAACAGCTCAGACGAAAGATTCTTCGCTACGTAAGTCGTATTTGCTCCTCATCGTCTGGTTCTATTCCCTGGCTAATCACCGCAGATCCATCACATTGAATCCGAAGAGTGGCTCGGCAGTCTCCTCCGCGCCAACGACGAGCTTGTCACGGCACTCATGACTTTCGAGCAGCTCGACCGCTCGATCGACGCCGACAGTGACTCCGATGATGAACTTGCCGAGCAAGCTCACATGTACCGAAGTAAGCATCCTCTACCCCCAATCACTACTCAGTACGGCTTTATTGACACATTAAAGTGGTGACGGAAAAAGCTAAGCAATCCATGTCCCCGCCTCCCCCCGACGTCTCTGGCCTGAGCATCGGCAACACACCGTCACCTCGTCCGCCTGCTCCACCCCGCCCGGTTCCGATGGCGAGACGATCCCCGCCCATACCAGCTCCTGCCCCGGCGAAGCCCCCGAGACCTCCTGTTCAGAAGGTTGAGCCCGACTCGGAGGAGGAGGAAGACGACGACGACGATGATCCGTTTGCCGACAAGAACGCGCTGTAGACGCCCGCGATCGAAAGAGTAGAGCCGAGGTGGTGATACCTGACCGTCATACTCCAGCATTCGTTTCCATCTTCCCCATCTTCTTTGTACTTTCCATCTGTCATTCAAAGATACCCCGCCACGTTGGGGGGGTTGGATAAGTGGTCGACAGATCGCAACAGGTGCCAGTTGAAAGCCCAAGTCATCTAGCAAAGCGCCGGTTTAGACCTTTATTGATGAACGATTCAGGAGCATACATAATACTCTCTCTTTTGGTGCTATTATCTTCGCTCCCTGCTACACATGTCGCCTTTTCGAACTTCCAAAATCGGTTAACGACTTGCTGCCGTTGGTCCCGTCTCGGCCGCAATTCCCTTTTGGGAACAGTGCCCGGGCTCCCAGGGTCCCGCCGTGCGCCATTCCGGGCGCTATCGCCCGATGTGCCCCCGCCGGAGATGCTACGATCCCGCCATCCCTAGGCGGCATGTGTCGATATTTGAATCTTGTCAAGCTCCTCCTCGTGGGGGGCTCTCTCCAATAGGAATGTCACTCGCGGGGCACGGGTTTCTTTTCAATTGTTCAGACAAAGCTCTTCCTACTACATCCCGTCGACAGTAAGCAAACAAACCTAGTTACGAACCCCGCGGGCTGATGCGACGTAAAATCAGGGCCCCGACGTTACAACGCGGTGGAATTTAGTGATAAGTTCGATAACCTCGAGCTTCATTTTGGGACGTCTCCGTGACTCGCGCAACGCCATGTGGAGTGGGGGCCAATGGCAACGCGTGCGGATGGTGCATCGGAAGTGACGTTAAATGAGATGAGGAGGTTCCTTTTTGGGAGCCCTGTAAGAGGATTCCGTGAGGCCATCGCGACTCGCGAGGGATATCCTGCATGTCTTTTGCAAGGATGGCGAAGAGAATATGACAGTGATTCTAATCGCGCAAGCTCATCTGCCATCGCCGAGCCTGGGCAGCAAGACTATCATGCCTCCGTCTCAGACATCTATATGAGCGAGTCCTCCTCCATGTCTCTGACTTGACTTTCCAGCCTCCAGCAAGCGTAGGTCCTCTCCCCTCAAGTCCGCCAAGATGCTCGCTCTCCTCGCCCTTGCCCTCGCCGCTGGCGCCCACGCCGCCAACACAACCACCACGCTCCGCCCCGTCCTGCGGCCTGAGTGCAACAAGGCGGACTCGGCTAACCTCGTCCCGTCCAACGACATCACCCTCAACTATGGCGCTAGCGATAAGAGCCTTGTGAGCGTCGTCTTAGCCATGAAATACCCCTCAGTGGTCCTCGAGGAGGTCGAGGCCATCGCGGCGGTGGACTGCGCCGACGCGAGCATCACCGTCACCTTCAACGCGACCACCGCCTTTGAGCAGACGTCGCGCGAGTGGCAGGCGCTTGATGACTTCGTCATGGTCACGAACCACCTGGGTAACTGTGATGCCGCGAATGAGCGCGGTTTCTTCCTTGTCGACACGGTGACCTGGGACGCCGATTCTCTTCAGGTCGTCGCCAACGCTCACAAGAGCGATGTCGCCAACACGGCTAGTAAGTTATCATGTTCCTTGCTGAAACATTCTGAACGTGACTGAATACCTCTCTAGCCTCGACGGAGATCTCCTTCTCCAACGTCCCCGTTCAGAATCCCGCCTCCTCCAAGCGTGATATCAAGTGGGACGACGGCGGCGTGCACATCACGAACACGCTCGCTCTCCCGGCCGCAACTAATCTCTTCACGTACGACCCTTACGTCTCCATCACTGCCGACGAGGCCTCCCTGACGTCCAACATGACCTTTTCTGGCACGCTAAAGTACAGCATCATCCCCCTCAAGGTCGAGCAGCTCGCTCTCGACATCGACACTACCTTTGCCGCCGTTCTGGGCCTCACCGTCGACGTCAAGGCGCCGTACTCTGGCAACTTCACCTACGATCCCGAGGACCTGGGCTACGTAAGTCATTCATTCCCGTGCATCTCTTGCGGTTTTCAGACTTGTCTCATTGACACCAACCCCCTTTTAGAACTTCGTCGACATTCCCGGTATTATCAAGCTCGGCCCCGCAATTGGCTTCGCCATTGGCGTTGAGCTCGAAGCAGACGCCAAAGCAATCGTCACCACGGACCTCGGCCTCTCCTTCCCGGACGCGAAGCTGCACCTCGACCTCGTCGACTCCGCTGCCTCCTCCGCCACGGGGTGGGACCCCGTCTGGACCGCCAACGCCAACATCTCGGAGAAGGCAGCCATCGGCGTGAACCCGTACGTCGAGCTGGGCCTCGAGGTCGTCTTTGAGATCCTCGGCGGCGCCATCGACCTCAGCTCAGGTGTGACCTCGCACTCGAAGCTCGTCAACGATTTTACGCTGTCCGCGAGCCAGGGGGTCAACGGTACCGACGCCGGCATTGGCCAGGACAACACGGGTTGCCAGGAAGGCTTCGCCGTCAAGAGCGACTTCTTCTTTAGCGTTGTCGGGTTTGCGACGCAGTGGTGGTCGCAGGAGCTTTACAGTGTCGAGGTCCCCGTTGCGGACGAGTGCTACACTTGGTTGTGATTTGTGGCCTCCGAGCATGGCGCTGAGATTTTCAAGGTTGTGGGAGGTTCATGAATTATGCATACAATGCAAGTAATGCGATGAATCTTGTGGTCCTTGCTCCTGTTTTCGCAATGTGTGGACATTCTTCTACAGAGAAACACCAAGTAGCCAAGTCTTCAGACGTCAAGCCAAAATGGCCCCCGTGCTCCTGGATAGATTGTAGTTTGGATCGCCCAAGATACTATAATTGAGTCTGTGATGTAGATCCGGCGACCTGTACAGATCTTGACCGACGCTACTTTCGTCTAAACAAGAGGCGCAGTAATCTTCCTGCCACATGTTTGTTGTTCAAGTCTAGCTCAAAGCTGCCTTTAATATCGAAGCAAACAAAATCCCCCACCTCAAAAACGAAGTTTCTATGCCTGCGACTCCCGATTTAGATTTAGCCTCGGTCATTCTCCAGAGCTTGAAAATTCATGGACTTGGCTAAATGACCACAAAACAGCGATCATGTCCGCCGACGATACCATGATTGAACACAATCCATTTCAGAGTAGCTCAAAATAGCCAAACATCACCGACCATGGCGAGTCCGAACCGTCACCCCCAAGGGATCAGTCCTTCGTTTCCACTAGACCGATGCCCAAGTGTAGCTGGTTCAAGTCACAACAAGCGATGAACAACTCCGGAAGATGATTGGGAATGATTGCGCAGCCGCTGGAAGGCTTCTAAAGACCGATCCCCGATACCTGGACAACAAGACTGCCCCGCCGCGCCTAAAGCTTCCGAACATTGCCATTGTCGAGCATGCCGAACAGTGGGTGGAGAGGGATGATGATTTCGAATTCGGCAAGACAAAGTCATCATTCTAGAAGACGGTTGTCTGTTCACGGCCATAACAGACAAGAGAGGATCGGTAGATCTGGATTTGGATTCCCTTAAACGTACTCCCATTCCAAAGAAGGACTGTTGCCCATGGATGACGACAAGTCTTAGTAAGATGAGCTCGCCTCTTTCAGACGCATTAAACGAGACTTCTGAAGCCATCTATCCATTGAACAGTGATTGCATTGAGACCCCATGACTTGAAAGATCTAATCTGAAAGTTCAGTATGCTGTTGCATGGCCTGAATCGTCTTCTTGCATGATAGATTCAGAACAGACCTAGGAGTATTGTTGGATGGAATGCAGAGACTAGCTTCTCGAGACCAGTGTGTCAAGCAAGCATCATAATCGTATCATAAGAATGGAATCAGCAATTATATCCTTTCACAAAGTGTTTCATGGGTGCTTGTGTCCCAAGCAACATAGAATATCATGTTCATCTGTGCGGATAAGACGATCCTGTCGAGTAAGACTATCCGAGTAGGCTCCGCAAACACAGATTTCAAGAGAGAAACAGGTGAGGGGGGGCCACGGGCAATGCAATGCCAAATATGGTAGCCAGCGCCTCAAGACCATGGATCAATTCAGTTTGTCCATTTCCTATCCTACAAGCATAGTTGCGTGTCTCGAAGCATCAACGAGAATAGTCATCATCAGCACCCATCAAGTTGAGACTCAACCTCTCGAGACATAGTAGGGTTCAACAAAAAGTTCTGCACCAGTTGCAGCCACAAAGAGATATCCTGAACTGCGGGGGAAAAGGTCTAGCAAATCTCAAGGCCAGTCCTAAAACTTGTGCGTGCTCCAATCCTTGCCCTCTTCCTCGTCTTCATCACCGGTCTCCTCGGCATCTTCATTTTCTTCGGCATCGTCATTCGCTCCGTCGTTCTCGCCCTCTTCGTCGTCGCTGTCATCATCATCGTCTGCGTTGAAGTCTGGCATGACAATGCTGTTTAAGAAGGTAATCTACGCTACATCTTAGCCCAATCATCGTCAAAATGATTAACAATCAGCAGAAAGCACCTTACAAATGGGTGCATCGCGGCGATGATCTGGCAAACCTGCTCTTGAGCATCGTTGTCCGTGAATACCTGGTCACCAATCGATTTGCTGATGGTGAAGTTGCGTAACTTCAATAGCTCGATGTCGCGGTGATCGACCAAGTAGCCCTACGAAAGCGTGTGTGAGTAGATGTCGTCCATGACACTTGATCTTCTCTTCGCCACTCTGTATCTCAGGAGTCAATTTTCAACAGAGACATACCTTGGGCTTAGTCTTCAGCGCATTCCCCTTATTCGTCTCTGCAAACGCCTTCAACGCCGCTTCCTCGCCACCCTTCCTCGAGGACTTGGGCAAAAAAGTCCTCTTGAATCTTTCATCATTCAAGACCCGGCGCCACCGACGTGGCCGCTCATCAATACTCTCCCTCAATTTCTGCAAGTGTGACGCCTCGGGACACCACAATCCACCACCCACGAAGCAAGAGCCTGGCTGAAGGTGAATGTAGTAACAAGCGTAAGGACCCTTCTTGCCCGTTCTAGACCAAGCCGCAGAGAAGTGCGCCTGTGGGTTTCATGTGATCAGAATAAGTCTCCCTTAAAGATTCAGGAAGCCTGAAAGTGACAGGGAAGTGGCAAGTACCTTGTAAGGGGTTGGGTCCTTGCTGAATCGAATATCGCGGTGGATGCGAAAGACGAGGTCCTTGGCCGGCAATTCAGGAATGGTGAAGTCCACTTCGGTGATCTTGGGCGTGATAGTCTCGACAAAAGAGTTCCAGTCTTTGAGTGAGCGTCTGTATTCGCCGTCGTGGCCTAGAGTATGATCAGCGTCGGTTGAATATCCAGGAGGATCTATATGGAGCCTACTTTTCAGCCATGATCTCTGGTTGTGAGCTCTCAGATCCTGTAAGAACAGCATGGTGTTCTTGTGAACAGTATCGTCGGAGTAATCCTGCCCATCAAGCCCCCGAAGCTTCTCAAGTGGAATGACAGTGACTCTTCTCTCGCCCTCGTAGTCTTCCTCCTCCTCTTCATCGTCCTCGTCCGCTTCGGTTTGCTCATCTTTATAATCATCCTCAATCCTCTCAACCTTTTGCCTCTTCATGACCTTTGACTTGCTAGGGGTGAACTGCGGCTTAGCCTTAGGTTTAGCGGCTTGACCCTTTGGCCGTCCACGTCCGCGCTTCTTGGGCTGCTCCTCTTCTTCATCGTCACCTTCGCTCTGCAGCTCATCGCTCTCACTCTCAATCCTCGCATCTCCGTCAAATTCATCGTCATCACCATCGCCATCACCCTCAAAGTAAATACTCTTCTTGGGGATGCTCGAGACACGCCGGGACCGCCGGCGGGGCTCGTCCTCGGCGGGCGGCGACGCAGCACGGCGCTTGCGGGCGGGCATATTTCGAAATTCTTTCCCGTTTGCGTTCTCAGTCAATTCAGTCTGTATAATTTGGTCTTCCTGCAGCTAGTTGGATGTGCATGCAAATGATTGGGTCTCAAATAGGAAACGATATCAGTCCAGAAATGTGTCGTGCGTCATCGACGGGGCGACCGCGGGGACGGCAACGGACGCGACGAGATTCTGACGCAGCTGAACGCGCCATCACATGACCTTCCACGTGCATAAAAAAAAACGGGCGCATCCCGCTGAGGCGGGGCCGCCAATTGACTTCTCCCGTGTCAAGGAAGAGAAGAAAAAAGAAAGGGGCCAGCTTCCCGTCCACGAATTGGAGTGGCGCCCTCACCAATACTATTGTTACCTACCCGGGGCTCTTTATTGAAAGCCTATGTAATCATACAAGGGAAAATGTCGCTGAACGACACCGGGATCCAGATCTTAAACGTCAGAGGAACATTGTCGATGACAGCAACAACACTCTCCGGCCATGCTCAAGTCCTAACCTGTACTAATCCAGCCTGACAGTCCCAAACAAGCTGTTCAGATGTTTTTTATCTGTTCACTTCATGGATGTTAACCAGCCAGAACTGCTGATGTTTCTAGGCTCTCTCTTATCTGTACGACACTGACACCGGCCTGCCTATGACTCTCGTCTCGCATCGACCTAGCAGGAATCCGGCAGTGCGCAGGAATATTCCCCTGCCATTTCTATGCCATCATGAATGAGATATCCAGAATATGGGACAGAAAGATGGAAGAGTTGACCAACTAGCTAGTTGGCCACGGGAAATTTAAGAGAAACAAGAGTCCGTCATCGGTCTCTCTAATATTTCTACTCTCACCAAAATTAAGGAGAGAAATTCCATCTTGCCTTGGTTTTAATAAGCCTTCGATTGTTCTAAATTTGTATGCAGCGCCGCTGCTCGTTTACAATGCATTACTCGTGTTTTATAGTGTTTTACGCCTAATAATCCTGATTTCCGTTATCGCAAATTGAACTTGAAAGCTCTTAGACCGAGAAGGTGATCTAGGCACTGCCTATACATCATGTAGACACAGTCTCAGAGACACCGAATAGCCCTTTTAACACAAATCTTACGTTACTCAGCTAGAGACTTGAGTCGGCAAAACGGGTGCATCAACCTCATAAAAGCCACCTTCTTCATACCTAACACCTAACTATTGACTATTCTTAACCAACCGGACGTACACATTTTGAAATCTCATTAGTTTTCTTTTTCAAGAGAAGTTTCTCTCTGTTCCCTAATCACCGCCGTAATCACCGCCGCAATTCCCGCCTTTTTGAGCGTCGTCTTCGCTGACGAAGTCACCTGCTGTGCTTCTGGCGACGACCCTGCAATCGGCCTGGGCGACTTCGAGTGGGCCATTGCGTACCGCGCGAACGAACTGGGCATTCCAGCCGATTTCAAGCCCACATACACGTGGACAACGTCCATTAATGACGATGGTCATTCAAGGCCAGCAATCGTCCTCCACGCACCTTTTTATAAGTCTCTTATATCATACTTTTCTTGGTCCTTGCAAAGGACGATAAATATGCCGGTATCTTGGATGATACCCTCTAGATCTGTCTGCTTCTCGTTTGAAATCTTTTTACTGACTTACTTATATAGATTGTGCGCATCATGAGAGGGCTCTGCTGATCCGCATCCAGAAACATATAATAGATGGCCATACCATACTAAACAGTAGTGGAGTATTTTATAGATATAACAGGCTACATTGAATTGATTGTTAATAAGTCTCGCTAGTTGTCTTAATTTATTATTTGGAAATCGTCCTCTTTTATTAAGACCGCTGGAAAGGAACGCCTTGAAGGGGTTGTGGAAGTAATGTCATAGCTATGTCAGGCACGATTTTAATACACTTGAGCAGGTGAGACTCGTCAACTTAGAAACAGCGTCGAAACGGAAGATGCTTGATTCCAAGGCCAAGATCGCTCTGAAGTGCTTTTTCACTGCTGAGACTTGGAACTTCGACTCCCCCTCAGACACTCATCAACCGAAACGTGCTGTCATACAAAGGAGCAGCACAAACGTCAAAAGCTATGAGGAGAGACGAAGCTCGCAAGAGCATTTAATAATCCGGAACCCTAAGTAGTAACATACGAACCTCACGATCTATTTCTATTTACGCTTCAAAGTCAGCGAGCCGCGGGAACTCATTATGTTGGAAATGGCAATCTGACTTTTAAAGAGCCTGCACATACGATGCTAGCAAAAAAGGGAGGACATGCAAAAGAGACCTCGATCCCGGAAGTCCATCACAAGGGAACAAGCACCAAGCAACACGTCAGATGTGAACATTTCATCATTCATCCACAGCCTATCAACGCCTCACAATCCCGACCACGCATCCTCTCGCCGCACAAGCTTAGCACCTCCATAGTTTGTAACACCTCAAGATCAAGCAGATAAAATCAGCGCAAGCAAGCAACGCGGAAATAGCAAAACAATCGGCCGAGCCGCACCACCCATCCGACGAGCCGACTAGCCCACGACGACAATGTACACGCAAAGTCAAGTTCAAGATAGCAGTCCAACAATTCTCCGTCATCTTCCTTACTGCGTCAAGGCGCGTAACATTGGAACGCCAAGCCAAATTTTTTCCCGTCGTTCATCATGTTTTCCCCTCTCCGGTGTACCTTAGTCTAGCCGGTCCCTGTCTGTCGGTACTCCGCTGCCGGTTCCACGTCCCGAAATCCCGACTAGGGGCTGCCTTCTCTCTCCCTTTCCAACATGTGAGGACAGGCCAACCATACCTTACCAGTACTCGATTCGTCCAAACCTGCAGCTCATTTGCAACGCATTTGGCTGTTGGGAGCTTTTCCTCAGCCGAAAAAAGATCGACTGGCGGCCGTGCCGCCTAGGTACGGTCTTCTAACCCGGACAGGTACGCGCGCAAAAGGGGACTCACTGCCCTGCAAACAACCTCATCAGGAGAAGTCATGTCTTGGCGTCCAACAATCGACCGACATCAGTCCTCAACGAAGCTTATGGCCCATCAGATATCCTACAGCTTATGCAGCCCAACGACCGAAATCAAGCATTTTGCTGTCCGCGCCATTCATCCGAGATTTGGGTCATGAGTCATCCGTCCAAGAGGTGTTCTATCCCGGGGCTTCTCGACCAAATCAGCATACCCATCCAGACTCGATCCCATCACCCTGACCATGTCGAATATGTGTGAGCCCTTGAATGTCTCTGCCCAGAGCCTAATGACCGCTGCGGCCAGCTGTCTCAACCTTGTGCTATCATTCGCAGACACCTCGCTGTTGGTAGGTTGGCCGGCGGTAGGCCCGCCAAGGGATGGGTCAATGGGCACAGCAAATTCCGTCTCGTCCAGCATTCTCCTCACCGATTGTAGAAGATTCTTTTCCTCGGGAGTCGCAGGGGGATCATTCGGTCCGATCGATGCGAGGGTAAGTAGCCACTTGGATAAGAGGATGGCGCATTCGAAGTTGCATACTGTAAAGAGCCGGGGTTAGCTTGACTAAGCGGCGTTGGAGAAACGGGCACTTACAGGAATGTTGGATGCTCCATTCCAGACTCTTGGTCCTCGCTACGTAGTTCACGCCGGCCTTGACTAACATGGACAGAGCATGGATCGCTTGAAATACGGCTCTATGCAGTCTCAACGTACGGACGAGGAGGGGCATGCTGCTCAATGACGAAGCAACCAGCATATGATCCCGGGTTTCGAGGGACCGATTGGGCGGAATCTCGGTGTATAGACGGATGTACGCCAGGCGCAGCAGGGCAGTGGAGTTAAACGCTACGGGGCCACCCGGGAACGAGTCGCTGTTGCCCACATGGCCCGCGTCGGCCGCCCGCAATTGATGTCGGTGTTCGAAGCTGACCTGCCATATCCGTAATGCTGCAGTAATCTCTTCCACATCCTCCGGCTTCAAACCTCTCTGGGGTCCAAACGGCGAGCTGAGTGCAAATGAAGTTTGCTTTAGTAGGTAGATATGCTGGAGCAATGCGTGGATGAGGACATAATTTCCGAGGGAAGACATGTGTGGAGGAAGGCCCTGGGGCGAAGTCGTCAGGACCCTGGAGAAAGCGTCGTGGACAGTGATTTCGACGGAAGGGTAGTTCTGTCTGTCTTCTTGCCACTGCCACGCAGACTCGGCTCTCCATAGCCTGGACGGGTAGGGTAAGAACAAGCCAAGCTCCGAAGTGAGGATGAGCGGGGGCATGTTGTATGCAATACTGCACAAGTTGAAGAAACAATAAGCTATCAACTTTGTACGCGTTGCTCCCTCAAGCCGGATCCACGTCTCCCAATCCGGTGCAACGGCTGGGCTGGATTCGGCTATTAATCCTTCTTCGCGGACAAGCATAGCAAGGTGGCTCTGGAGAGACAGAGCCTCGTGCAAGATTGCTTTCGCCCCCCACAGTCCAACTGCGAAGAGCAGCAGAACAGCCTGGGTGGTCTCGAGCCGAGCTTGCGGTGTATTTGGCGAGCTGCGGCGATGAAGTTAGAAATCGAAAGCAGATCAAGATGGGAGTTACACTAACAAAGGTTCGCGATGAGTGTCCTGAGTCATTGGTCGATCTTGCTGTGCCGAAGCAAACGTGTGTCTAAAGCCAGAGCTAGGAGAAGGACGAGTCGAGTGCGGGCTGTACGCAGCTGGTGTCGGGAGTAGAGCGTGTACCTCGTGACTATGCCGTCTTCGGATCTGCTCGAGCGCAACAGCCTTTGCAGCATACCACAGCGCGTGACCACGGTGGCTCTCGAATCGGTACTGTGCACCAACAGCCAAGATAGCCAGAAGAAGCTCGGGTGCCATCTCAGCGGGCGTTAGTGTAGGAATATGCAGGAACGGTAGGTACTCGTGGAAACCGCTGATGTACCCCTCGAGGAATCGGGTGAGCGTATGCCGAGACGGAAAGACAAAGTCGTTTGGAATGACTGACGAGAACTCCTCCAGTCGATTCTTGATGATCGTATGGTCGACGGCAGAGATTCGAAGAGGGGCCCTCATTGATTCTTCGTGGCTTCTCGGACCACCTTCCATGCCCTCTCGACCATCAGGCTGGACCGAAGGGAACCGCGACGGGAACTGCGATGATGGCTTGGACGGGCCACGGTGATGCATATCGCCACGAGGCCAAAGCCCTCCCATCTGCTGATCAGACTCAAAAGGGGGTGGCAGGTAGTGTGAAGAAGGCGCAAAGTCGTCGAGGAAAATGTGATAGTCATCGTAGGGTGCGGCTTGGGGTTGGGCTACGTATCCCGGCGCTAGCATCTGGTCCTCCCGTGGCCGTTCGGGATACCCCATCGACTCATCATACGACTTGATCCTCACATGGTCTGAAGGTGGACGACCCATATCAGCCATCATGGGTTGCTGCATGGGGTTAACTTCGCTGGCCAGAGCCGCATCAGAAAGGAGATCGAGGTTGCAGGCAGCGGCACGGGCCGGGCCCGGCATGCGAGGATCTGGGGCCATGGTGGATGCCACGGCCGTTATCGACTCCTGGTGATACTGCGGTTGAGGTGGGCGCTGGACGCCCAACATCTCGTGTTCGACATGGCTGTCGGAGGAAGACGGCGGGTTGTGGGTGCTGGATGATGTCTTTCTTGGGCGATTATTCTCCTTGCTGCCCTCGTTGAGGTGAACGAGCTTCTCATGACGGACAAGGAGATCACTGATGTCCATATAAGCATATTCCTTCGTCAGAGTCGGAAGGGGGAGTAGGCCGTGTTGCAGTTGAGCATCAAGAACAGGGAAGAGGTGGAGTCGAAAGTCGGGGTTTGGGACGGGGGAAATTCTTGGGGATAAAGCAAGATGGGTGGTGTGGTGTGTGTGGAAGGTGACAGCATATGGTGTCGATGTTGGTGAGGTAAGTATTCTCGGGCAGGATGGTAAAAATGACGAATGGCCAGGGGCAAGGTTGATAGACTCACCGTCGTCCGAACGTTTTCCCACAGCGAGCCCAGCCGCAGGCAAAGGGCTTCTCTTTGGTGTGTGTCCTTTCGTGTCTTTGGACATGCTCCACACGCCTAGGATGCAAAAGCAATGTAAGCTAGCAGAAGGTACAGCGAGAAAGCCAAGGTAGGGCAATCATCGAGTTGGGGGCCTTGCACGGAGGGGGGCCGACTTACCTGAAGCGCTTGCTGCAATACTTGCACGGCAAAGTCTTGGGCTTTTGCTGCCGGGCCTCACCGTTCTCCCCGGCTACGCCAGAGCCTCCGTGAGGAGACGGCCCCTCTATGGACTGAAGAGGGAGCATTATGTGCAAAGGCTACCCAAGAAGCGGGCAGGCAAGGAAAAGAACGGTACTATGTGCTCGGCTAGGTATAGATAGCTCGAAGACCTCCGAGGTCACACAGCACGAGAAAGTGGGGGAAATGGAGTAGACAGAGGCGGAGCAGAGTTGGGCTTGAAAGGGATACTTTGCGGGGTGCGGCGCGTATCGATTTGAAAATGTTGTAGGGACAGCTTTCAGGTCCTCGCGAAGATCGGCAGGGAAATGTTTGTGACGGTCCTCTGTTAACCCCCCTTTTTCATCTCTTCCCGTGCAAGCCTGGCGTGAGCAAGTCCTAGATGCCTCTTGGTAGGCGTGAGCGTCCACGGGCGGTGGCGGCCGGCTTTCTGACTCGAATCAACCGGTACCGCAAAGCATGCGGGAGACGCGTGAACGGAGCGAGGAGTTGGGAATCGGAGTGGGATGTCCCGGCCGCAGCTGTAGTAGGGTGGGCGATTTGCGAAAAGAATGGCACGCGATGAGATTTGGGGAAGAAGGGAAGTACTGGTGTCACAGCACCACGAGTGACAAGATGGATACAGGCAAAGTGAGGTCGATTATGAAGGGGAAGTATGTGGTGGGAGGTCGCGGCAAATGAGTATGGGTGTTTGTGCGTTGGGGCGAGGACACAAACAAGCATGCATGCGAGGATTGAGCATGAACAATCAAGGCGTACTCGGCTCAAACAATAACAACCTTTGGTAAAGTGGCAGCGAGGTCGTGGTGAATGGCAGGAAGGGGGTCGGAGAGCAAAAGGCGGGGAATTGATGGAGGTGAGGAGACTCTCGGGAGAGGAGCAGAAAAAGGAGGATGAGGAGAAACGCAAGTGGCAGGGCGGACCACAGTCTTAGCGAGGTAGAACTCGAACAGGCGGAGCACAGGGCAACGGCGAGACAAATGGAAATGCTGGGAGCCGCGGCGTACCTTTCTCGGGAGCCGATGAGAAAGAGAGGAGTAGACGTTGACGTTGACGTGGATGTGGACGTGGACGGGGCGAGGGGAAGAAAGGCTGGAGCTGTATCGGTAGCTTGGAAGCTAGGTAGGAAGCTTGGGAGCTGAAGAGGGGAAACACGGAGATCTCGGCTGTCTGCGGCGCGCCGTACGACAACCAGACAATGCTGGGTTTGGGGATAAGAGGATATGATCGGCGTTATAGCTCTGCGGTACTCGAGGCAGGTCTAGTGTAAAGATGGAGATACTGCGTGTATCTGTATCGGAACGGGAAAAATTGGAGGTTGAAAGATGTCGCGTGAGAGCCGGTAGTAGAACCGGTGTGTCGGTTGTTCAGCGCGGTAGCGATAGAGGTCTGATCTAACGGAGTGCCGCGGACGGTGGATGGAGAAGGTTGTTTTCGCATGTAACATTAATGCTTGAATTGTCGTGTACGGATACAGGACCGGCGTGCCAATGTGGGCGGAAGGGGGGGTGGACGACTTCGAGATGGAGCAGGTACCTTAATTGATGGCGGCCTTGAGCGTGAGGAGGAGGCGGGTAAGGTAGGGAGGGTGAAGAAAGCGGAGGAGAAATTGAGAACCGTGACGAGATGAGGAGGCAGAATGCCGCGGTGGTGGAAGCAGGGAAGCGTAGTGCGCCCGCGTGCCCAAAACGCAAGTGTGAGCGTGAGTGTGCGTGTGTGGCCAGGCGAGGTGAGGTGAAGTGTAATGTGAGAGGTGTGATGTGAGGAGGTTGTGGTAATGGGTGGGAAAAGGTGGAGAGAGTGATGAGGAGAGAAAGAATTGGCTTCCGTTGAATGGGGGAAATCCAGGCAAGAATCTGGGGTCTGCGGTTGTCTCCTCTCTCCGCATTGGAGAAGCACCAAGGTGCCTGCTGCTGCCGCCGCCGCTGCTGCTGCTGCCGCACTCGTAGACTGTAGTGCCCCGGTGATCTTACGTACCTAAGTACCTGGGTATCGTGTTTGGGCACCCCCGGGCCAATGACAGGGTGGTTTTCCTCAGCCACCCCCGCGCTGCCCATCCAAATCTCTCCAATCTCCAAGGCACGTAATGATAATAATCCCGGAGCCAGCAAAGACGCACCTTGTGGCCTTGCACCGGTAGCAAGATAAGACCAAGGGGGGGAGAGAGCAGGAAGAAGAGGAGGCAAGGCCAGGCAAGGTATCGTAGGCAAAGCAAAGCATCTGAAGACAGTGTGGCCTTGGATCTCGAGAGGAGTCGCAGGAAGGAGGACGGGATGATTTGGAGCAGCAGCATTTGGGTGGCCTTGAGGCACAATGCCATGGACGGAGCTACCAAGTTACGGCGCAGGCAGAAAAGGGAACTTTGGGGTTGACATGTGTGAGGTACCTTTTCGGTGGGATACTACCAAGAAAGGACTTTCTTTGGATGACCTAGCCAGGTAGCGGCCGGCCAAGCTTCTCCCCAGGACTGCCCTGCTCAACCACCCTAAGAGATGGTTGCATGTGGTGGGGGAAGCAGAGCGAGCGGGGAGCTTCACGGCCAGTGCCAATGGGAGCTCGGCCATGAAATCATCCCTTGTCGGCAAGGGCCATTGGAGGCCGATGGAAGTCGACTGTCCAGTCTACCTCCGTGATCTGCTGTCGTGTGTTATATCTGCATCTGTACAGTGGATTCATTGGCGAGATCCCAAGACGCAAAGCAAAGGAAGAACATAAATCGGAATCTCGTCTCATCTCACCAAAGTTTTCCACTAATTAGGTGCCTAGTCTGCTACTGCAGCGGCTGCTTCTCCTCATCCCACATCTTCTCCGACCAGCTCTACTCTTCTCTGCACACTCACGTTGTCATATCTGTGATTGGCACTCTGCGTCAGAGTAGCTAGTGAGCACACAACCCAGTCGTGCCTCTCTGCGTCAGATTGTCCGTGCAAGCTGCTTTCTGCTGCACTGACGCTGTAAGGGGAGCAAATAAGGTACTTCTCCATTGGGCGTCGGAACGCACACCGGGGAGACTGATGGTCTCAAGATGCGCCAATGGCAGCTTCGCAATAGCGGCCAACCGTGACAGGGAGCCCTAGATGAGACGGGCACATTGTCAATGACCCACTTGCTCGTCCTCCTCTTGGAGAAACCACACGACGCCGTTTACCCCAGTACTTGCGTGTTTGCCCAGAGCTGATCGATCTTGTCCGGTTCGGAAACCCCGCGCGCTCTCGGCCCTGATCAGCTTCACATTCCCGCCGTGGTAGAATAGGACGAGGCGAGGCGAGGCGAGGCAAAGCTCGGCTTGCTGCTTCTGGGCCGGTGCGTTCCTGTGGCCCAACTCAACCCCCATCCCTGGGTTGCTGTGTACTATGGGCGTAAAGGAATCTGAATCTGAAGCTGGGCTTCTGGGCGACGGCTACCATCCCTGCACGAGGGACCTTGGGCAGCACGGCAGCTAGCTACCTTACCTCCCAGTGCTTCCCCAGCACCAACAGCTACCTACATAGCTCCATGACTCCAAATGCGGAGTCCGAGACGTGCACTGGAAAGAGCGGGAGCTTGGTGGAGCAGAGAGGGGGTTTGGGAAAACGCAAAATCTCCCGAGGAACCTCAAAAATGACGAGGCAAAATAAGTTCATGTAATCACAAATCAACCACAAGACTGTTGCATGGGGTGTGACTCAATGGCCCAACACGTAGGTTCGTCTGCCAGTTGAGACCACGTAGCGACGACAGAAGCGGGCACAAGAGTGGCAGTCTGGTGGATGTCTCGGTGCAACTGCAACGCAAGAACCACGAAGGTCAGAAGTGGGAGACAACGACAGGAAAAAGACACATTGCCTCTAATGGTTTACCCCGAGAAAGACCCCGAGAGCGGCGAAATACGCCTTTGGTATGTCTGGCTGTTTGCTCAGTCGATACATCATGCTGAACCCTCTCAGCCCATTCTGGGCCTTGGGAAAAGAGGAAGGGCATATCCGTCTGTTTCCTCGTCCTTTTCGTCCTTCTCGGAGAATTTTTGTTTCTTTCTCTAGAAGTGCGCCCGGCAAGCATCCGGCCGATTCGCCGCTGGCTCACTTGACCAGGCCGCCCCCTCCCCATCTCTCTGGTTCCTTCGTTCAGGTCTCCCGATTTCGAGGGGGCCTTCTGGCTGGCGGGAAATTGCATCGAATCTTGTGGGACCCATTCGTGTTGGAGATTTTGCCATGAATATGACATCCTACCTCCAAGCTACCTTGCAGTCGAGAAATATTCCGATGGCTGCAACTCGCAGCAGGCAAAGGAACGGCGGCGGAGGGTTCCAGTTTTGTCGTTGTGCTTCTGGTGAGACGGAGAGGGTGGTGTGGGAGGTGGGTGAGCGGTCGGGATGGGACGCAAGTTCTACTCATGGAAGTTGGGGGGATGCGGAGGCAGAGGCGGAGGCAGAGGGGACAGCCAGGCACCTTGCGGGTACACTTCAGCGTTTCTCAACAATGCCCGGAGGAAGGTGCAGCGGGCAAGTGCAGCAGAAGGTACGGATACGCACCTGCCCCCCGTCAAGCTGGAAGGTGCATAGTGTGGGGTAAGGTACTGGGCCCACTTGTGACCGGGTCTGTCTGTGCTCCCACGCTCCTTGCGCCGTGCTCTCATCAACCGCCCCACAGTCGCCGGATTGTCCTTCCCCATTCCAATGTTTCCCATCGGCCCCCGTTTGCAGTTTCGACCAGGGCAACCTCACCGGCCTCATTCTCATTCCCGACTCGCAAAGACTGCCTTTGCTACACGGTTGGACCTTTGTGCGAATACTCTGTCCTATAGTCTCGTTCTCGAAACTCTCCGTCTCGACATCCCCTGCCTGCCTTCTCCTCGTCCACCCTATGTCACTCTGCAATCCCCCGGCACCATCGACCCCAACCGAAGGTTCCTCAACGTCCGCCGGGGAGGGGCAGGAACCTCGGCGCCAATATATCAAAACTAGCTAAGCTCCATCTGCTACTTGCATCGACTTCATTCCGAATTCGTGTCTCCTCCGGCCGGGAACTCCCCTTTGGTGCTCTAGCCTGCCTGGAGCTGCTATCGAACTTGACGGTGGATCAAGGTTTTCAATCAAGAACTCTGCTCGAGTCTTGCATGAGCACTCCCCTGTTACCTGCCTCAAGGTCTTCCCGCTCTGATATGGGAACCTCCGTAGCTAACCATATCGACACCCGACGCGCGGAACAGCTGGTCAAGACATGGGCGAGAAGGAAAGCCCGACGTCTGAATAGGCCCTCTCAAGAAGCTTCGGGCAACCTCCAAGACCCAATATCGTTTCTCGCAACAGCTACGAATATCGAGGTGTTCAAATGGCAGAGCGCAGTGATCAAAGGTTCAAGCTCGGGGCTCCCTGAGACCATGGTTCGTCTTGGCTGATCAGTTCGCTTGAACTCCCGAAATGTTTGAACCCGCCCGGCCTGCCCGCAAGTGCCGGGAGACGCAACCCTCTCAACGGTCTATCCTCGAAACTCGGCGCTGGATAGACCTCTCCCTTGTGAACATCGAGATCCCGATAACGGCGGGCGTTCCGTCGTGACATATCCTCCTCCAAGGCCAAGATTAGTACTGAGATTACTCTGCATTGGTATTTCGTCGCTGTGTGGCACGTTATCAAAGCTGAGGGAATAGCCTCAATGTATGCTGGTTTCCATTCGAGATAGCCATGACAACGGATACATGTTAAAACGGTGGGCATCAAGCGTGGGCCCCGCAGTCTTCATTGTCAATAGAGTTGGTAGGAGCGTAAGCTATCTTGCCGACTTGCTGGAAGGATATTTAGTCTACCATGCAGCCTTTCACTGTTTGTTGAGATATAAGTGATTGGTATACTTCGAACGCATGTCGAACAAATGGCCATGGAGTATGAGGCTTACTTACTTGAATTGGTTTCAGAAGCAGGCATAAAACTAAGGGCGCGAATCACCACCGCCGTCATTTCCTCCAGGCGCGTCAGTCTTGTACCAATCCCTCCGAGAACTCTGTGTCGCTGGATCAATTCTGGGTAGTCTCTATAATGCTCTGCAGAACACAGTGAGAGCGCTCCCTAAACACGCCGTCTTCTAGCACTGCGTCTGGATAGTAGTAGATTTCTCAGGTAGCCTGGGTGTGTCGGGAAGATATGAGCGGCAATGTGTCCAAATCAGTTAATGCCTGCCGATGATTATAGTTTGAGATTCTCTAACTTGCCCTGTTGACTCGACTCATAAAAAGTAATGTGAAAGCAGCCATATGCTACAGCGCGCGATTCTAGTGAGGCGGGACGGAATCCACGGGCCAAGGACGTCGCATCTTTAAGTGTTCATTAGGCCGATAGTGCAGAAGTAAGTCAGCATCCAGAAAGTTCCCGAGAAAATTTCTGATGCCTTGTACCCAATTTCTCTGGTTTGGTACCTAGTATGCAATCGAATGCATCGTGCCCCTGGCTAAACCATGGCGTCACATGGGTCATTTTCAAGGCCACGCTTTTGCCCGCAAACGCGAATAGACGATGACAATGACCAGCACAGCTACATTTGATGTCAAGGTCATAGGATACAGAATCAAAGATGCTCATCGTATTTTATCCGTTTTGTATCCTCAACTGTCGAGATGAACTAGCCAGAGACGAAGAAAAGAGGAAACACTTGCGTGTCACCTGGCCCCAAGCTAATCAACCTTGCAACAACAGATGTCCGGTTGTTGAGAGACAGTGAGCTTTATGAGAGCTCCCAATCCTCACATGAGCCTGTTTTAAAGCGTATTTAAACTGGAAGTTGCTCCTTATGTGAAGTATTCACCCAGATGTATATTATGCATAGCTCAGTTCTATAGTTCAACCCTTCACGGAACTCGGGTTCCTCACTTGAAGTAGCAAGCTTCTCGGACACAAATACGCGCTTAAGATGTGCAAACTAGTTTCATGAGTCTCACCTGTCGGCTGTAACTTGCGAGTGATGGGAGATGGCCTTCCCTGAGGTATCTCCCAGGTCATGAATGCCCGCTTGTAGTTGACCGTTACATGAAGCCCACCGCTTCCACCGCTTCCACCCTTCTTCATCCTTTATAAACACATTGCTGTGTATTTATCAGCAGTCTCTCAGGAATGAGGTTAAAGCCATTCTAGATGAATCTCATCTTGAAGGCTCTACTCGCTGAGACAAACAAAGTCACCGTCAGCTGCTTAGAGTATGGACGGACTAAATCCTAAGAAAATATTCTCATCATCTTATACCATATGACCTTCTTTTTATTAGCTAGAGAAGCCCATGTTACGTCAATTGCAAGGCAATATGACCAATCAGTCCTTTATTACCTCTTGTTCCCATTGTTGAGAGACCGACAACATGTTTCAAGGCTTAAGCCCAATCCCTTTAGCTTAGGCAGGCATCATTGGTTTTTGGCTCCAGTCTGGATGACGTGCATGTCACTTCCTCTCATCCAACCTGTCCATTGAAGGAGAAATCTACACCAATATTTCCTATTTCATGATGAGTGCCGGTGGTTTTGCATCGTCATACTCGCCGAACCTTTCCAGAACGTTCTTCATAGGATAAGAGGAGCCAAGCCTAAACGCAACTGAGCAAAACCATGCGGTGGAAAGATCATTCTGCGTTTTTCAAAAGTCTCATCCATATGTCTTCTTTTTGGTCTCATCCTCAACGGCAAATCTGTTTGGCGTCCTTTTCCTCCATGTCCCATTTTTGTCTATCCTCGTTCAGATATGCCCAACCATTCCCTTCCCCTTTATGCTCATTTCTCATAGAAATACACCAGTCTTTGGCCCAGAGAATGCCAAAGCCTCACCAATCAAAAAGCCCCTCCAGCCCATCGCCTTCTCAAACCCCTCATGCCTTACCCTCCAACAACTCCTTCGGCCACCGCACCTCAAACCCGCTCACCGTCTTCTGGATCTCCAAATCGCCCGGGTCCCCGTCAAACAGCGGCTTCTCCATCTTCTTTTCAAGAACCTGCTCGACGAGCAGCCCCCTCTCCCTCACGACGTCGAAGAACGCCAGGTCCTTGTGCCGCAGCCACGGCCGGTACGATGTGAAGAAGACGTACGCTACGCTCTCTTCCTTCCTCGCCAGCGCCTCCCAGATCGTGTCGGCCAGCTTACCGTGCTCTGAGTGCCGGAACAGTAGGTCCGCCAGCACCAGCACGTCAAACTTCTTCTCCTCCCCCTCCTTCCCTTCCTCGGCTGGAGGAAGCTCCGCCAGCAAAGGCTTCACGTCCGCGCCCCAAACATACCCCTTGGGCACCACAACTCCCTCCAAATCACCCGCCTCATCCACATTCTTCTGCATTGTCATAACGATATCCGCATCCGGAAAATCCGATACCACGACCCGCTTTGCGCCCAGGATCCCCGCCGTCAAGCTCGGCAGGCCCGCACCCGCGCCGAGCTCCAGCACGGTCTTGCCCTTCACGCGGGAAGGGTCGGCCTCAAAGTAGTCCGAGACGACACGGCTTCCGTTCCAGAGGTGGTGCGCCTCGGTGGGCGAGTAGCCGACGAGGTGGAGCGTCAGGACGCGGCCCGAGGCGAGAGCGTGGGTTTGCGACGTCGGCGGCGGGGTGGGCGGATAGTAGTCGTCCGGGTCGGCGAAGAGGTCGCCCGTGTCGCCGTCGGCAACGTCGCTTACTTGACTCATGGTGAACGTGTTTATTTGTTTATGCGTGGTGAGTTGTTGGTGGTGGTGTGGGTGTTATATTCCGAGCAGCAGGGACTGAGGGGTTGGATTCTGGTACCGTGGGCGTTGAAGAGGGGCAGATCCAGATCCGAGTGAGACTCTGAGATGAGCGTCTGGCTTCGATATCTCGCTGCGAGAATCTCACAGTGATACGATAAGCTTCTTTGTGGAAGATTTCTAATCAAGCCTGATTGTAGTGTCAGTCAGGACCGGTTGAGAATGAGGGTGACATTAACTTACTTAAGGTGAGTGCGGGGTGTGTGAGAAGAGTGAGTCGCAAATGAATCGCAATTTTTTGTGACCTTTTTTTTTTTTCCTTGCGACGAAGTGGTTGTGGGTACAGTGTGAGGACGTCCTTATTTCCCTACCAAGTAGCTGCACTGTTGGAAATGAAAACACAGTGTGAGGCCGGCGCTGGCACGTCATCCATGTTGTGAGGCAGCAGATTTTCTGAGCAGGAAAGTCGGGGGACACCTCACTCAGTAGAGTGTAGATCAATCATGCTCAAACTTGAGATACGGATATTTTGGTGAATCGGTTTGGTAAAGGCCCAGTTGAACTTTGTCACATTGTACCTATCTAAGATCCTTCATCGTCTCACTGACGACGACATATCTAGATGAGCCTTATAAACACTGCCCCCCTTCCTATACATGACTACCTTCCAGACATAAGGAAAGCAGATACGCCGGTGATATCAAACGTTTTTCTTCAGTCAATAATAAAGTAGGCTGCGGCTGCTTAACCTAGTTCTGGTGCGACCGAGGCGACCGATGGCTAAGGGCTAAATTCACACCTACTCACTGACCCCATAGAACGTGAAGCGACTACAATGAAATAACCCACACTTTACTATCCATTGTCCGGTGACCCCCACGTATTTTTCAGGCATCTTTCAAACGAGCTTGACGAGCTAGCGAACTGTGGTGAAACCGGCTTTGATAGATATAACTTGGAGACTTAATAGCGCTCTAAGGACTGAAGGAACAGGGCCGTCTAAGCTACGCCTACGAACCCTGAGCGTGCTGGCTATTCTCAGCAGACTACTGACCTTGCCTTGAGAAAGAGATCCTCTACCTATGCGATAGTTTTTATATATATTCATTAAAATAATTGCCTCTCTTAACCAGATTCACTCTTACACCAGGCCTATGAGGTTTCACTAAAAATCACCAAGATGTACTGCCCAGCGGCCCCCGCGTATTCGTCACATATCGTTCAGGCGAGCGGGACGAGCCAGCGAACTAGGTATCGGTTTGCAGTAGAGAGAGATCTAGAGATCCACTTTGTTTATCAGGCATTACTTCACATGTATAGGGTCGCTAGGGCCACCACCACCACACTGGTCATGCTCAGCAGACTACTGGCCATGTCTGGAGAAGAAGAGATCGTGAATTCCCCCCACTACCCGGCAGTTTAAATATGGATGGGTTAGTGCCATGAATCCTTAAACAAGATTTTGATTTGTGAGAGAGAGAGAGAGAGAGAGAGAGAGAGAGAGAGGGACAATGAGATCCGCATTGTTCAAAGCAATATGTGTCATCCAAAACCTGGGTGTTGAGACCTCAAAGTATCTATAAAAATTTTGTCTTCATTTCATTGACGATGGTGTCAGTCTCAAAAGTTCGACAATCCAACCAAAGCATCAACTTTACTCTGTGAGCTGTGTTCTCCATCGCCATGCCGAAGCGATACTACCTACAATGCACAAGACTCCGTACGGCTCTTTTCCTTCCGCTCCGCTCCATTAGACCGACTTTCCTTCTCGAGTTTTTGTTTCTCAATAGTGTACATCAATCAGATTTCTAACTATATGATATGTTCTTCTAGGACGCGCCACGACGTACTTCAACAGCGCGTTCCCTTGTGCGCGAATCATGACACACACAACATATCGCTGTAGAAAGCATTGAATCATTAAACCGACGCCCTTTAGTAGAGTAAGTAGGCGAATGTACAGTAGCCCATGCAAGAAGACTAAGTGGTCAGCTATCGAACCTCCCTCCCCAAAGTCTCTGGCCTCCGAGTCCCTCGCATGAGGTCAACACCAAGTCCAAACCACCACCAGGACTACCACTTCCCCACATCTGACCAACCCTCACCCAAACCTCTGCTTCGCAAGCTCCCTCAGCCCCTTCATAACCCCCTCCTCCCGCTCCCGATACTCCCTCACCCTCTCCTCCCGCTCAGCAGCCCTCGCCCGCGCAATCTCCTCCCTCCTAACCTCCCGCTCCGTCTTCTTCCTCTCCTCCCTCGCCTTCATGGCCTTGAGCTCTGCAAAACTGTCTCCCCCGCCCATTAGCTCCTGCTCCCCAACCTCCGCCACCCCGCCTCCGTCTCCTCCCTTGTCCCGGAACTCCTTCATCTTTTCATTGACAGCCGCCCGCTTCTCGAGCTGCCGCTCTCTCGTCCCGGCCTCCGCCCGCGGTGCTACCTCGTCCAGCCTCTCCCGCTGCAGCTTCCTGTCCTCCTTGCGCGCCTGCCGCAGATCCGAGGCCCGCGCCTCCCGGTCCCGCTGCGCTTCTTCGGCGAGCGACTCACGCTGGAGAGACAGGTCCGCCATGTTTGGAATTCCGGGCCCGGGACGCTGGTGGCCGGTCCTCGCCGTGGGCGGCAGCCTCGGTCCTAGATCCTCATCGTCGTCATCGTCCTTGTCCCCGTCATTGTGATCCTCCTCCTCTTCCTCTTCATCAGTCCTTCCCCCGCCATAATTCCTTTCTTCCCCGCGCCTCTCCACCACCTCTCGCCCACTACCATCAGACCCCCGGGAGCGTGGCCTATCAATCCCAACCTCAACAGCCCTCTCCTTGGCAGAGACAAACATCTCTGGGTCATACCACCCCTGCGAGAGCTCTCCCCGGTTCCACTTCCCCACGAAACTCTTCCACCGACCCCTCACCTCCCTGTCGTCCATCTCGCAAATGTCCTTTTGCTTCTGCAGGTCGAGGTAATACGCCAACAGCGGCCGAAACACCTCCATCTCCGACTTGCCCAGCTGGCGGGCCTCGTACGGCAACGTTGCCGCAACAGAAGCCGCGGCCTTCTTCTCCTTGCCGCTGCTCTTGGTAGCGCCGGTAGTATCGCGGGGGCTGTCCCGGTGCCCACGATGATGGTGGTGGTGATGCCGATGCCTGTGTCTCGAATCCCGGTCGTCGGGGTCGTCGCGGCTACCATCCCCGTGAGGAGACCTCATCCTCCGTTCCCGACGCGAATCGCCCTCGCCGAGGGGCGACCTGCGCCTCGTTTCATCCCGATGCCGTCTCGGCGACCTCGACCTCGACCGCGAGCGGGTCCGTCCGTATCTCCGCTCCTCACCCCTCCGTTCACCCGATCGCTCGTCGTCTCTGGCCATGGTTCAGAGGCGAACGTCCGATAGTGAGTTGTCTCCTGCCCTCCAAAAGGCTCTGGCAAGGATGGGCTGAGTTGGGATGAGATTGAGATGAGGACCCCTGGCAAGAGATGATCAACGCCAGACCCTCCTTGACTGTTTGCGACACGGCTTCGAGAGACCTCGGAAATCAAGCTTTCTCTCTCTCTCTCTCTCTTTGGTTGTTTCCAAGATGTGACAAGCAGATCGCACGTCAGATGTTTTCGACAAGGATGGAATTCCCCCAGAGAAGGGGTGTGGGTGGGGTTTGATATGTTGACGTCGAATCGGCCGTCTCTTTGTTTGACCACAGTTTCAGCGTCGAGAATCTGCCGCGACAGTGAAGCCGATCAGCCGAAGGGCCTACACCCAAATGGAGAGGAGCTTTCGGAGGATGCCGAACGGGCCTAATTGGCGAAGAGAATTCTGCGACGGCAAATGCACATGTACACAGCCCAAGATATGGAAAATTGGGGCGGCGCTGGCTCTTATTGTAGAAGGTTAGCCGTATGCAATGTTGTTCGATCTTGAAGGACACAACGTCCGTGCCTTCTGTGGGCGGAAGAGAAAAGTTGGAGACTTCCAAGGTCTCGCGGCGTGGCTGGGGACCGGAGCAGTGATGTGGGTACCCCAATTTCGGCCCCGGAAGGCAGCAAATACCGTGCCGAATCCCCCTCACCTTTCTACGACCAGTCCGAAGATAGTGCTCGAACCACGGCACCTCTCCCCAGGATCATCATCTGTCGCTTTCTAGTCTTCTTAGCCCAGACACTTTCTGGCTCGTTGTGAGCCTCAATTTGCAAGATACTCGGGGAAAGGATGGGCTAGTTTCTGTTTCTATTCCAATCACCAGATTGTCAAAATATTCTATAAGCAAGTACTTGTTCTGTGAGTACTCTGATGCAGCTAGTAGTAGAGGGTATCGTCCAAACACCACAGATGCAAATCGGAAAACGGCTGAACAATGCCGACCTCCCAAAAGACCCCCTCCTATCCATCGTCGCGGGTAGAACATTATGCAAAACCTTATCCTTTGCGAATCCCCCGCTCGACACACACCGTCACCTCTCATCCTGACTCGGGTATGGGCGAATTGTTGTGTATCGAGCAGCCGAGGCACTGACAATCGTCGCCGCAAGGGCACGAGGACGTCTCGCCAGCACATCCATCGCCGTTGAACGGGTACGTCACAAAGAAGAAGTCGTTCGCCGATAGTGCCTGTTCTTCGCTCAACACTGAGGCTCCATCGGAAGGCGTTTGCGGCCCAGCAGGAGAACCGCTATTCTCGCCATTCGTGTGTGCATCCATTACGCGGGCGCCAGTCCCGTTGTTCATCGTAGTCTCCGCGTGCCCGTTCGTGCCATTCGTGCCGTTTGTACCATTCGTCATTCCATAAGAGTCGTCCAGCATGCTGGTGTATGCAGATCGCACGTAGTCTTGCGTCGCGTCGTTATAAGGGTGAGCCGCACAGCCTACACACTGGCAGCCGTTGCCACAGCTACACATGTGTGATGTCGACTCGGGCATCATTGGAGTTGTGCCATCCGGGGTAAAAAGCGAGTTCGGCATCCCGCCGTACGAAGCTGGCTGCGGGATTGGCTGTCCATACTGCTGTGCCTCCATCTGCTGCTTCCACTGAGCAGGCTGCAGCGGCGACATCCAAGATCCGTATTGCGGCGGATATGTGAATACAGTAGGTTGAAAGTATGAATTGTACATGCCCTGGGGTATAGCAGTCGGTGTCTGAAAAGGCGACATAGCTATGGCGCTCGACGGCGACATGTGACCATTCGGCATTTGATGTACGTTCGTGTCTATTGCAGGCGCCTTGCCAGAACAACAACCTCCTGTCTTCGGCTTTGGTTGCGTCTTGGGGCTTGAGCTGACACTGGAAGGCCGTGTTGAGCTCCCCTCGGCCTTGTTCGGCCCTGAGCAACATGAGCCACCCGTACTGGTACTCGTCAGGGATGATGCAGGGGCTGACTTCGGCGTCCCATTCGTCTTTCCTGAGCAACAAGATCCTTCATTCGATGCCGCTATAGGGATGGGCGTTGTTGAAGTCTGTGGTGTTTTAACAGTCGAGGATAGGGCATTCGTCTGAGGGATCGCTATGGCAGCTCCCGGTGGGAACATGGGCGCAGGCATCTGCTGCGGGAACATCGGATACATCATGGGTTGGTGGAAGGCGCCGTTCACACTGCCCATCATGGTCATACCGCCGTACTCCATCCCCATTCTCGGCGTGGTCATGCCCGGCATGCCACCGTTTGCATGGGGTATATGATTCGCTTGAGCCGTTTCGTAAGGGGGTAGTATGTTGATGTTGGCGGCGTCCATCCTCTCGAAGTTTACTGGGTCGAACGACTGCTTGCGACTGGTCGCCTTAGGGGCGGACTTTTGTATGCGAAAAGAGGCTGCGGATGCCTTGGTCGGGGACATTGGCGGGGCGTCGCTCATTGGCGACTCTGCCTTGACGATACCGGGTGATTCTGCGGGCGTTCCGCCGTTACTGGAGCCGCAGCCGCATTTCTGCTTTCTTGGGATGGCGGCTGTTACACTACCGCAGCCGCAACCGCGGGCGGGCGGGTGAGGACATGTGCTCAAGGGCCTGCCGGGCTTTCGGACGGGGACCATCAAGCGTTCATTCGCATGGGTGCATTTGGTGGAGCGATGACCACGGATGCATGGCTCGCTGAGCGGGCGAAGGGTGAAATTATCAGCTCAGGGTCCAGCCGGGGGGGGATGCGGGATGCGGGGTTCAAACGATGGGCAGTGAAAGAGAATAGTCGTGATAGACGAGGACAGAGACGATGAGAAAGAAGAGAAACCGGGGGAGGGAGATGGGCAGAGACGCAAGGAAGAGGACGTTGCGACTTACCAGGCCATCTTCTGCCCGTTGATGAGCGGCATGGTGGGCTGTGGTGGGGGTTGGCTCTCAAGGTTGCTGTGATACGCGAGGGCGGAAGAAATTTTGGCGATTCTCAAAGTCGTGAAAGTACAATGTGCTGAACGTTCTCGAGAAATAATTGAAAAAGCTGCGATGAATGTCGCTCGTTCAGGCTTCGACCCCGACAGACCTCGGACGGTGGGAGTGAGGGGCGGCGTGGAACATGAAGGCGGACGCCAGCTCTCAAGGTGCGGCGGTGGTCGAGTCTCGGTTCTGGTCGTCGCTGGTTCGTGGTCGATATCGGCTGGATGTTGGTTTTTGCGACGCAAGCAAGCAAGCTAAGTATCCGGCGACGGTCGGTGAATCGGCTCAGCGAGCGAAAAAGGCCATGTGATGATTGAGCAGGCGCCCAGGTAAGATGGGTCGGGCTCCAGCGCGAGGCAATTCGGTAAGTATGTCGAGTGAGGAATGCGGGATGGGAAGCTGGAGATTGGCGAGAAACGAACGGCGTTTCGAGCATGAAGAGGTTTAAAGCTGCGTGCAAGGGCGTAAGGGCGAGTTTCTGGGTATTGAAGGAAGGCAGCGAATCGCCGGGTCGGCAAAGCAGCGGAATTGTTACTGCTTGTGGGCTTGTGGGGGGATGGCGGAAGACGAAGATGGGCAGGTGCGCAGGGTCAATGGGACGGGACTTGGATGGCAGGGCAGCAAGAGCGACCGTGGGAACACGAAAGGGCCCTGTAAACCATTTGGGGGAAGGATGTCGGGGAGACTGGGCTTGGCCTGTCTGTACCTTACGGATACAGTCCACTGTGAAGGAGGGAGGAACAATACCACCACCTGCTCGAGTCGAGTCAAAAGTGTACAGATAGGTAAGGTAAGCTACCTTAGGGAAAGTGCAAGTCTGAGCAGCCCCTTTTTTTCTTCTTCATCCTCCTCCTCCTCCTCATCGCCTCACGTCACCTCACCTCACCCGAACTCCTTCCCCCGATCCGAATTCAACACAAGTCATAGTAACTGAGTAACCCAAAGCACTTGCACTAGCGGCCCCCGTGCTGGATGTCCTACCTTACCTTGGCATCACCTAGCCCGGCCTAGCCCAGTCCCCAGCCCCAGCAGCGGCGACAAGGACGCCCAAGAGAAGCACAAGCACCAGCGGCCGCGGGCGAGAGCGATGGATGGGGCGCCGCGGACGGGAGGGGTGCGCGAGTGAGGTGAGGATCCCGGTAGCGCATCGAAACAGCCCCACGTGCGGGGGTTATCACAACCAAGTGCCTTGCTATACCTTATCCGCTGCGGCACTGTCTGATTCTCTGTCCGCGCCTGGGTCTCTACTCTCTACACTACTATGTACAGATGAGATTATAAAGATGCCCAGTACTCAATGCTCGCTCGGTGACGAGTATGCTTATCCATTCTTGTGAGTGCGTGTGATGAGAGCCCGGACGGGAGAGTTTCTGTCAAAGTTCTCATCACAGACGGCATGCCAAGTCTGTCCGTCCACTTACCTACCTAAGGACCAAGGAACTGTGTGCCCTTTCCGGCTATGCCACCTTAGTCTCGTCTAACAATCCGAGCTTGCACATGTCCATGTTCCCTTACTGCCTGCTTCTTCCTGCCTGACATGAGTTGTACATGAGACGACTCTAGATGGCCCTGTCTTGCTATCTACTTCTCTATCTCTCTACCTCTCATCGGGGCAAGCTTTTTTTGACGGAAACTCTTGTAACCAACTCTAAGGCACGTTATCCAGTAGCGTAATAGGGCCAACCTAGGAGATCTACCCTTTCTCGATGCGACATGTCCTGTGCTGTTATTGTATCTGCTCTACACCAAGCAGCGCCGGTTGAGGGAAATAGACGCTCGGGACGCTTTTGCGGCCAACGCCATCTCAACGTGGAAGTGTGCCACCACCAGTCCAAGGATTACGGACTAGCCAACAAGACCGACCGCCTGGCTTCCTATGCTGCACAAGACAAAGCAATGGTGAGTTGCCGGTATTGCAATGAGGAGAGAGGGGTGAGAGAGATGGCTGACTGGGAAGCTCCGGCTGTGAAATAAGCCGCGTGGTCTCTGCCGGGATGCGCTGCCCAACTCGATAAGAAGCTAACTCTGATCGCCGTTTAGTACCGAATTCCCGTTTCCTTGCCATCCGTCTCTACTTTCTCTGCACTGTTCGCAACAGCAAGCATCTTCGGCTATATTCCTTCTTCGTGCCATTCTTCCCTCTTGACGTGTTGTCATGCTCCATATCGAGCTCCATTATCAGAGGAACTTTAAGACAGTCAAGGGTTCAACTCAGAGATCCCGTACAACCACCCACCCTCTCTCCCACTCTCTCACGCATCGCTCTACTGCCTGACTCTCTGTTTGACGGGCTGTCGCTCCTCCCACTCCCGCGAGTCGGTGCCGAGTCCGTGGTCGGGCCAGGCTTAGGTTCCAGTCCAGGCCGGGAATGAGAATCAGGTACCTATCAGAAGTTGGTAGACCTCTTTCTTGATAAATCGAATGCCTCTATGCATCATCCTTGCACGCCGATTCGAATCTGCGTCTTGTCACAGTCTGTGGTTCGTTATCCTCCCGTATTAGTCGTCCATGGTCCACGATGCCCGCACGGATATCGCGCCAGATTCCCAGCCCAGCTTTCGCTGGCAATGAGGCATTCCGTGGGCCTGCAATCAACCCATAAAAGAACGTCCAACGGCCGCGCGCCCTACATCGGGAAATTCGAGCGTGGCCGGCTGTGGGCAATTAATACCGAAGAGGCCGTACTTGGGAGGGTGGGAGCGAGCAAGTTTAACACACAAAAAAAAAACTCCACCGTCAGAGGCTCGAGAGGCAAGGGAAGTGAGCAAGTTTTGATTGGCCGGATCCGGCACCACCAAAATTCAACGAGACGGTCGTCGAACGAGTTACCACCTTTTTCGCCCCTGCGCGGCCACCAACAAGAGACCACTTCATACGAAGAATGCGTATCCATGGCTGTGCAGGAGTAGCGCTTGCAAAGGGAAAAAGGGTACCTAATGTGGACACTCGTGATGTAACTTTGTGCTTGTGCCGCATGTCGCCGGCATTGGAGAGCTTCGCTTTGCCATTATAGCGGCTTCGTTTCTCCGTCGCAACTTTTTACGCTGGCGGAAATCTATGCTGAGGTGAGAAGAAGGAATCGACTACAGTGATGAAAGTCCCTCAGGTTCCGCAGTGTCAAACAACGCTGTCAGCTCCAGGCCAAGGCAATCCGCCAACCGTCATCTCACTTGTACCGTTGTGTCTCGTCCTTACATATACTGGCCGGTCTGCCCATCACCCCTTATACGTTACCATGCCATGCCTCCCCGAGCGGCAACGGGCAGCCCTCGTTGAGCAAGTCGCCCTGCCATCCTCTGCGGGACTCTGCGGGACTCTGCGGACTCTGCGGGACGGCTGCCATAGCCCTCCACATACACCCTGTCCGCTCACGGCCCAGTCAAGACGTCTGTGTTTGCAGTGATGTTCTTCAGATACCCCGGATCTTCAAAGGGTGAGCAGTGTTATCAATCGTCCCAGCTCGCCGCCTTGCCCCTGGTGTCGCCTTGGCCTACTTCAAGAACCAGCGCCTACATACGCCACGGGGGTCTAGTTACCCTCATCCGAATCCCCAGAGTCAGCAAACATGTCCACTGCTCGCATTCGTTTCCTGGTCTGGCCCTTCGACTGGGTTGATAGCTGTACACGTCCGACAGTGTGTGTGTCGTCAATCTCCGCGGTCTCTGCCGCTCTTTCTGCCTTGCTGGTGGCCTCGCCGAATGATGGCTGATCCTTTGCCGTTTCGGTCGCGTCCTCTTCCATCGGCTCCCCCTCGACATCGTCGTCTGCCATGAGTTCACCCTCCACATCCTCCTCGCTCATTGGCTCACCCATGACATCGTCTTCTTCCATAGGTTCGCCGGCAATGTCCTCCTCATCCATCGGTTCGCCTTCGACATCCCCCTCCCCCTCCTCCTCCTCCTCCTCCTTGTCGGCCATTGGCTCTGACACTCTCTGGTCAAGAGTGCTCGTTGTGGCAACTTCGGCGGCTGGTGCCGACGTCTTATCAAACACCTTCCATCTGCTTTTCTTTGCCTCGTCATCTTCGATCTGCTTCTGTGTCTTCGATGATGGCGGGTTTTCGAAGCTTTTGGCGAACAACTCCTGACTCTCCGTCGGAAAGACACACCAGCCTTCCCAAAGACTCAGAACTAGACCAATGCTTCGCTTCCACTTCTCAGCTCTGAGCCTGCCCCAGTTTAGCCTCTCTGCCATTAAACCCAAGCCCTCAAAAACCTTGCGCTCTTTGAGTGCTCCTTCGAAAATTTGTCGATAACGCCAAGCACGTTGGATGCCGCTACTAGAAGAGGCGGACAGCACGTCGCTGACAACGTATAGGCCCACAAGGCTTGCGCCGCTGGCTTCGGGACCCTCTTTCTCAGCTTTCTCCTCCGGCTCAGGCCCTGGCCCAGGAGGCTCTGAATAATCTCTTTGTCTACCCTTCTCTTTGCCATTCGACCGCAACTCTGGGTTGGCTGCCGTTAGTGCAAACGGCTTCTCGACGTTCGAGACGATCATGTCGACGACTTCCTTGGCACCCCGGCTTGCATGCGTAAGAGCGAATGTTGTCACTCGGGCAACATCTCCTTTCCGAATTTTGGATAAAGTGGTGGGCAGGCGCGATAAGAGATGGGTCAGCTTTGCTTTGTCAAGGGGGTTCAGGAAAGTAGCCTCTGCTTCAGGCCCCTGGTTCTGATTCTCGCGGTTCTCCCCGTCAAAGTCCTCGTCATCTGAGGAGTTATACTCCGAGTCGGACACGAACTCGTCAATTTTGGTGACGAACTCGAACGGTAGACCTTTCTCTGGGGCTTTCCAGGCGTGACTGCCGTCAAAAAGCGGCAGATATCGTCCCTTATTGCTCCAAGCAGACGCTCCTGTGATGATCTCCCACAGCCGCCATCGGTACCAGATGCCTCCTTCGCTTCGAGCGTCCCAGATCCAAGACCACTTCTCCTCCCGCTGTACCTCAGGGCGACTCATCAATAGAGCCTCCAGCTCCACGCCGTGCTCGAGGACCGACTCAATGGTCTTGTTGATGAGCTGCACCATCTTGACATCGTTTGGAGGCTTCACAGGCACATGAAGAATACTGCTCCGGTTGACTGGTCCACCAATATTCGGCCCGTACGAGGTTGGCGGTGCAAATCCTCGATGGAAGGCATGTTGCGTTGTCGCATTACCAGGCGTTGTCTGCTGCGACACAGGTTTGGCACCAAAAGGCTGCGATCCGGCAGATGTGCCACCCAGTGTCGATGTTGTTGTTGTTGTGGCCACTGCTGAGGACAGATGCCGGTGTAATGACAAGTTACAGCCGTAACCGAGATATCGATTTTGTAGCAAGCTTACGACTGCGTCAATATCTGTTGCCGGTGTGTCTGGCGACAGTGTGACAATAGCCACGGCGCATTTCTTCTCTGTACCAGAAGGTCCCATAGGTGGTAAAATCTTGACGTGTTCGACATTTAGGCTTGTCGGGATCATTGACTTGATAAAGGCAGGAGATGTTCCAGGCGGCAATTGAGAAAGACGCAACGTAGGCCTGGCCACTGCAATTTCCTCGGCTCTGGAGTCTGTTTTGCCTTCGTCCTCATCGTCACTGTCGTGGAAGACCTTGGCGACCGACATCGGTTCTTCCCTTTGATCGAACCCAAGTCTACCATCTCTGTCCCTCTCTTGTCGGTGCGCGTCGAAGCCTCTCTTCCTCCCCAGCGACCCTGGCGGGGGCCCCAAGCTTCCCGGGCCGCTCTTGAAGCTTGAATTAGGACCTAGACTACCTGGGCCGCTCTTGGGATTGGATGCGCCAAAGTGCCGCTTGGATGGCGCAGGTGCGCCCAACGGAGCGCCGCCAAACCCAGCGGCCTTGGGCGGAGGTCTTTGTGAAGGCATCGAGCCAAATCGGCCGGTGGTCGTGTCATCGTCATCGTCATGATCAAAGCTCTTGACAAAGTCCTGGTATACTGCGGCAGTCTCGGCAGCCTCGCGGGCCTTTTTCGCTTCTGCCTCAGCTCTCTGTTTCTCGAAAGCGGATTGCTTGGACGGTTTCTGGAGCTTCGCCTCCACGTCGGGAAATTCGACGAGGTTCTTCGCCGATGACATCGCTACCGGTATAGTCGTGAAGCTTCTTGTCGCATAGTCGTGATCGAAAGAATTTTCTCGTGATCGAGAGGTGCGTGGTCGCGGGTCCTGTTTGACGGTACTCGTGAAGTTGCAGAGGAGGTTCAGAGCAGCGGTTCTGTAAGTTAAGGTACATCTTTAAGTGCGCCCGACACCCGCAGGTTGCCGTGTGCACTGTATGGAAGGAGAGGAGTAGGACTTTCCCACTGTTTGTTGCCACTTTTTGCTGTGGCTTGACCAATCTGAAGCCACACTTCATTGACTTCGCACCTTGAATCTACCAATGTACCTTACAACAAGGTCAAGACTGGATGAGATTGATGTGCCGCGCAGCTTCCCCAACTCGGACTGACACCTCCAAGCAGAGAACATCTCGTCCCGAATACGTCTAGGGATTTGGTGGAGTGGTACAACAGATTATGTGGAAGAAGGGCGTTCTTCAATATCTGGGTTTTGAATATCATCCACTGTATCACTGACGCGGTCCGCCTCATTCACCGTATCTTGGTGACCCATGCAAGCTAATTCGGTAAATGGGCGACCGAGCGGGAGATGCCCTGTGGAGACTGAAAAGGCCAGATCGGATTCCTTGACGACGCTCCAGAACCGAAATGGAGGACGAAACTTGTCGTCGAAGTGAAGGATATGTACCGGACAGATCTGGGGTTTCTGATACATCAAGAGCAGGCTGTTTGGGCTTGGGGAACAAAGCCGCCTACCAATGGGGCTACCTTTTAGGATCGACCAAGTGGACAAGAGCGGGCGATTCCAAGATTTCAAAGGCCTCTATAGTAGCTGATGCCCAAGAAGGGTAGTTGCCGGCGCAAGTATTATTTCGCGGAGATGGTGACGGCGGTAGAGTTGGAGAAGGGGGGGTAGGCCCGTACCTTAGTTAGTCGAGTTGGGGTGAGCTGGGTCCCCCGAAGTGTCAACCATCAAGGCACTCGGTCGTTGCACACTCTATCCATCAAGTTTCAATTTCCATGTGTTGTCATTAAGCTATGAGAGCTTAATTACGGAATGAAAGTGACGAGGAGTGGCGTGATTCCTCGCTTCCTCTTCAGCCTCTTCTACGGTCGATTCTTCAGCCAACCATCCTCGTCTTTAGTCTCTTTACCCTTTAGAGATGTGTCTGCCGTACATTTGGCCTACAGGTCAGTGCCGAGGCTGGTTTTGTTGCCCTCTTTCTGAAATTCATACGATTTACCAGCTTCCCTTCTATAACTCTACTCGCATCCTTTCCTCTGGCAATACACGCTCTCATTGAGCACCTCGACCCTTCTTGGAAGTCTGCGGAAGAAGTTTCTATGTCTACTAGTGCTACCGGCGATATCTCTGCCTATGTCTCAGCTTTGGCGTCGGCATTGGAATCAGGGTCTGCTTTTTCGCACTATCGGGCTCTGGATCTGCTTCAGTGCGCAACACCGGATTCTATGCCATCGGCCTTTACATTGGCTTCCGCTTCAGCCTTCCTGTGAGGCCTCACTTCCATGTCTAGTTCTGCGTCAGCGGGGATAGAAAAGTCGACGTTCATGCTCTGGTAATACAGATGACCTACTGTGTCACTCAGCAAAAACGACGAGGGAGTGCTAGCTGACGTCGTCGCCAATCCCTGTGAAATGTAACCCCTCAGTCCTCAATATCGTCTCGGCTCCAAGGTATTTATGAACGGCGGCGTACTACTGCAGTTGGTTCATTGCAGCCAAAGCCAAAGCCGTGCCGGAAGTCGTTGTGCTGATTGTAAAGAAAATAGACGGCTTAGCCGCTCAGCATCTGGCAGCAAATCAGCATATTGACCACAAGCATTTCCCTCTAGTCGTCGTCTATCGCATTGCCCAGCAAACAAAATACCACGAGAATTTAATAGAGATACCTAGATCCCTAAGCTTATCGACCTTACCGAGGAGATGACTCTTGCCCAGTCAGGAGTCTCCATCATAGACGACACAGTCGCAATGTTGCCTAGGAGATTTGACTGACAGCCATTCCTCATGGATGGATGTTGGGTGCCAGAAGTGTCAGGTGTGGATATAATACTTGTCAGAATGTCAATTCAGACAGACTCTGGTCTGTTTTTCCATTCATTTATCCATGAAGATCATCACATGGCCTGGGGGCAATTCAACAAATCAAAGCTTTGGGAAACAATCTGAAAAGGAACAGAAGCAAATAGAAGTTGGCGGGCATATGATCAGGTTTGCATCGCTTACAGAATCAGACGGCACCGGGGAAAGTAATCATCGATCAGTGGGCCCTGATGCTGAGGCGAAGGTCAATGTGAGCCCTATAGGACGACGGCATTTGTACATCCAGATATATTATCCAAAAGAGAACGCGCTGTCGCTTGATTCAAGGGAGAAAATCCACAGTGGTTCTGAGCTTGTTCAAATAAAAAAAGGTGCCAAAATTTATGTATATCGCTGATGAAGAAGTGGGAAGCCCGTGACCGGATGGACCTCTCGGTTTGTAGGACGAACAGATCGTCGAATTTATGAACCGTTACCATCGCAAAAACACACGGTAACTCCGCAGCATGTCACTGGAGAGCAAGACTCAATGAACCTTGAAAAGCGAGCCAAACACAGGTTTACTATGCTGCGCCACTGTGTGATCATTTACCCAGACATAGGTTACACCAGTGCCGGTGTTCGACAGCCTTGAACAACATGACGGCACGATGCCAGCGTGGTCATAACTCAATCATCCACGACAGCTGTTCCAGCGCGCAGTAGCAGAGCCAGTGGCGACCCAACCCGTGGGGAACACTGACAATGATATCAAAAGGGAACACGAGCTGGTGTTGTTGATCATTCCAAGATCCCACCTTGTGAGAATATCGTGATATTGAGAGCGCCCATGGGCCCAAAGAGAACCTGGCAGATTCGTTCTACCCACACACCGGACCAAATCCAAGGAAAAAACTGAACGATGGATATCACCGCCAAGAAACCCATATCACCGCCTTTTTTTTTTTTTTACTCCCTCATCATAATCGAGGCAAACTCGTCGTCTATTGGAAAGAAAGTCAGCATCAACCACCGCGCCCACTCCGGCCAAGTCGAAGCCGGAGGAGAAAGAGAGAATGGAGGTCATCTCACAGTCAATTGAACCATCACCGTCCTTGTCAGCCATTTGAATCATCTCGTCAATCTCTGCCGCAGTCATGTTCTCGCCCAGCGAGGTGAGCACGTGGCGCAGCTCCTCGGCCGAGATGGTGCCGCTGCCGTCGCGGTCAAAGACCTTGAAGGCGTTCTTGAGCTCCTCCTCGGCGTCGCCAACCTGCACCTTTTGCGCCATCAAGTTGAGGAACTCTAAGGCACCAGAAAGACTCCTGTCAGCATACATGTCCTATAGAACCTTGAGAGGAGGTGGTCCATCTCACCATTGAAGTCAATGGTGCCATTATTGTCGGCGTCAACCTCGTTCACCATGTCGTTCAACTCGGTGTCGCTGGGGTTGAGGCCCAGAGACCTCATTACCTCGCCAAGCTCCTGGGCGGTGATGTCACCTGCAGGGACGATATCAGTTTCCATGATGGGATGGAGAAGAATTATAAATCAGTGGTATAAAAAAACAGAGGGGTATTGATGAGCGCAAGATGAGATGGAAAAGGGTCTGAGCCACTCCCTTTCCCATTCACCCTACCAAAGAGGGTTCATGTCGAGTTTCAATCCCCCGATTTGTCGAGGGAAATGGAGGCGAAGCAAAGCAAAAAATAAATGAAAAAAAGGGTTCGTAGGAGAATATAAAACTGACCGGTCCCATCCTTGTCCTATGCCGCGCGGGTAAGGCGTCAGTAAAGATGATCAATTTGAATTGGAAGACTGTATTGCGCATGGTCTACACAATGCGCCGCCAGCTTGACGTATGACAAGATGGAAAAGGGGAGAGGCATTGAGGCAGCCCGAGAGAAACGGAGTGGTGAGTGAGAACTTACGAAGAGGTCAAACACCTCCTTGTATTGCGCTCTTTGCTCTTCGGTCAACTGTGCGGCCTACCAAACGCATGCTAGCTTCAGTTCACTGGAATCCCTTGGTATATACTGGCGATGCGAGTCTCACCATTTTTTATGAGGTCGTCTTTTTTTGGGTGACGGGTTTGTTTGCGAAGGAAGATTTGGGTGAGTGAGAGGTGCTTTGAGACAGGGAAGACGGCGTGGGATAGCTGAAAGCGGGGATGTGACCATAGGCCCCGCACGGTGTGGATGGTGTGAGAATAAAAAGGATTCATACGGCCCCGTAAAGAGCCGTAAGGTGGGCTGGGCTGCCTCTAGCCCAGTTTGCGTCAATGTTTCCTTGCGTAGAAGCCCAACGGTCATCATTAAGTCAGCCTTGTCGTGATATGATATCTGACTGGGCTGCTAAGTTTTGTTTGCTGCGCTCGGGAGGTAGGTGCATGAGGTAGTGACGGCGCGACAGCGGGCCTCTGCTTGACACCTGGGCCAGCTCAAGGCTTGCAGGGTTAAGTTTCTACCACTTTCCATTCCGTTGCATTGCGTTGGTTTTGTTTTCACTCTCCTTTCAGCCTCACCAACTATCGACATCTTTTACTTCACAATGTCACACCATACATACATAGATCGTCGACAAAGCCGTGGTGTAAATGTCAAAAATGACAAAAATTATCAGGGCCCAACCGCGATTCGAACGCGGGGCCTCGCCCATTCAAGCTATGCTGAAGGGTTTGAAAACCCGAAGGGCGAATCATACCTCTAGACCATTGGGCCTGATGTTATTCGTTGACTCTCGAAAAGAGAAGCGGACCTAAGACCGTAAAGAGACCAGTCTGGATCGTGGAGGTAAAAGGCAAAGAGACAAACATCCGCGCACTTGAGTTGGGGCATAATGCCGGTTATTTGAGCTCAATCCGACAGCCCAGCGCACTGGTTTCATTACCCAACATTACAATGCCAATCCCAGCAAGGATGACGTTGATAATCGCCCATCTCCGGGAAGATTACAGGACAACGCTCTGCTGCCCAACTATCGTCAGATGCCATTTTCTTCCGGCGAAAAACAAAGCCAACACATCTATCCAGCCGGCGCCTACATCGGAAAGGCTAAGCTCCCCAGGTTAAAAAAAACCACGCAACACACTGCCGCGACACCTAACCCACCGCCAGAACTTTCCCCTCATGCAAGTGTCGGCCGACCTGCGAACCAACCTTACCGATCCCGACCATTCCCAACTGGTTGAGCCCCCACCAACATGATCACCCCCGCGCCCTTCCCTCCTTATCGCAGGGAAAGAAAGTGAAAGGGACACCGGTCGGCCCCGCGCCAAGCACCCGCACTCGATCGACGAGTCAACAATGTCCCAGACCTCCCAGGTCCGTCCCTTGCCCCGGGGGTCAAAAAACTGACGAAGTTACGATACACCGGTTAAATGACCCCGCCAACGCCATTTCCAGCAAGCAAGTCAACGCGACACCAACCCGGGGAGTCGGAAAATGCTACTCACCTCCCACCAGACCCCATCGATAATTAAGCCAGAGAAAAAGGAGGAGAGAAAAATTGACCTCCGATAACGCCCTACCTTGTCCGTGGGCGGTGAGCTTTCCGCACCACCGTCCATCCCCCTTCCCACCGCGAATCGACCCGCACTAATAATACTTCGTCCTGTCCTGTTAGTCGCATTTGTTAAGGTAGGTAATGTTTCTCACCTGCGTCTTTGGCTTCAAAAGTTTCCAAGAGTGCCTCTACCCCGTGTGATCTGCTTCCCATTCTCGCGCCGGGTACCCACACCGATACCACACGAAAAGGACCCAGGTACGGATACCTTCCACAGACATACGCGAGACAAACAACACAAGATGCCCTCCGACCCGGCGGCGGCGGCGGCGACAGAGCCAACACCCTCCTCAATCCTCATCATCGGCTCCGGCGTCTTCGGCCTGACCACAGCCTACGAGCTCGCCCAGCGCCCCCGCTACGCCTCAACAAAGATCACCGTCCTGGACCGCTCCCCGGTTCCCGGCCCCAGCGAGGACGCCGCCTCCGTCGACTCCTCCCGCATCATCCGCGCAGACTACGCCGACCCGGCCTACGCGACCCTCGCCGCCGAGGCCCAGACCGAATGGCGTAAAACATCCCATCCCTCTGACCTCGGCGCGGAGGGCCGCTATAGCCAGTCCGGCCTTTGCCTCGTCGCCGACCCCGTGCCCATCGCCTCGACTGCCTACCTGTCCTCTGCGACAGCAGCAAAGACCAACGCCGATGCCAAGCAAAAGGCCAAAAAGACCTCCCTCGAATACGTCCGCGAAAGCTACAACAACGTCGTCTCCCTGGCAGGCAAGGATGGCGACAAGATCATCAAGGAGCTGCCCACGCCCACAGCCATCAAGGAGTACCTAGGCACGCCAGAGGCCCCCGGTTCATGGGGCTACATCAACCCTCTCGCAGGCTGGGCCGATGCCGGCGCCTCAATGTCCTACCTCGCGCGTAAAGTCCAGGCTCTCAACCGCGTGACCTTCCTCTCCGGCGTCGCAACCCGACTAAACTACACGCCTGATAAGTCCACAGTAACAGGCGTGACGCTCCAGGACGGCTCCGTCCTCTTGGCCGACCTCGTCGTCGTCGCCGCCGGCGCGTGGACCGGCGCCCTCGTTGACTTGTCCGGTCAGGCCATCGCCACGGGCCAGGCCGTCGGCTACATCGACATCACCCCCGCCGAGCTCGAAGTCCTCCGTAAGATGCCCGTGACCCTCAACTTCAGCACCGGCCTCTTCATGATTCCCCCCTCGGGCTTGCAGCTCAAGGTCGCCCGCCACGCCTTCGGCTACCTCAACCCAACCGCCATCCCTCATCCGTCCCCCTCGACCCCGTCCTCCGCGGAATCAACAGTCTCCCTGCCCGCAACCCACCTCACCGACCCCAAACTCAAGTTCCCCGCCGAGGGCGTCGCCGCCCTCCGCAAGGCCGTCCGCACCATCGTCCCCATCCCCGCCATCCACGACCGCCCCTTCGTCCAGACCCGCCTATGCTGGTACACCGACACCCAGACGGGCGACTTCCTCATCTGCCACCACCCAGAAGTCCAAAACCTCTTCGTCGCGACGGGCGGCAGCGGCCACGGCTTCAAGTTTTTGCCCGTGCTCGGTCGTGAAATCGTCAACGTGCTCGAGGGCCGCGGTGACGAGGTGTTTACCGAAAAGTGGCGGTGGAGGGAGGTCAAGAGCAAGGCGGACGTGACCGATTTGTACGAGCACATCATGACTGAAGACGGAAGCCGAGGGGGCATCCCTGGTCTTTTGCTAAAGCAAGAGCAAGCCAAGCTGTAGACTATGTAAAATTTCTACTGAACGTAGGTACATCATGCTCAACGCAAATACCATATAGCAACTAGAGAGCTGTCAAAAATATGTAGTCACAACGAACATTTCAGTCAGTGAAAGTGGCTACACCATCAGTACATTCAGGAAGGGATACTGAGATATTGGAGGCTGCACGTGTCAAGTAATCGGACTGATAGATCTTGGTCAGTGGTGTAGAGCTGGTAGGTTCTGGGGTCAAAATGATAAGTCACATTTGACGTCACACATTCGCCATTAAGCTCTACTAGAAACCGGGCCCTGGCATTGTACTAAAAGATAATGCCGACTTATCGACTCAAATCAAACCCGGAGACTAAGGGCAGAGTAAGACTAGAGTGATCGGTCTTGTCGCCTGAGTACTAAGCCACGCTTACAGCAAAACCGGTTTCCCACATCCGCCAACAGTCCCTCCAGACCTACTGTTCAGGAGGCAACATCAACCCCCGTCCCGAGGCCACTGATTTCTCCCCTCATCCGGTCTCAGACCCCAATGCATCTAAGTCGAGTCCATTAAAGAACGGCAAGGTCGACCTGCGCATCTGCCGTCGACGATGCCACGAGCAGTCTATGTAGTGCCGCGGAATGAGAAATCTTATTCTTTTCGTTTGAATCAACCACCTGGCCGGAAACTTCCAGCGCAGATTAACCTCCTGTACCAACGCCAATGCAATGCAGCAGAAATTTCAAGTAAACAGAAAGAGCGTCGGTGGCTTGTGTCGTGGCCATAATGCCAGATGACGTACGCTCGAATTTTTTTGGGTGTGGTGTGCGGAAAAGAATTCGTGGTATCGTGAAAAAAAAGGTTTCTAGTCGTACAATGTCGGTGGTTTTGTTTCTGGTGGTAGTGGTGGTACATCGACTGGGTCGATGATCTCTCCATGCTTTCAAGTGGCTGTTTAGACCTTGCGGAAATCTGGGAAGGAATTAGTGGACAGAACCAGGAAAACGCCAGAGACGAAGGAAGGCACTCACCCTGAAGCACGGGATAGATCATCTCGAAAGCCTGATAAATCTCCTCCCTCACTTTGGCACCTGTGAGGACAATCTTGCCGCTTACAAATATGAGCAGCACAATTTTGGGCTTGATCATGCGGTAGATGAGACCAGGGAACAACTCCGGTTCGTAAGAACTGAAGTTGTGATGGCGCGAAGCAAGACCCTCCAGGCGGATAGGGAACTTGATATCGCAGGAGCCTACGATGTTCTGTATCTTGAAGTCCGTGAACTTGGCATTGAATCCAAGCTTCTGAATGATACGGGCATACTTGCGGGAGGCAAGTTTCGAGTCATCTTCAGATTTGGCGCCGGTCACAACCATCTTGCCAGAAGCAAAGATCAGGGCAGTGGTTTTGGGCTCGCGAATGCGCATAATGACAGCAGCGAAACGCTACAGGTTTTGATAGTCAGCGACGGTGCGACTGGAACAGTAAAGGGTTAAACCTTACCTTCGGGTTGTACTCTGCATTTCTCGCGTGCAGGGCAATCGTCTTGAGATCCAGGCGGCAATCGAGGTTTACCGTGGCAACGATGTTCCTTGAGTGGGCGAGATAAGCCTCATTGAGCAGAAAAAAGATCACTCATGATATACATACTGCAACGTAGGAGTCAAGCCACTGCCACCCTGCGTCGCGGCCGGCGTCGCAGCAGGTGTCGCGGGTGTCACCCCGGTACCGTTTGCAGGTTGCTGACCGTTGACGACAGGAAGTTGTCCGTTAACAGCGACCTTGTCGCCGCTCGCCTGTGGAGGTAGCTCGTGAGCGCCGCCTGGGAACGACAGTGAACCAGGCGCGGTGAAGGCTTTGGCCTGCGCAGCGCTCGTAGGATGGGTTTGAATCGCCTCCATGATTGCGGGTGGTGAACGAAAAGACGAAACTCAAGAGAGTAGCAGATCTGAGGCCGCTCTAGTTAGTGCCTGGTCTGAGTCGTAGTCGGGATAATGATAGAATATGAAGCACTGCTCTCGAAAATCGCGACTGCGGAAGTGATAATGAAACAGTGTGGAATGGATCGAGTGAAATGTGTCGATATCATGTGTGGGGGAAGGTTTGGTGAAGTGAGAGAACCAGAGTGCGTTTCTAGACTGCAAGGGGGAGAGCCAATCACGAGCGTTGACCACTGCACAGTTTTGTGGCGGAAAGGAAGGTGCGACAGAGATCGCTGAGCGAACGAGGAAGGTATGACCGTCCAAGGCAGGAGAAGCAGGAAAGGGGAGAAGGGCATACCAGTTGTTGGAGATGAACAAATAAATGTCTCCCCTACAGTGTCTGCCGAATAATAGATAGGTAGGTATGCGCGCGTCTTGCGATCCAAATTTTCTTGACGATCAATGCCGGGCTTGTGACAGCGGCGGGAACGGGATGCAAATGGATCAAGTGAGGTAGGCCGACGAGAAGGTCGTGGGTTTCGTAGGCGTCGCTTCGGTAATGTCGCGAATGACCCAGATACCAGCAATCAACTCGACGTCTCTGGATACCTCGTCACGGTTCAAAGCACGGTTGTCTCTATTCGGCGACGGATGCGTGCGATGTCTACAGAGTGCAGCGATTCGTTCTCGACCTGGTCTGTCGTCGGAAGGGTTCGCGCGGGGAATGTGACGGATGGATGTCTCGAGAGGAACGTATTCCAGTTCTTTTCTCGTCTCAGAGTAGGAAGTCCGGGAGCACTTTCAGTTAAGAAGGGATTCCGCCTGGGGTTCTGAGGGGTGACAGTCTGTCGTTGGTTAATAGAGGGAAAGTAGTCGACTTCCGAGGTGGAAACAGAGTCGCGACAGCGAGCTTGTTGTCCAGAAGGATTGCGAGGAAGTAGTTGATGACAGCGGTGATGTTGCGATGACGATGACGACGATGCAAGATCGTAATTGGAGATTTGGGGGTGGACTGAGTGGGGATGGAGAAGGAAAATTAGAAAGGCCGAACGTGAGTGGATGACTACGCAAGGCCGTCGGTCGGAGTTTCCGCGCAAGAATCTCGAAACAAGCGGGTTGGAGGGAGGCCTGCCTCTTTATAATTTTGGCCATCGCCCACCTGAGCAGTCGCCCCAACGACACCTCCCCTGCCACACAACCCAGGGGCCCCAGGCAGCCAGTGCGCCGTGGCGGTTGGTCCTGCTTGCCATTGCTTGTGCTTAGCGGCCGCGCTAAGGACTGCACCCAATCAAAATGCCAGAAAATGCTCATATTATCTCCTTCTTGTCCCCATGTATCCCTGCTGTGACCACCCAGCCCCTGAAGTACCGCAGCATTGCGTCCCAGGTCTCTCTACTTGCATTGCGAAATTCATTGATCTGCCCAAGTCTTTTCTCTCTTTTTTTTTTTTTCCTTTTTTCGACAATGCGTCCTGGCCAGTGCTTACCCTCTCCTTGCGTTGCTTTGCCTCCCACTTGCCTCTGGCGTGGCCTCTCGCTGGCTGCTGCCAGTCTTGATTCCCTTCACAACAGAGGCTGGGAGGCCCTCCCTGATGGATCCTATGTCATCGTCATCTGCCATCCTCTTTTTTTTTTTTTTCTCTGTTACCCCGGAGCCTGCTTTCTTGCCCTTCCACTGCAAGGCTTTCCCCCTTCATCTACTTTTTTTTTTTTTTTTTTTTTTTTGTCCTTTTTTTCCTCCTTTTTTTCTCTCCTCCCTTTTTTTTCTCTCTCCCTCCCCCTTTCCCCACCTTTTTTCCTCTCTCCCCCCCCTTTCCTCCCCCCCCCCCCCTTTTTTTTTTTTTTTTTGGGGCCTGTATCTCCTACTAGCTGTGACTCGACTCGCTTACTTTCCTGGCCCATCCCTGATGGCCACACTTTCTAGTCGGTCCTCCCTCGTTCTTCCGTCAACGCAACCCGGCTTGATCATCCACTCCGACCGCGAGCCCTTCTTCTTCCTCGCTTTCATTTCGGACCTGTGGCCAAATTGCGACCTTAACTCAGGTTTATCTACGACGAGCACGGATTTCATTCTTGTCATGATGCAGCGCTCTCTCATCACCTCTTGCCACTCCCTCACGACGCGACGGGTCAGCAGGAGCAGCACCGACACCATCGCGAGACCAACCATATCTGACAGGAGAATGACGACGATTCCGTTCGTCACAGCCCTGTACTCAAACAGAGGGAATCGGAACGAATGGCGCGTCTTCGTTTGCTCATGCCGCACCGCGCCAGCTCAGCCCAAACCTGCCAATCCAGCCGGGCAACAGGCCGTGGGCCGTGTCAAGACCATCTGGACGCCAACCAAATGCAAAATCCCACTGGCGGCGCTACCTCATACGGGTGGCCGCTACCACAAACGCTACCCACGACCTGCCGGCCCATTCCACCATTCCGCTCGCCTCTTCCTCCTTCCCACTCTGTCCCAGACTCACAGTCAACAAAACCCCCAGGCAAACTTCACAGGCTTCCCAGCGCCGCGTCAGTTTCTTTGGCTGCTGCAGCACACCCACGACTCCAGAGCCCAAGTGGGTGGTGTTCTGGATTGACAATGACTGGGCCACCCCCCTCCATCCTCACCCCTTTCTGGCCTGCCCCCTTCCCTCCCCCCTTTTTATGATTTCTTCCACCCTCCTGCCCCAGCAATCGGAGGGGACCTTTTCCCTTTTCTAACCCTCTTCCCTCAGTCTCCAACCACACGCTAGCGCTCTGAAACGCTGAGCATACCCCCTACTTTTGATGGCCTCACTGACGATCAACTCCGACACGAGCTCTGTCAGTGCAAAACGGCGGCAGCGGCAAGAACAGCAACATCAGCGAACGGCCTCGCCGTCAAACCTGTCAGAAGGATCACCAGACCACGTTGTCAGCATGTCGCCCGGACGCGAGAACACGACACAACGCGGGGACCGAACAACAAAAAAGGGACGGCCATGACCACGAGGAACGCGAAAACAGCAACTTTTTTTTTTTGTCAATGGCGTCTGCACTGCTTTCGGGCATCCGCGGTCTGTTGGCAGGAATTTATGGGCCGTGGCAGCAAACAGGCGGTTTGCGAGGTGTGAGTCATTGACTTCAGACCGGTTCCAATCGGCCAGTGCCAGCCATGGCAAGGGCGAGACGGAAAAGGGATTGGGGGGAAAAAGGCTGGGTCTCTGCCAGTCTGGGGCGTGTTTGTCGCCCGCCTCCCCCCCAGGCCCCCGCAACAAGAATGGCGCGTATTGGGTACGCGAGCCTTGCCACGCCGCGGGCCATTACTGGAGAATCTCTGGAACCCGAACTCTCGCTCGATGAAAAACTTTGTCGACATCCGCCAACGCCCTCCCAAACAAACCCACACTACCTGTGCTGTAAGTTCGCTCTCCCATGGCAGTCCCTTCAGCTCGACTCGTGCCTTTTTTCTCGACTTTGCCTAGCCCACGCATGCATGGGCGTTGCTTTGCCATCGACGCAGAGAAAGGGCGCTTGCACCAACAATACAGATGCAAATTTTATTGCAATCTTATAGCCAGGTATCAGTTACTGGGTCTCTCGCGGGACTGTGGCAATGGTCCGTGCACCCTCAAGTACCTCGGGATCCCTTCCGAGGTCGAGGTACACGTCCAGGTCTTGGGCTTTGCTCTCGCGACTCATGCATGTGCGAGCCAAAAACCTCAGGCCAAGTTTTCTTTTTTTCCATACGTCGCTTGCTTCTCTATGCGGCTTAAAGGCCGCATCTCGGCCTTGCGGGCCCTACGAATGCTCCATCCGCACTGCGACTCATGAGACCTCAAACATCAAACTCCAAAATCCGACAGCCTCGTTGGAACATGGAGGTGGTTCAGCCTCCGTCACGCAGCATGCTGTATCCCATTCCTGCCTCCATCGCGACGCCCAAGGTTTGGCTGCCCATGGCACTGCCAATTCGCTTTCGCTTTGCGCAGTGACTGACTATCCGTACTCCGTACGATAACAACCAAACAAACCCAAAGAGCTGCACGACTCGATGAGCTGGCACGCGGCGCACGCGAGCCGACGAGATCAAAGTGCGCACTTGTCCAACTGATGCTGTACGGATACTCTGGCCACTGAGACGGCCTGAGCCCGCATTCTTCACTCTTTTAATGTGTTCCGTTCCAGCCTCGCTCAACGCATGGAGTCCATGAACCACAATTGTCTCGCAAGTCGCGTCGCACCCTTGGTGTCTCCGATGTCGTTCCTCCATTCCGCCCAAAGTAGAGGTTTACCTCCGACCGGGTGGCACTCGTCGCAGTCGCAACTTGCAAGAGGGTAATGCACGCTCTGCAGGGACGGGACTCTTTTCTTTCTCGCTATGTGTGTCGGCTTGATTTAACGGGCCCCTCCCTCCACCTTCCCAGTCCCTCTAAATCCATTCACCAATCCATCCATCCATCCATCGGTGGTCAATCACGAGCCGAACGACGTCGCAAGAGTCGGGACCCCTTGACTTCGGCCTTCTTCCAGAACTCTTCATCATGCAGACTGAGAGTGTCGGGCATTCGTCTGATATGCCCACCGGCCTAGATGGGAAATCGCGTGTCGTCATTCACACAATAGGGAGTAAGGGTATCGCTGCGTCGTCTTTGCCGATGTGGCTGCCACGGCCGGTACTCACTTCTGCCGCTGCTGCTTTTTTTGGGTTATGAATGGTCTCTGCGCAATCACATGGCATCCTCGAGTTTCTTTGTCATGATATTCTGCCTTTGCTTGTTTTGCGCGCCATGGTGTTTCTACAACTATACATGCTACCATCCCGGTACCACAACCATTGACACCAGCATTCTATTCGGGGCCTCTAGGTGTTCATAGCATATCCTAACCCCCCCTTGCATGCCTAGCCATTTTCGTACCACCGTCTTTGGCATGCCGTATGAGTATCCATTTACAGTTTTTGTTTGGCCTGATGAGGGCCATGACGGCTTTGAACTCGTTCAGAACAGACGACAGAAGAGACAACAAGATCTCCCTGCATCAGATATTCCAGCCAGGAGGACGCTGATGGATAAAAGTCATCATCTCATAGTCTATGACATGTAGTACTTGGGACCCTCTCCGCCCTGCGGGACCTGCCAGTTGATGTCTTGGTTCGGCGCCTTGATGTCGCACGTCTTACAGTGGATGCAGCTGTACACGGTTCGAGTCAGTTTAACAGTTCTCTCATCACTCTCATAATCACACCGATTTTCTCCGCTGCTTCCCAAAGACCAGCAAAGGTGGGTGGGACATGGCAACGTGACAAGAAAATTGATTTGGCAAGGTGACGAGGGGGAGGGGAGAAAAATAAAACTTACTTTTGCGCGTTAATCTGGAACCTCACCCCGAGCTCCTTGGTATCGTCTTCGACATACTCGTACACGCCCGCAGGACAGAACCGGTTCTCGACGCCCTTGAACTTGGGCCACGTCTCGCGCGTGTGTTTCTCCCAGTCCTTGACCTGCAGGTGCACCGGCTGGTCCTCCTCGTGGTTCGTGCCCGTGCGGCTGACGCTCGTGAGGATGTCAAACGAGATCTTGCCGTCCGGCTTTGCGTATTCAATCTTGGAAAACTTGTCTGCCGCGCCCGTGGCCGCGTGGTCCGGTGTCTTGTGCTTCAGCGTCCAGGGGACCCGGCCCTTGAGGACGTACGCTTCGAGGCCGGAGTAGGCGATGCCGCCGTACAGGCCCAGCGGGGTGTGGAAGGATGGCCGGAAGTTGCGTACCTCTTTGAGTTCTTTCCAGATTGAGGATTCGCGGAGCTTGTCCTCATAGTCGTAGAGGAAGACCGTGTCCCGCTCCTTTTCCTCGGCTTCCTCTCCCTCTCCCTCCTCTGCCGGCGCGCTACTGCTAGACGGGGAGAGCGCGGCGAAGGCGGCCTCGGCGGCGAGCATGCCCGACTTCATGGCGTTGTGCGTGCCCTTGATCTTGGGCAGGTTAACGAAGCCCGCCGAGTCGCCAATGAGCGCGCCGCCGGGGAAAGCGCACTTGGGGATGGACTGGAACCCGCCCTCGATGAGGGCGCGCGCCCCGTACGTGAGGCACTTTCCGCCCTCGAGAACCTCCTTGTACATGGGATGGTGCTTCATCTTCTGGAACTCGCCGTAGGGCGAGACCCAGGGGTTCTCGTAGTCGAGCGCGACGACGAGGCCGATGCTCACGAGATTATCGCCAAAGTGGTACATCCAGCCGCCGCCGTAGAGGTCCTTGGACAGCGGGTAACCCATCGAGTGCGTGATGGAACCCCGCTGGAACTTTTCCGGCTGCACCTCCCACACCTCCTTGATGCCGAGCGCGTACGTCTGGTGCTGGCTGTCGCGGCGCAGGTCAAACTTTTTAATGACCTGCTTGCTCAGGCTGCCGTGGCATCCCTCGGCGAAGAGCGTGCAGCGCGCGTGAAACTCCATGCCGCGCTCAAACGCCTCCTTGGGCTTCCCGTCGCGGCCCACGCCGAGGTCATTTGTTGCGACGCCCTTTACGCTGCCGTCAACCTCGTTGTACAGCACCTCAGAGGCGGCGAAACCAGGGTAGACCTCGACGCCGAGCTCCTCGGCGCGGTCGCCCAGCCATTTGGTAAACTGGTTCAGCGAGACAATATAGTTGCCGTCGTTGTGCATCTGCGGCGGGGTCGGGAGGGGGATCGCGGCCGTCTTTGTAAGGAAGCGCATGCGGTCGCCGCCGGCTGGCGTGGCGTACTCGAAACGGTCCGGGTTGTCCTCGGACAGCCAGTCCGGGATCAGCTCGTCAATGGCCGTCGGCTGGATGACGGCGCCCGAGAGGATGTGCGCACCCATCTCGCCGGCCTTTTCGAGGAGGAGGACGCGAAAGTCTTCATTGCCGGCTTCGTTGGCGAGCTGCTTGAGTCGGATTGCGGCGCTGAGACCGGCGGGGCCTGAAGGTTGAATATTGTCAGCTCAAGGGGGTTCTAAGCAGAATAGAAACAGAAAAGGAGTGCAGGGGTGGGCTCGTTCCGTACCGCCGCCTACAATGACAACATCGACCTCATCAGATTCACGCTCAATCGTTGCCGGGTCAAACCCCTCGTCCTCGTTGCTTCGTCGTCTTCTGCTTGTTGTGAAAGTGCGTGCGCCCAGGGGCTTGAAGATGGTAACGCCGGCAGAGCCCCGTGTAGAAGGTATCCTGCCAATCGTGGTTCTGGAAGAGGTTGTTGAACTGGCGGTGGTGGTGGCGGTGGTGGCGAGTCCTGCTTGGGCGGGACGTGTAGACCGGAATCGACACCTTGAGAGGTTGCGCGTGCTGCGCTGCAGACTCCTCGCGAGAGGTGAAGCCGAGCTGCTCATCTTGGCTATGGAGATGCGGGCGGGCGAGCGCGCGTGTGTGTCATGTACGTGATCGTGTTATAGGTAGGAGAGGTGTGTGTTCGTCTCTAAAGAACCGGACTACCGCGAGGCACGTCCAAGTCGGCGTGGGTTCGCTCCGTTCTGTTGGGTGCTTTGCGCTTTGAGAAAGAAGCCGAGGAAAGCTAGTGAGGTGGGCGCAATTGGTGTTTCTTCCTCCAGCTGCGGTCTTTATGGTTCGTCAATTGGAAGTGGTGCGATTCAAAGTTCTAGCGGGACCTGGAGGATTAGAGAGGGGAAAAGGCAGCGGCGGATCCTTTGCAGCAGACACTGGGGATCTCGACGAGCTTCGTTTCTCCCCGTCTCTACTACGTAATAGTGCGAGCGGTGGTCAAGATGTTGAGTACTGCCGCCCACCAGCTCGGGCCCTGGTGGTGATAGCCGAGAGAAACCGGTCGTTGTGCTTGGACTCGGTCAGTACTTCTGCCAGACAGCAAAGGGCCACCCAACCCGAAGGTAGACTCTTGGTATCCGTAGATGTTCTTTTTACAGCTGAAAGGTACCTGCGTACCAGTGACCGGGAGAAGCCGAATGACTCCCAGGGGGTCTACTAATGGTCAACCGCTGCAAAGAGTTTAACGTCTGGAGCATCGAGCCGCAACCGTCCAATCACCGGCGCCAAATTTCTAATGTGAGCTGGGTCCCTCCAATGTCGTTTCGGCAGCAAGGGGGAGCTGAGGCCGTCGGCGTAGCCTTCATTTTGGCCGAGTGCGCGCTCAGCAAAGAGAATGACACTGGATTTCTGGACAGCACCTGCGACTCAGGAGTCCGGCGTTTGTGTGTGCACTTAAGTACATGTACTCTGTACTATCCTATATAATTACTGGAGGAAACCATCCATGATCCATATGACACATTTAACAATGCTGTTCTGTTTGTACGCCTTCAAGCGCCATCAACCCTGGGTTCGGGTTGGCGCTACCTTTTTTGGTGTCGCTGCATAGCTGGGTGGCACATCCTCCTCTCTAGTGCCCCAGTTGCTCTCCTTCGAGCCGACAGTGAGTTCCAATACACCGCCCTCGTAGAAGAATTCGTGATTTATCCAATTCTTTGTGTATGGTCTTCCGTTCAGAGTGGCGCTCTGTATGTATATGCCCTCGGCGAGCTCTCTGTCATCCTTTGCGACCTTTCGGATAACAGCGGGCTTGGCCCCCCGGCTCTTAAGCCGCACCTCGGGGAAGAAGGGCGGTATGACGAGGTACACGTCCTGCCCCGCGACGGGGAAGAACCCCATCATGGCAAGCGCGCTGAAAGCCCCCATGGCGCAGTCATCATTGCCCGGGATGCCATTGATCGTGGCGTTGAACTGTGAAGGAATGTAGCTCCGTGTGGTGCGGGAGCTGAGGCCGGGTCTACCCGCGTAATGGAACTGGAACACGGTAAGGAATGCCTGTTCATTGCCCATGTAGACGATGTTGCCGCCGTGGTAGTATTCGAGCCTGTCGACAAACGCATCCCGACCTCCCATTAGATTGATCAAGGTTGCCATATCCTGCGGTGCAAAGAACGAGTACAGCCAGGGTGAGCCCTCGTATGTCGCCTGTGCCGTATCGAAGTAGCAGAGATGCTGTTCAGTGTTGGGCGAACAGATGCGCGTGTTCTGGTACGTAAACGAGCCATTCATCAACTTCGGCATCAGAAACCCCGTGTACTTTGTCCGCCCCACCTCCTGATTGTCCTTGTCTTGGATAATGTCTTCTTGGGCCGGATTCCAGAGGTTCTGCCAGTTGGCGCTGCGCTGCATGTATTTTTCAAAGTCTTCCTTGTGGCCAAGTCCTTGGGCCATTTCGGCGATACAAAAATCGTCGTAGGCGTACTCGACGGTCCGAGAAACGGACCTGCTATGCGGACCCGTCGATACTCGGTCCATATGGTCCTCTGCAATGTATCCCAAACCGAACCAGCTTTGCAGATTACCGCGGCCTTCTACGCCAAAATGCTGCGGCGCCACTGCAAGCTTTGAGTTAGAGATTTGTTCGTCATCATCGTCATCGCAACTACGTACCTTCGGCATCAGAAACCACGGCCTCGTATGCGGTCTTCCAGTCAACCCCATTGGTAATATTTTTCAAATACGCATCTGCAATCACGATATCCGCGTTCGAGCCTCCTTGGCTGAACCCCTTGCAGAATGACATTCTGCAGTCCGGAAGCTTTCCAACAAATCTGAATATATCCACCAGTGTTCGAACCATCTGTGTTTGAGCTTCTGGGTCTATAATAGTCAGTAGTGGATGCTGGGCTCGAAAAGAGTCCCAAATGCAGTAGAACGAGTCGAAGTACGGTTCAGACGACTCCCATAACGGGTTCTCGCCAGTGTAGTTCTGCGGTGACAGCAGACTTCGATACAGACCCGACCAAAATACAGTCTTGATGTCTTCACTGACGCCTTCTGTGCTAACATCAACCGCTGAGAGCTTGTCGGCCCAAATTGATTCCGCAGCACGCACAGTGCCGTCAAAGTCGAAATTGGGGATATCGTTCTCTGCATTTTTGCAAGCTTTTTTGACAGAGATAAAAGAGAGGCCGACTCTGGCAAGGATTTGGTTATTCGTAGGACGATCGAACTGCAGCCACGCGCCAGCGGCACCGGTGGGGTTGTGAATGCCGCGAGTAAACTCCGCAAGGTACTTGTCCGTATCGCGTGGGTCGTCGCCCTCAAAAACACCAGATTTTCGTATCGGAGCGCCCCGAAAGTCGGCGCAGAAGAATGCCCTGTAGCTATCTTGACCAAATGAAGGTCTGAAAGTGCCTTCGCCAATGACACGGCCAGACTCATACACTTGGATGCCCCCGCTAGATCTGCTCTGGGCAATGTCCGTGAGGTCAATAAGAATCAACGGGCTGCTCACGACTTCAACGATGTTGAGATCAGCGGCGTTTTCGTAGGATACGGTGTTGTTTGGTGAGAAGTTGAAGCGGAAAAGAGTTGTTCGCTCACTGGCCGTCATCTCTGCACCGACAGTGTTGGTAAGGTTGACAGAAAAGTAGCCTGGACGGGCCACAACAGAGTCATTCACGCGAAAAAGGCTTCTTGATTCCGTCGTGAAGTTGCAGGCCAGGTAATCATCGTTGGGGCAGCCGGGATGAGGGAACAGAGGGAAATTGCCTAGAGATGATGACTGTGCGACTTGTGAGCAAGACATTGTGCGGTTGGATGATGGAATCAGAGCTTCTTACACCCCCAGTTCCTGTCCGGATTCGTTAGGATTAGAATCAAGTCAATAGATATTAGGAAGACTTACCAGAATCATGCAAATGAGAGAACCCGGTTATCTTGGAGTTATCAGATACCCAGCCAGCCGCGTTCTCGGCTCTAGAGTCCGTGTCCGCGCAGGCCTTGGCCATTCCTACCGAAGAACATCAGAAAGGGGATCTCTCGTGACCGAAAATGATGTATCATTTACCGTATGGCAATGATGCGCCAGGAAACACATGACCTGAGATTTGGTCAGCTGGATACCATCAAGTATATTGAGCAAACGAACTGACCTCCATTGGTAGTTCCAATTAACGGATTAATGTATTCCAGTACGGCTCGTTGTGCTTTGGAACCTTGTTTGGTGATGACGAGGTTGGTTAGGCCGCCGGTCTCTGAGAGAGGCCACCAGAGGACCAGGCAGACGACGACAGCAGCGAACACTGCCAGTCGAAGAGGTCGGGATAGACCGATGGCTGGAACGAGGACGGCCATTCTAGGCTGGGGTTATTGTGGACCACTCGAGTATCGCGGGTCAACAATCAAGTGCCCTCAGATTAAGAAATGAGTTAGACAAACAGAACTTCTGCCCATCAGAAGGCTTGCAGGGCTGGACGATGACGAGATCGCCGAGATGGCGGATCTGCCTAAGCAGTCATACGGACGTGTTGTTAAAAAGAAAAAGAACCTGGCGATCTCAGTAGAAGTCTGCAAGGGCTGTCCGAGTTACGCCGTACTAGAAGAATGCAGCTTGTTGATTATAGAGGTTGAAAATGAAGAAGTCAGCCGCATACGTGGGATGTTTCCAACGAAGCAATAGCGTGTGCCTCCGGCCTGACGTAGCTAGCTACTTGAGCTTGACTGGGATGGATGCGTATTGCTTGATGTGCGTGCAATCAAGGCCGGGAAGTCCTTCAGCTGAAGTCGGAAGTAAGGCAAGTCTCGGCAGCTCGTGCTTCGCTCCGTCCCTTCGGTTCAAAACGGAATCATGCAGCAAGTGCAAACGATAATGATGCGATTCGAACTGGTAAGTTCGAGCTTCAAGGCGCATGCCGCGGAAAGGGTAACAGGATGCGTGTTGAGAGAGATACGGGCAGGCAGTCCTTGTTAAGTAACTGAGGAAGCCTCCAAATCCCCGCTGGGAGGGATGGATGGGGAACAACAAGGATTCTGTTTTTCTACGGAAACTTTACGGATACTCCACGTCTATCTGCCTCCTGAACTATCTCGCTCTGCTCGCCGCCAGCCCGAAACGGTACCCTTGCCGACGCCATTGGGTAGCTGCGGCCACCAATTGACGCGATGGGACGGATCTGGATGTGGTCGAATAACCTGCAGTTGGCCGGCTATTTCACGAGATGGCGATACCGGCTTGGCACCCATTTAGACGCGGAATTTCAACTCCAAGGTCCCAGTGTGGCTAGAGCTGGGAGCAACAGGTCGGCTTCCGTCCCGAAAACATGTGCCGCGCAGCAGGTCTGATCTGATGGTGGCCGCATTGCAGTAACCAGCTCGGTCGTCACAAATAAGGTTAAATGTTAGTGCACTTGGTGCCGAGTCGCCGAGCCAGCCGTTATCAAGTCATTTATTTCTAACACCACCAGAGGTATCCGTTCGTATCCAACCAGCACTCCTTCTCCAAGACAAAGAGCCACGTGCTCTGGTGTGTTCCTTCCTCCCTCGCACCGTTGGACTTGTCGTATTCCTACCTTGTCTACTCCGTACTACCCAAAATAATTCTCACACTGACGCTCCTTGACCCAGATACACGTCCGAGATTCTGTAACGGCCATGTCCATTATCGCGCAAAGCCCATCTTCTGCCGGCCTCGTCACATATGCTGCGACTACCTTATCTCAAAAGCTGAGCATAGATCATGCTGACTTGGCTCTGGTTTCCAGAGGAAAGTCCAAGCGGACTCCCTCCCCGCTCAGTTCCACCAGAAGCCATTCAGACGCAGTCCAACCAAAAAGCTTCTGGAAAACGTCCTCACCGCAAGCTCTATTCGAGCAATCTGGTCCGACAGCGCGGTGGACCTCCTCCACCCACCCATCCAATTCGATGCATCCTTCATCGACCCATCAGGGCCCATCAGGGGAGACTCCCTCGCCGACACGATGTGCATAGCCGAGTGGCTGCCGTTGGGCTAACATTGCCGTTTCTTAGCTGGAGATCCAGCAGCTGCATCAAGGCGGAGAACCCTGCTCCCATCCTGGCTCCAACCGCCTCGATTCGCACTTGCTCCTCCCACTGGCAATGCTGGAAGCTTGAGTCGGGGGCAACCCTTGTCTGTCAACAAGCGTCAGGGTCCCCATCAGCGTTTGAGAGCCAGTCCATACCTATCTATTCCCGCTGCCTCCTGAAGCTCACCGGCACATTCCAAACACAATTCGTGGCCTAAACTTTGTGGGTTGTCTGGGCTGCCCGATGCTAAAATGTCGTGGCAGCCCGTTGGTTTCCCACGAACTGACTTTCCCGGCGAGTTCTTCAATCAACGCAGTATATCTTCTTCGCCCTGGTCTACCTCATTATCGTCACCAACTCTGACGGATTGGCGGCATGCTGTGGACACACTAACAAGCAGAACGACACCATTTCATATTCCCCTGGCAATACCGCAACGTTCTTATTAATCTCCATTTACAACGTTCCCTCCCCCGCATCTCTTGATTGCTTTCCCCGCTCATCATCCAAGGCCACGCGAACTATAGTTCATCCTGGGATCAGAGGAACATGAGGTCAGGCACTTGACCATTCCCCCTCGGCTACTTCACAATCATGCCCTGTCCGCTGCGGTCTAGACATCGCGACGTCTTGCGGCCGTGACCGTAGCCTCATTGGAAATATCTCTAGAGTCATCATGGCCCTCCTGTACAGCCTCGCCTTCGCCGGCCTGGCGGCAGCGAATCTCAGACCCGACTGTCCTCACTTCACCTACTACGCAGCAACACCTCACGAGCCCTTCTCCGAGGGCGTCCATAAGCTCGCCTACCAGCGTCCCCCGCCAGAATGCCGCACGGCTAGCTATCCAGAGGTCGAGAAGACCATCACTGAGATGAAGACCCTCGTCAAAGACCCTGACCTCTACCGTCTCTTCGAGAACACCTTTCCCAACACCCTCGATACCACCGTCGCTTGGACCGGTGTTGCCGAAGACGACGAAGATGAGGAGCTCAGCTTCATCATTACCGGCGACATCAACGCGGAGTGGCTCAGGGATAGCAGTAACCAGCTGCAGAGCTATCGCTCTCTGCTTACACGCAACTCCTCGGCAGGCTCTCTCGCGGCTCTATATCGCGGCGCTATCAACCTGCAGGCTCGCTATGTTCGCTTTGCACCTCACTGCAATGCCTTCCAACCGCCAGAAGAATCTGAAATAGCCCCGGCAGACAACGAGGCCGGCGGCGCGACGGATCACATCTCACCACAGTACCCGACTTACTCTTTCTTCGAGTGCAAGTATGTAGAACCTTTTGTCTGTCCCTCAGGATCGTAAGCGCTCTAAGACGTTTTAGATACGAGCTGGACTCCCTCGCCGCCTTCCTCCAGCTCTCCCACGACTACCACGCCGCCACCGCCGACAAGAACTTCTTCGCCCGCTTCAACTGGTCCAAGGCCGTCGCCGTCCTCCTCAACACCACAGACGCCCTGCGCACCGGTACCTACGCAGCAGACGGCACCTTAAACCCCTCCCCGGCCCTCTTCGAGCGCCGCGCCGTCACTGCATCAGAGACGCTCTCCAACGGCGGCAACGGCGCCCCGACCCAGGGCGGCACCGGCATGATTCGCAGCTTCTTCCGTCCCAGCGACGATAGCTGCATCTACCAGCTCTTCGTGCCGGCCAATATGATGTTCGCGCGGTACCTCACTTCGTGCGCCGCGATCATGGACGGTATCGACGTCGGCCTCGCCGAGCGCATGAGGGAGTCCGCCAAGGTCGTTCGCGAGGGCATCGAGGCGCACGGGAAGATGACGCATCCTAAGTTTGGCGAGATTTACTCGTACGAGGTCGACGGCTTCGGCAGTTACAATATCATGGTTCGTCCCAAATCTTTTCTCTTCCTTCCTACGCTTACACCATAAAATCAAAACATCCTTCTTTTCGGGCATCTCCTGCGTCTCATTTATCTAATACGCATAAACCCAGGATGACGCCAACATCCCCTCCCTCCTCTCGGCACCCCACTACGGCTACCTCTCCGCCTCTGACCCAATTTACCAAAATACTCGCCGCTTCGTACTCTCCACCTCGAACCCGTACCAGATGCGCGGCTCTGTCCTCAACGCCACGGGCGGCCCGCACGTCGGTCCCGGAAACGCCTGGCCCATGGCCCTGATCGCGCAGCTCATGACCTCGGACGACGACGAGGAGATCTCCAGCGGCTTGCGCCAGCTCGTCAGCTCGACGAACCGCCTCGGCCTCATTCACGAGTCCGTGAACAGCCATGACGCCTCCAAGTTCACCCGACCTTGGTAAGTTGTTCCCGGTGACCAATTCCCTAACAGTCATAGCATGCATACTGCGCGCTGGACTGGCCTTACTAACACCTTTTTGCAGGTTCGCCTGGGCCAATGGTCTGTTCGGACAAATGATGCTGGATCTTAGGGAGAGGAAGCCGCATTTGCTGAGGAGGAGTTATCAGTAGAGTGGCCGACTGCAGCATATGTCCTACTAGCCATGGTATTGTCAACTTACGCGTCGGTCCCTAAACGATACCTCTCAATTTATTCCCATTTAGGCATGGCCATTAGATATACATACTCTAGCTTATGAATTAGATGAGGAGATGCTACATACAATGCCATCCAAGGTCAATCTCATTTCCACTGCCATTCTCCTACCGAAACCCTACTCTACGCAATCACATCTTCGCGTTGAGCAGAGTTATCCGTCTGCAGGCTGCAACACAAAATTTGGTATAGCAATGGAATAATACATTTGCATTTGAATACTGGTGGTCCGCTCGATCTTACGTCATAATGTCATGAATGGCCAGTCCTGCTACTGTAGGTAGCGCAGTTCGCTTAGCTGAGATCGAACCCGGCTCCGGAAGAAACCGCATAAAGCAGCTTCTTTCTGAGAGTCTCTCGATCCTTGTAGCGCGGCAACTTGAGCAAGTTGACGCATGTGCTGGTGCTTGGCAGTCTTTCCTGATCCTCTCCTCCATCTCTGATACTAAACCGCGGACTCAGCTGTGAGAAGCCCAGCAAAGGTGCCCGTGGCGTGCTTGTCACGTACTTGAGCACGTCTCGCCGCTCCCGATCAGAGAAGTTGGCCATGACTTTCCAGAACAACTGCACGGTGGTGTGCTCTAGTCCATCGTCCCCAACCTCGTATAGGCCTGAGTAGACCGTATTCTGACGCAGATCTTCAATATCGATTTCGGAGCTGTCGCCGCCCACGAGACGTTGCAACTCGTTCTGGTTGAACATCGAAAGCCACGCAGGCGCGATGATCGAGCGAAGACCTCGGAGGAACGCGGCCGTTTGCAGCGCCGGTTGGGCGACAAGACGGTGACGGGCAACGTAGGATATGTAGAGGAGGCGGTTGTCGTTGGTAACGGTAACGTTTTCGCCATTGGGGATCAGATTTCGAGTGACAGTGCGCACAGGTTCCCCTGGCAAAGACACCAGATCATTAAGCGTGAAGTCCAATGCCCAATCCACAACGTCTCCGTTGTGGTTTTTGAGGCGCAGCATGCCCTGGTACAACTCCTCATCCAGGTCCCTTAGGTCGTTCACGTTGCCCCGGTAGCTGTTGTCACCAGTCTGACCCGAGATCCATTTCAAGAGGAAGAAGCCAGCAAATGCAATGTCGACCAAGATTCCTTCGTACATACACTTGCCTACGATCCGACCGAGGAACTCGAACTGGCGCAGTAGACCCTGTACTTGATCTTGCCATTCGGCTGTGCGTTCTGGAACTTGGGCTCGTTTCAATACCTGTCTGAGCTCGTCCATCGCAGTCGGGTTGGGATATAAAAGCCCCTTGCTGTTGGCTGTGAAAAGCGAAATACCATTCCTTGGCCCGAACGCTTCTGTCGTCACGCTTGTAAGGAACTCTTTGGTGACTCCACCACCGTCGATACCAGCTTCGACCGTATCAAATTGGTCGACAAATTGGATTTGTATGGGTTCTTTGAGGCCTTCGCCTAGCTCGTAGAATTGTTCAAAGGCGTCTTGAAACACTTGACCTCTTCTGATCTTGCCATGATGTCGCCCAGCCGGACCACGGCCGGGAGAGCGTAGGGGATTATGCAGCATCGTCATTCTCCACTGATCAGCATCCATGCCCTCCCTCCGTTTGTGCTTGTCAAGATAGACGAATTGACGGAAGATCTGGACACGGGTATCAAATGGAATGACGAATGGCATGTGCCTCAGAATCTCCAGCTTTGGTCCTATCACGGCAAGCAGACGATCCCTCTGTGCTTTCCGTTGTTGAGCCCGGAGCTTCTCAATTTGTGCGTGGCGTGATACTCGTTGCCCGGCTATGGTGTGAATAATACTGCTGTGCAGCCCACCCATATTCGCATCTTCATCAACCTGGCCGTCTTCGTCGTCACTAGAGTCAGAGACTTCGTTCTGTCGCTCTTGTTCGGCGACAACAGCACTGACAAACCCTTCCATGTCGAATTTTGATGTCATGAGCCAGTGGTCTCGGGGTAAGAACGGCCGTCGAGAATCTCGTTCGTACAAAAGTCGTAATGCTGTGGTGACGATACTGCGCAGGCTGTCGAGGTCAAGCCTTGTATCAGCCGCATTGGCTCTTGGACCTTGGCTTCGGGCCTCCTTTGAACTCCTAGAGGTACTACCACCACTTCCAAAGTAAGACTCAAGTTGGGTCATCGAGATCGGCTCCGAGTGTTGGATGCCCTGTAGAATGTCCGCGGCATTGTAATGTAGCGTGAAGGCCAGGTGCTTGAGCACAATGGTCAAGTTCTTCACCTCGTCTAGAGAAAGTCCGCATGCTCGCAGACGAGAAGTCGGCCCCTCGGCTTTGATTATGTCAGGGGAGATGCCACTGAAGAAGTCTTCGTCGTCGCTCAAGCGTAGAATGAAGATGTAAAGTTCAAGGAATAGAAGGACCAGTCGCCATTCCTGCTCATGCGAGTCACTGGACTTTGATGACTTTGACAAGTAGTCTCGTAAAAGGCCTTGCACCGACGTCGAGTTTTGCAAAATCTGCTTGTAGATGCTCGTCTGGCTCATTGCCTGCCAAAGAAACTGGATTGTCGGCAAGCTTTCGAGGCCCAAACTGACGTCTCCTAAGAAAAGGCGCATGCGAATGTCATCACCCTGACTTGGGAAACACCGTAGGAGAGTCAGGATGTACCCGGACAGCAAGCTTGCGCTTTGGAACTCGTGACTGGAGGACTGAGAGCCAAAATTACTAGATGATGTGAGCGAATTTCTGAGGGTAGAAGAGGGGTTCACCAACATAGTGAGCTCAGCCAAAAGCGCCGAAATACCATCTCTGTTGACCAAGGACGTGAGCTGATTGGTGATGTATGGAGGTAGGGAGCGGATCAAAGACTCATCCGGGCTGCTGGGGTCCATGTTCATCGAGGCCGGGTCAGCTACTCGAACAGAAAGCCTCAAGCTGATTTCCGTGGCCAAGCTCGAAAGTTGTATATGTAATGCATCTAGGTGCCTAAGCCCCTGGCTTTTCGGGCCGATCTTTTGATGTAAACCAATGAAATGTGCAAGAAGCCAAAGTCGACCTTCCCGGTCAACACCCCTTATCCGTCCATTATTATAGATCTTGATGATGGCTGACGCGAGACGGTCGGATTCGAGGTTCTCGGAGATGACTTGCGAGTACTCCTCAATGAGATAAAGATCGTGGCGAGTCAAGAAAGACAGAGCAAATGCCTCGTAAGCAGCCAACAAATAATCGTCAGCATATGAAGCTCGGAGCGACACAAAGACAGCTCTTGAAGTCGACTCCAAAGCTGCCGCATCCGTTTCTTGTACTCCGCAAATTTCTGCTAGGGCTGTGTAATACTGTCGGAGTGATGTCGAGAGCGCATCGGGGGCAACACTTATTATGTGCGTAAGGAGGCTGAGGAAGAGCCGGGTCTCGCTGCTTTGACTGCTTTGAGTACCGTTGTTAGTTGGCATCGAGTGTCGTTGTGTGAGAGACACCAACCTTTTCTTTGTCTGTTCGCCTAAAGCCTCCACAAGTATCCGAACAAGACGTGCAAGTCTGGGTGCAGGAAGTTGGCCGGGAGCAAGGCACTCGAGGTTGGTCGTACTAAGCTCTCTCGAGAAAAGTACCAGGCGGCTAACGTCGTCGGGTCGGGTCTGAAAGGTTGTCAATAGCAGTGGCAAGGCCGTCGACAGTCTCTGCTGTGTACCCAGGTCTGACGTGCTCGAGTACAGAGCATCGAAGGCGTCACGGCGGGAATCTCGAAGTCGCCTCCGGACCCTATGGCCCCTCCATGTTTTCTGGATCTTTTCGGATGCCCTCAATCTATCTCGATCCTGTTGTCTTTGTGCCCGTTCGGCTTGGGCGTTGGAGACGGTCTTGGAGGCTCCTGAGCCTGCGACAGGCGTCCATGATGTTGCGGCAAAGGGATTGAGGTTCTGGCCGCTGAGGTTCACATTCCGGGGGCGTCGGGAGTTGCCTGTGAAGGTGGGAAACATGTTTCTTCGGAGAAACGATGCCTAATGAGAGAAGTGAAGATGGCAAGCATGTACCATGTAAAGCAGAAATGGCAGACCAACGAAGTGTAAGTGGCAGCGAGGGCGAGGATGTCGCGAACGCGGTTGACTTCCAGAAGCTTCAGCACGTTCGGACGGGGTGTATGTAATCGAACTGTCACTGGAGGAGTGTTCACGGGCTTGGGCACCGGCTGGTGGGGGTCTGGACTCTAGAGATGAGGTAAGCTGGAGCTGGCCCCGGCGTCAAGTTGTAGAAGGTTCCGATGTGACGCGAGCAGGGCAGGCACGAGCTTACAGACCCTGTGGGGACAGCAAGGAACGTGAGGTACCTTGCCTAAGGTAGGTAGTTGCTCGAAGGAACCTGGAACGGATAAGAGGATGGGGGCAGTTGCGTCAAAGTGCCACCCCCTGGCACCGTGGCACCCTAGTGACTGGCATCCGGGGAGGAGCACACAAACCGACGTTGACCTAATTGTTGCTATTTGGTCATATTGATGGCGAGTTTTGATGACATGTCTGATATAAGGCAAACCCCGATGAGAATCAGTAACCACAAAGGTAAAGCAGGCTTGTACTCAGTGGCCTCGTTATACGGGCGTCGCAGAGACCAAAAGTCTATGTTCATTGTGGCATGCTTTCAAGACACGGCTGACTCGGATTGCCGTCTCTTTACTCGCGCAAATGTCGGTGAGGATGGATGCCAGGTGAACCCATATGAGGAAGGCAGCCTGATGTAGAGAGCCTGAAGATTCGTGCGACAAGCATTGAAGGTATTCGTTTCTTTCTCAGGAGAAGCTGCGCGATGTGGTTGCAGACTAACGAAATCACGACGATTCCACCTGCCTCTATGCGCGTAGTTGCCTCTTTGCGGAGTACGCAGATACACACTGGCGTCAAAAGCAATCGTCTGGGCTGTGATAACCGTCTGTTCTCTTAATCAGGACACCAAGCTTGGGCCGGGAGGAGATGGACCGCGACTAATAGACTTGGGCTATATACAGCAGAAAGCCGGCGCGCGCATATTCATAGATGCTTACCAGCAAAAGGGCGAGGGGCGGAGTGCCTCGTCAAGCTGTCTCGCGTGTCTTGAGTTTCTTAGTTGATTCTTGGGGTCTCTCAGTTTTGGGTCGTCAGATTATGTCTAAGGCGGCAGCTAACGATTTGATGGAAGTACCGGCCTGCTTCGGGGGCATTTGTGGCACGGACAGGCGCATTTTGGTACCGGAATTGCAGCCACGGCCCTTGGTCTGAAATCGCCCTTGCTTTTTGGAAATGAGCAATGTCCCTGACGTTGTCTTGTCGCACACCGAAGTCCGCAGTGCAGAGCCAGCCAGGCATGTCTATCTCATCGTTTTTGTCTGCCGTGACTGGTTGGTTGCAAGGCAAGGTGGCATGTCGCATTATGCCTGGACCTGTTTGTTTCTGCCAAATTCAGATGCCTGGAGATCAACAATCTTCTTTTTGTTTGTATTTTTTGTCACAGGGTACGCTGTTGAATTGGAAATGGTCGCATGAATTTTCTGACGTTTCTCCACTAAACCAGCTACCTCAACGTTTGTACTTGAGGCGGCGCTGGCCCGGCATTCCTATCTGTTATCGGTGACCTGTCACTGCAGATTGCGATAGTGTCCGCTTGACCAGGACTTGGGAACCATGTACCCACTTTGCTAGCACATGCCCTGCTCCTGGCGCGGGCTGACCCCTCCCCTCGACAAAATCTGGAAGGCGAGGAGGGACACTCACAGCCTACAGCAGCCCAAAATCGAGTGGTGGGAAGGCACCACCCTCCACTGCATGTAGGCAGATCCAGTAAAAAAAAAAATCATCCCGCGAAAGCCACATTCATTGAAAAATCTCTCCTCTCTCCTTCTTTTCTCCTCCTACCAACCACACAAACCCTATCAACAACCCCCTTCACATCTAAAGAGGGTCTGGCAAGGAGTACGTCTTCGTACTTGTTCTCTGTCTCGCTCACTTTTTTCATCAGAAAAAAACTTCAAAAAAAAACTTGAAAATCCCCCATCAAAAATTCCCAACTTCCATATCGGAATTCCCCTCCTCCTCAATCGCGAGAAAGTCCCAGAGGAATCGTTCACCGAGCCTCTATTTCTTGCTTTTACCTCCGCACCTGTCTGTCAATCTTGCAACAAGTGCCCTTCGTGTGTGTCGGTCAAACGTCACACATCGCCATAACCTCATTCGACAATACAAGGCTTGCCTTCTCCTCTTCCCACTCTTATCCCCCCGACCATTCCGACTCGGTCCCGTCGAACGACCGATCGTCAGACTTCTTGACTTGGTATGTGCTTTCTCCCCTCACATCGCCTCCCCTCTCTCAGCCTGCACTTCGACCGACTTGTGCGGCTCGCAACTTCCTACCCCGCCTTCATGGTCGCAGCTCATCTCAATCGGCGTCTAACATGTGCTTGCTGTTGCAGTATCCTTTCCCCTAGTCAATTCTACTACCGATACAATGGCTACCGCTACCAACAACGGCGCTGTCGACCAGCTCGCCAACGATTTGGGCAACGCTTCCCTCAACGGCGCTGACTCCAAGGCTGCCCCCGCCATCAACACCAATGTTGAGTCTGGCGCTCAGGGCGAGAATGCCGACGCCTCAGCCCCGACCCCCAGCTCCGCTGCACCTCACCCCCAGGCCTCCGCCTCCCTCTACGTCGGCGAGCTCGACCCTTCCGTCACCGAGGCTATGCTTTTCGAGCTGTTCTCTCAGATTGGTTCTGTCGCTTCCATTCGTGTCTGCCGTGATGCGGTTACGCGCCGCTCTCTCGGCTACGCCTACGTGAACTACAACACTACCTCCGATGGCGAGAAGGCTCTCGAGGAGCTCAACTACACCCTGATCAAGGGCCGTCCCTGCCGCATCATGTGGTCGCAGCGTGACCCCGCTCTGCGTAAGACTGGTCAGGGCAACGTCTTCATCAAGAACCTCGACGTCGCCATTGACAACAAGGCTCTCCACGACACTTTTGCTGCTTTCGGCAACATCCTGAGCTGCAAGGTTGCCCAGGACGAGAACGGCAACTCCAAGGGCTACGGTTTCGTTCACTACGAGACCGATGAGGCTGCCTCTCAGGCTATCAAGCACGTTAACGGCATGCTTTTGAACGAGAAGAAGGTTTACGTTGGCCACCACATTCCCAAGAAGGACCGCCAGAGCAAGTTTGAGGAGATGAAGGCCAACTTCACCAACATCTACGTCAAGAACATCGCCACCGAAGTCACCGATGACGAGTTCCGTGAGCTCTTTGCCGCCTTTGGCGATGTCACCTCTTCCTCGCTCGCCCGCGACCAGGAGGGCAAGAGCCGCGGCTTTGGTTTTGTCAACTTCACTACTCATGAGGCTGCTTCCAAGGCTGTCGACGACCTCAACGGCAAGGACTTCAAGGGACAGGACTTGTACGTTGGCAGAGCGCAGAAGAAGCACGAGCGCGAGGAGGAGCTGCGCAAGTCCTACGAAGCTGCTCGCATGGAGAAGGCCAACAAGTACCAGGGTGTCAACCTTTACATCAAGAACCTCGACGATGAGGTTGACGACGAGAAGTTGCGCCAGCTGTTTGCCGACTTTGGCCCCATCACTTCTGCCAAGGTGATGCGCGACAACGCCACCGACTCTGGCAACGAGGATGAGGATTCCTCTGAGGAGACGGACAAGGAGAACCAGAAAGAGGAGGTCAAGGCCGAGGAGAAGGAAGAGGCTGAGAAGACCGAGGAGAAGGAGGATGCCGAGAAGAAGACCGAGAAGAAGTCGGACAAGAAGCCCCACGGTAAGAGCAAGGGCTTTGGCTTCGTCTGCTTCAGCAACCCCGACGATGCCACCAAGGCCGTCGCCGAGATGAACCAGCGCATGGTCAACGGCAAGCCTCTGTACGTCGCTCTTGCTCAGCGCAAGGATGTTCGCAAGAGCCAGCTTGAGGCTAGTATCCAGGCTCGCAACCAACTCCGCATGCAGCAAGCTGCCGCAGCCGCCGGTATGCCCCAGCAGTACATGCAACCCCCCGTCTTCTACGCCGCGGGTCAGCAGCCCGTCTTCCCCCAGGGTGGTCGCGGCATGCCCTTCCCCCAGGGCGGCATGGCCATGCCTCCCGTTCAGGGCGGCCGTCCGGGCCAGTTTCCCGGAGGATACCCCCAGCAGGGCGGACGTGGTGGTCTTCCCCAGCAGATGCCCCCTGTCTACGGCATGCCTGGCCAGTTCCCCCCCGGAGGTGCCTACCCCCAGCCTGGTAACCCGCAGTTCCTTGCTGCCATCCAGCAGGTGCAGCAGGCTACCATGGGCGGCGGTCGCGGCGGCCCCCAGGGTGGCCGTGGTCCCGTTCCCCAGGGAATGCCTATTCCCGGCCCTGGTATGCCCGGCTTCCCTCCCAACGCTCGCCAGAGTGGTAACCAGCCCGGCGCCGGCCGCGGTGGTGCCAACCCCAATGCTCCCCGTAACGCTCCCTTCCCCCAGGGTGGCCGTGGAGCTCCCGCCCAGGAACTCAACAGCGGCAGCCTTATCCAGCAGCAGCTTGCTGCCGCCGGTGGTAACCCCGGTCAGCAGAAGCAGATTCTTGGCGAGGTCATCTTCCCCAAGATCCAGGCTATCCAGCCCGAGCTTGCTGGAAAGATCACCGGTATGCTTCTCGAGATGGACAACACTGAGCTTGTTAACCTGTAAGTTGAAACACCCGAACTATCTACTGCTTTTTCACTAACCTTCTGCAGCATCGAGGAGGAGTCCGCTCTCAAGGCCAAGGTCGACGAGGCTCTCGGCGTCTACGAAGAGTACATCAAGGCCCAGGGTGGCGAGGAGGGCGAGAAGAAGGCAGAGGAGACCAAGGCTTAAGCCATCTTCTCCACATTCACGCAACGTCATGAGCATGATTTCCTTATGTCATCATACCCCTTGTTATCGGGCATCCTTTCTACGACCAGTGAGCATTCAACGACAACGCTCATGAGGTCATTGCTCAACACGGATTGGGAAAAGTTATTTGGAATGAGGCGGCATAATCGACTGCATTTTTTACGCCAGAGGGATCTCCACGACATGCTTTGCTACGAAGGCAGCTCTTTGCAGGACCTGTCGTCAAATCCTCTCAAGGTCTGCATGTATGGATAGATTTCTTTACTGCCTTCGTCGGCAGAGAGACTGGCGGTTCACCCTTACCACAGGCGGCCCCTGTTTCTCTTATCTGCCAGGAAGGCTCGGTGGGATGCGTCGTTTGCCACCCAGTATGGTTTTCCAGGAAGGCGTTTTACGGTTGTATGTTTGAGTCGCACGAGCTGCCTGGCTTCGCTCGCTTGCGATGGCACCAATACCCCACACAGAACGGTACTCGTTCCTTCAGGCAAACAGGCAGATAGTGGTTTTGAGGAGGTAAGAAAGTATCTCCTAATAGAAAGTTCATAAACAAATGGCGTCCCTTTGCTGCCGATAAGTGATGTTGTGCATTGCCGTTGCCCTGATTGTCTCCATCTCCAAGCCCGGGTGTGTTTACAGTTAGGGATGATGATGTTCCTTGAAATCGATCAATCAATCACATGATCTGATCCTATCTGACGGTTGTTTCTAGATGCCGTGTCATTTAGCTCTCACTCTGCCCCTTATTGCGGTACAATCTGTACTGGCTTTCTCTAGCCTTTCTTTTGTGATTTAGGAAGGCAACTGCGAATGTGTTTTGAAAACTGGACTGTGATGTAGTGAACAGGTCTGAGTCAATTACAGACGACAATGTTTAAAGTCCCCTTCGTTCTGGAGGGATCGAATCAAGTAGTCAAACTTGAGGCGACGCTCAATTCGGCTTGCCAGGTTCCATGAGAAAAAGAAGCGCTGGAAAGTATGATTTTTTTACAAACTTCTTACAGGGCCTTGGGTTACCATTTTGATGCTCATGACAGCCATGATGGGATCAAGACATCAAGCATCTTCAACGACTAATGGAAGAGCACAGTGCTATGGCAACTTTGGGGGTATGAAAAGCCTTGAGGTACATAAAGTAACCCTTGGCGGACTCAGTATCACATCTTCCTTCACGCGAAAGGATATAAGGAAACACGTAGATCTCAACAACACATCGATATTGGGTTCAACACAGGCAGCTGCGCTGTTGGCAAGACCTTTCTCCTAATATTCGCAGGCATCTGCTTTTACTTATGGCCTTGGATACGGGCTTCGAGATTCAAGTTGGCTTGCTTAGCTAGTGTGAGGGCATGAAGGTTCTGTCAACAAAGTTGATGGCCAAGATGGATCTGCCTGACCAGGTCGACGAGAGCAGTATGCTTTCAGGGGAGGTGCTAGTGAGTTTTATTCATCCTCACCTGGCCATTATTGAATCGCCAACGCCTAATGAATGTTACTAGTGATCAGACGTGTAATGTGACTGTCCAGCCGGTCAGATAGCTCCTATAATAGAGAGAGGTCTAAAAGATTGCCAGTCTGATTTCTAGCCACTGTTCTTCGTTAATTCAAGCGATCTCTGGGGAACCCAACATACAAATATGTTCAGCTTTCCGAGGTTAGGTTGCACCACCTGCAGAATCTCTCCCCACAACGGTAGACGAATCGTGGCGAGCCTTTGAACATCCCTTGGCTATTATATCAGAAGGCATGGAATCGCTTGATATCAAGCCTGTTCCCTGTTCGTGGTGACTAAATCGTCGAATCAGAAGTTGATCGAATGCTGCTCATCTAGACGACGTGTGTGTGGGATATTGACTCTCTTTACATCTGTAGAACTCGACGCAATGGTTCACAAGCAGCGCACTACGTTTCGAGCAATCAACAATCTCCCATACTTATGGACCTTATAGAATCCATTTATAGTTATTACGTCAACATTTGATGGCCTGACATGCAATGATATGTAGTTTTCGTGAGAGCCGTCAGCATTAGTACCCGTTACGGCGAATGGAGTCGGTCAAGTGGGGGGCCGCATCTCACGCATGGAGCTCTGGACCACTTGGTCAAATTGCGCGCTCCGCAACAGCAACCACCGAGCGAGGCCTAGTCCTCGAAGCTCCCCTTGGTGTAGTTGGTTCATCACGTTCGACTGTAATGGTTACATTGTCATCGAAAGGTCTCTAGTTCGATTCTGGAAGGGGAGAACCATTCATTTTGTTGTTTTTTGTCGCTTTGTAGCTGGTAATGAAGCTGTATTGGCGTTGAGATGGCGGTGAGAGCGAAACAAATTTTGCGGCAAGGTATGCGTGGGTAGGTGGGTATTTTGTGGCAGTGCCCTTATCAGTTATGTCAGGAACGGATTAGGTGGCGGGCAGTGATTGCTTGTAATGGTCAGTAGCGGTGTAGGAATCCAGGTTGATAGGCCGATTTTAAGGGATAAAAAGTAGCTGAAAGGAAGGTAACATCAGATAACCCAGTGAATAACGTCCAGGGTTCTCTACGAAGATAATAGACCAGAGGAGAAAGGGATGATATTTCTGGCTGGTTGTGAGTTGGGGTGGTCGCAAAGGCAAGTTCCGTTCAGGAACGGGACGACTAGGAGATGGGATGAAAGTTCACAATACGTAAAGATACTTGCTTGGGTATGTTGATGAGGCGGAGATGGAGTTACGACCGACGAGCCGCGGCCTGCTGTAGAGAACTGCTATGCGGCCAGGAATAGCGCGTAGCTTACATGCGAATAAACGAGTAGTGGGTATGAGATTATTGTAAGCAACTGGGCGCCAGCGCCACCATGAAGAGATGACATACATTGAGGCAACTTAAGAGACGCTCATTACTTCACTTCGAACGTCACGATAGGAAACCGTTCCACATTTGCCAAAAAAAAATAGTGATTTCGCCCGGACTTGAACCGGAGACCTTCAGTGTGTTAGACTGACGTGATAACCAACTACACCACGAAACCTATCTGATTACTTTTGGAGGTTGCGAAACAGCTTGAGTAGCAGCGAGCGGCTGCGGCACTGCTTCAGAGAGGCTGTGTCAGGAATCGTCAACGCCCAGAAGAGCCAGAAGTTGAAGCACTTCATTAGGCTTGGTTAATATGGCAGAGCCAAGATTCCAGTCCTGACGTCTGATAGCTATTAAAGTTTTCAGAACATTGGCTATCTATGACCGTTTCGGCTCCGGCCCAGATCCAGCCGCAATTACAACCTTCACAATCCCATTCTCAAACTATATCTCAGGCACCTCCCAAGTCGTAGGCCTGAGACGCGTATCCTCCCCTCGCCTCAAAATTATGGAAAACAAAAATCACCATGTGTGCATACCTCGTGTACGGATACCTTCCAGGTGAACAAATGTCCCCCACCAAAGGAAAATTTTCAAATTTCACTACGGAGTATCGCGGGCACGTTCCAGCTTTTCACGTTTGGCCCCGCCAAGCCCGAATCTCAAGTGTATAAAAGGCCGTCTTCCCAGCGCCGTTTTTAGAATCTTTTTCTTCTTCTTTTTTCTTCATGTCGACAATACTTCAGAGAATCATTTCTATAGTATTCGACCTACTCTTGGTTCCCTAAAGGAGCTACAGATCCCACCCTGGTTGATGATGGATATCCTCGATTCCTTAGAGTGATGAACTCTGGTTGTTCTCGTACCCTCCGTAAGGAAGGCGGTATTAACCACCTTTGTGGGGTTGACTGTATAGAGAACGGTGATGATCTCGTCCCCTGCTGCGGTCTTGCCTTTCGGCGCGTGGTTGGGGTGGGCATCGATGGACGTCTGACAGGCTTTTTGTTTTTTCATTGCGGGCTGGAGCTGGACTCTGGTCGTAAAGAAGAATCTCGCCTTCTTTTTGGTACGGACACCGTCGAAGATACCTCGCGCTATTGACCCACCTTGGAATGCGTTTGGGTGATTTTCGCACGCATCAGATTCGTCTTCTCGTGTCTTGACTTGTAGGAGATGGTCTCGCAGCGCGATCCTTTCCTTGGCACCAGGTCGAGCGTCGAGACAGGACAATATCTTCGACGACATGGCGGTTATTGGAACACTGAGCCTCACTCCAATCTCCCAGTGCATCAAATCTGAACATTCGAAGACATCATAGACCATCGTATTTCATACGCCTAAAATCCAGAACCATTCTGTTGATATACAACCAGGCCCAATGCTCTAACTAAAATACAAGTTTCATCAAATCTTGAAAACCCACCACCATTTACTCGGCCACCCAGACAGCGCTCATGCCCATGCCGGTACCGATACACATGGACGTATTACCAATCTTCTTGCCCGTCCGCTTGAGCTCGTACAGCAGTGTCGAGATCTGTCTCGCGCCGGTGCAGCCCAAGGGGTGACCGAAAGCGATGGCGCCGCCCTTGGGGTTGACCTTCTCAAAGGGAATACCGAGCTGCTCGGCGCTCCACAGGCACTGCGAGGCGAACGCCTCGTTGATCTCGTAAATGTCCACGTCTTCGGTGGCGATGCCCGCCTTTGCGTTGGCGACGGGGATGGCCTTGGCCGGGCCCTGGCCCATGAGCAGCGGCGGCAGGCCGACGATGGCGGCGGAGACGAACTTGCCGAGGATGGGCTGACCGAGACGCTCGGCGGTCGAGCGCTTCATGAAGAGCACGGCGGCGGCGCCGTCGGACACCTGGGAGGCGTTACCGGCGTGAATACCGCCGTCCTTGGCAAAGGCGGGCTTGATCTTGGCCAGGGACTCGGCCGTGACGCCGGCGCGGATGCCGTCGTCCTTGTCGACGACGATCTCCTTGGTCTCGCCCGACTTGGGGTCCTCCCACTTGACCTTGAGGGGAGTGATCTCCTGGTCGAAGAGACCCTCCTGCTGAGCCTTGGTGGCCTTGGCATAAGAGGAGGCGGCGAAAGCGTCCTGCTTGACGCGGGGGATGCCGAGATCCTGGGCCATGTTCTCAGACAGGACACCCATAGGGACCTTGCAGTTTGCGGCCTCGGGTGTGTTTTCGAGGAGCTCAGAGAACTCGGAGACGGCTGCGGGACTGTAGCGAGATAAGGTCAGTCAGTGGAACCATGGTAATGTTGCATGAAGGGGGGACATACCCGTATTGCGTTGACATGCTCTCAACGCCGGCGCCGATGCCAACCTCAATCATGCCAGTCTTGATCGCGTTGATGATGTCCACGGAGGCCTGCAGACCCGAAGAGCACTGGCGGTTGAGGGTGCGCACGGCAGTGGTTTGGGGGAAACCGGCGACGATGGCAGCGGCACGCATCTCAGTGGCACCACCGCCGGGGGCCAGGACGGTGCCGACGGCGATATCCTCTACGAGAGCGGGGTCGATCTTGGAGCGGTCGAGGAGGGCCTTGAGGGTACCGGCTATCAGGTCGGCGGCCTGAGTGTCCTTGAAACCACCCTTGCCACCCTTGGTGAAGGGAGTTCGGAGGGCTGCGGTGACGACGACCTGCGAGGAGAAGTGGTTAGGCGAACAAGTTCGGTGACACCTGGAGGAGCGAGCGGAAACCTACATCGTCAGCGTTCTTCTGGAGGATCTTGTCCTTGCCTCCAGCGGAGAACTGGCCGCCAAGCTGAGTCAATCTCTCGAGGGCTGTTTGAACAACGCAGTTAGTAGAGAAGCGAGATCACCGCCGCGGAGTGCTGCTACTTACCACCCATTGTGATAGACGTGAAGCTTCAAGTACGAAATATGAATATGGAGATGGATTAAACAGGTGGAAAAAAATTACTTGAGCCGAGAGATGTAGGTGGGCAAAGTATATCTGTGCAAAGTGTGCAGAGGAACTGCGACGGGCAACATGTACGTCTGTCTCGGATCTCAGATAGGACAATGAGCCTCGGATGTTGAGAAAACGGGTCTCTGACAAAGGCTCAGGGTACGGAGTAGCGCCGTGGGCGATGCTGGCTGATGTCAGCCAGTCTGCCAAAAGACTGACCGAGGCATTCCAGCGATCACACCGCATTGGTTGCCAAACTCCGGGGCCCGATCTAACCCTGCCTGAGGTACGGAAAGGTATCCGTATCTCACCTAGCAGCGATTTTCACATGCTCGCTTCCCCCGCTGGGAGCGGTAGCAGGTGCTGTTTCTGGCTGTTGGTGCGCTGCGATACAACCTTGGTCCCCACGTTCCCGCCTCCCCCGTACTTTTCTTCTTCTTCTGGTGCAGTACGGAGTACCTTAGCAGCTGCTGCTCTAGGACCGACTTTGCGGGGGAACTGGACAGCCGCCAGCCATTAGGTTGGCAGTCCCGCCGTGGCCCCCTCTCTCAGTAGGTGGTTTGTGTCACAAGCACTCTGCGGCGTCCAGGTGATCACTGTCGTCCATGTTTTCCCTCCCATTCTCTACCTGAAGCGTCACGGGACCTGCTTTGCCTCTGGCGGCTTACCTACGAGGCTGGTGAGCTTGATGGTCCTTGTGCTTTGTCCATTAGGTGGAACATGTGCTGACTTGGCTCGGCTTGAACGTCAGCCCTTTCCCATGTGAAGATGCACCGCGAGTCAATCCAACCATCTACGGCGCAAACCAATGGGATGGCACGCATTTACGGATTCGACCACATGCAAACCCCGACCTTGATTTAGCCGTGCTCCGTCGACGAACTCCAAATGACTCGAAGTATATCGTGACTTTATAGATTCATCATAATACAAGGTCATCCTTCTACAAATCCGTCTCTGCCTGTCTCTATGTATGCCTGCTCTCTACAACTTGGCCGCCGGCTTAATCAATGCCAGCCTCTCCTTCAGCGCTGCCTCGGCCTCCTTCTCTATTCTTGGAACCAAATCCTTGACCGACGGGATGTCGTGAATCAAACCAATGACCTGTCCGGCCGTCCAAACCTATTGCATAACGTCAGCATGGGTTCTCTATCCAGTTGAAAATCGCAACACCGAGGAACACCCTTGGAAACACCCTTGGAGCCGGGAGAGGAAATAGGAAATACTCACGCCATAGTCCGGATCGCCCGTGACAAAAACCTCCTTGCCCCTCTTTCCGCTTACGAGCGGCGCAATCTCGGAAAACTGCCCAGACGTGCTCTGCTCCTCAATCTTGATCGCCTCCTCGGTGACCTTGTTCTTGTACAGCCGCGTCGTGTTCCTCCACCGCCTCAGCAACAGCGCCGTGTCCGTCTCCTGCGCCTTGACAATCTCCTCCTTGATCTTGTGGTGGATCGGCGCCTCCAGCGTGCACATGAACCGCGTGCCCATGTTAACGCCGCACGCGCCCAAGCACAGCGCCGCTGCGAGGCCCTCCCCGTCTGCGAACCCGCCACTCGCGATGAAGGGCACCTTGAGCGATTGCCGCGCCCGCGAGAGGAGGATGAAGTTTGTGATGTCCGACTCGCCAACGTGACCGGCGCATTCAAAGCCGTCAATGCTGAGGAAGTCGACGCCGAGCTTGACGGCGCTCTGCGCGTGGCGGATCGTGGTGCACTTGTGTAAGATAGTGACGCCCGCGGCCTTGAGCTGCTTGATGACGGGGCCCGGCGAGTTTCCCGCCGTCTCGACGATCTTGACTTTCTCGTCAATGACGACCTGAGCATAGGCGGCGTAATCTGGCGGGACGAGAGCCGGGAGGAGGGTGATGTTGACGGCAAAGGGGCGGGTCGTGAGCGTCTTGCAGCGCTGGATCTCCTTGCGCAGCTCTTCTGGGGTAGGGAAGATGAGGGCGGTGATGATGCCCAGCGCGCCGGCGTTGGAGACGGCCGAAGCGAGGTCGGCTGTGCCAACGTGCTGCATGCCGCCCTGGACAATGGGCACTGTGAGGCGGACGAGAGCGTGTCAGCGGTGAGCTGTCCTCTGCGACTGGGTGTTTTACCCGGGAAAAGGGGTGTGTGTGATGCGCGGCATAGTCACGCCTGCGGATATGATGTGTCGTGCATCTCTTCGCAGCCCTGTTCTCTTACGTACCTTTGATACCCAACCGCCGGGTCAGCTCAGTATCGAAGGGCATGTTGGGCAACCGGAACGCGTTCTCTCTCTATTCGATTCGATTTCAGACTGAACTGTTGTGTCACGCAAAGAACAGGTTCAGAGACGACGGCGAGGCGGCAGGGAAAAGAGACAACAGTGATCGAAAAGTGCTGGGAGGTCTAGATGGTGTAGAATGCAGGCTTTACACAATAAAAAGGGACAGAGCAGTGATTCTGACGGCAGTCTAGCTGACTCGGTCCGGCCGGTGAAAGGACGACACTGCTCAGCCCCCGATCGGTACCTCGAGACAGTGGAGACGTACCGAGGTAACTCGGCCTCCACCAAACTTCTCCCCCGCGTTTCCAGGCCATTTTTCGACTAAAGCGAACATGGGGAAGACCGCTGCGGCACTTCCTGTCCTCTCACATGGCCAGCCGCCGTCACCTTTCCGTCCACGGGGCTATTTCCGTATCCAGAAGGCTTCATCCCAGGCGCCGGCCAGTCTGGCTTTCTTCGCATTCTGACAGAGAACGCAGCACATAACTTCCCCATCCTCGACTTATTCAGTCATCCGGGAGGGTCGCACAGCAACTCTTCGCAGCCACCTGGCCAGATAGACGTACAGGCATAGCGCAGACACCATCTCGGTCTCTCTGGCTTCAGGCTTCAGGCTTCAGCCCTCCACGGCGCCCCCTGGCGTGTCATTTCTGACGTTGTGCTCCCATTCAAATTGGATCTCATCGGTCGGTTTCAAGGCTTCCGAGGGCTCGCATACCCAACCCCGAGTTCCTCGATCCCTTACTGCCCTTTGGCCAGCACGCAGACACCACCTACAGTCAATTGGATGTCTGTGGCCGATGTCGATAACGCCCCATCTCTCTCCCATCTGGCGGCTCTTTGAGGCTTCGGTGCCACGACGCCTAGGTAGGCTACGTGATGTGGATCCGACCTAGAGGAACGTCATCAGGCATTCGATAATGGCCTTCCACAACACGTTTTAATCACAGGAACGTTGTCCGACGTGGAGTACATGATGCAGGACAAGAAGCCCATGGCCGATGGCGGGTTGGACAACTGCTTGCCCTGAGTAGCAAGCCCAAGTGCAACCCTCGATGCAGCTGTATGCGGTCCGACATGTCCGTCGTACACGGAAGGCCTGCCACAGCGGAAGCGGAGATTATTTAACAGGATAGCCTCGGGTTGCCATCCGTTTGTCGACGGAACGACCAGCCACACATCAACCTTTCCCGGCTGGCAAACAATGCCAAGGACTATCGAGCTTAAAAACACACAATCTCATTAGCTCAAATCGTTCCTAGATAGGGTCGTTTCGTTTCGTTTCCACTGCACAGCTAGGAATGAGCCATGCTGCGGGTCTTGCTCGGCAGGGAAAGACTGTTCCTGTCTGATGCTGCGCTGTCGGGACTTCTCATTACCTTTCCCGCTGCATGCCGTCCTTCTTATTCTCAGGGCTCAGGTATCGTCTTGCCGACGAATCATTGTCAACGCTCGTCGTCGTCCGCTCGCTTAGTGCCGAATTATGTGACCAGAGGCCTCGATGAGGCATCCCTAGATCGGAAACATGGAGTTTCTTCATGACACGACTTCCCGACGCTTTCTGCTTGAACTTGGATGACCAACAGTTCAAGATGGCTCTGGCCAGTCCCATCTACCATTGGCCCAAACTTAATCTTTCCCCTGAAAGAGGTTGCTCATCCGAGCCGCCAGGCTTATTGCGCTGGATGACCACGTCGTATTCAAACTTTTGACGTGCAGATATCGGCCTGAACTACCTTGAACGATTCGAGACTCAAGGGCAGACCCTATTCTTGCTCTTGTGCTCCCTAGCCATGCGAGGGCGATCACTGACGAGGCCTTGCTTTCATGCGGCCATCCTAGCGGGCGATGACATGTGTGTAAGAGCAAGGAGACGATCCACGTGGACTCAAATGAGGGCCGATGGAGACGACCATCCGCCGCCAAATAGATGATGTGGCAAACACGGCCAAGGAATATGTTCTCCAGGGATTGACACGTAGGTCTACTACGAGGAAGTCTGCGCTTCGCGCAGCAATTTTGCTGCGAAACAATGTGACATCCTCCTTCCGTATGCCTTTTTCGAACTTTGATGATACATGGGCGGGAGACGTACATTTGACGCCGCCCCCCTGCATCCAAAACGGTTTAGCTGCCGGTGCTGCGTTGGCTGCGCCTCGCAGGGCAGCGAAGGATTGGGACGCAACCGAATGCTCCCGATAGATTGACTGATGCAGCCAGTTTGGGCCGTCGACCGAGTTGCACCATCTGTGAGGATTTCGTTTGGCAGCAACATGCTACCAGCCTCGACCATCGGTTGGTAATCGGTATTTGACTGGAGATGGAGTTGGCAAACAAGTCGGGAAGGCTCGGGTATGCGGACTCCACCGAGACTCGCAGAGCCGTTCATTTCTTGGTGTCATTGGAAAGGCTGGCCCCTTGCCATGCGAGGACAAGTCCCCTTGGGTCGCAATGCTGCACGTAGGTGGTGAGCAGGTGCGGGAGGCGGATGGGAAGAGCCGTTAGAAAAAAGAAATATCGCAGTAACCCTGGTTGGTGGTAGAAGAAGCTTCCTATAATTCCTACGAAGCGGTGGTGTTTGAACTGCACCACAGATTATGTCAGACGCGGCGAGCAAACTGGCTTGACGCACCTCTCTTGCGGGCTGCGACAAACACCCAGGTTGGCGGGACCAAATGGAGTCAAGAACGAGGGCTCGATTGGGGCTGACGGATTCTTGCTGACCGCTCATCATTGATTTCTAACCATGGGGAAGGACGGGAGCTATGGCGCTAGTACCGGTCAAGACGCACCCGGAGACTTGCCATAGCTTCGGCAAGGGATGATGTACCAGAGCTGGAGCAGAGATCAGTAGGTGTTATCGTCGTCAGATGGCTAGTCTCCAATCTCCAATGGACTTACACGGATGAGGCTCCCCTCCCTCCCGCACAGCGTCCATGCGCCGATACTGAAGCGACGTTCGGTCTCAGACGGGCTCGATAGGTTCACATCAGAGCGTTCATTGGAGAGAAAGAGAGAGGGAGAGGCAGACGCAGAGACAGAGGGAGAGGAAGAGGGAGGGGCGTGGCCAAAAAGGAGGCAGAAAGGGCTGCGGTAGGTCCGGGGGACGTTGGAACTGGTCCCGACGGGTTGGTCAAGGAAACAATTCAACTGGATGGACCCTGGTTTCGCCCGCACACCCTGCAAGTCGCGTCTGCACGCTGTCGAGCGCCGGAGCCCCTGGTCCTATTCCTGGTCCCGGTCACGGTCCCGCCAAGGGTGAACGCCGATCCACGGACAAACATTGGGGCGGTACCGATCTGCTTATCAGTTTGGAGCATTCTGGAGCATTCTGGAGCACGATGGAATGTTCGTCCGCCGTCGAATGTTTGCTGAGAAGTTTCCTCGTCAAGAGTTGACGGTGACACATGCGGAGGGAAACATAGTGAACAAAGTCCGAAGAGTTGCGCAGACAGTGGTGGATGTGAGGTCGCATTTAAGTGCAAGGCGGTGACGAAGCTGAGGTGTGAAGAAAAGGATTTTTTGTTGATTTTGAGTTCGAGGACGGGGGGTTGCGACCGGGACAGGGCAAGAAACTTGTGCCAGAGGAAGGAACCCTGGACCCTGCCATGGCTCCTGCGGCCTGCCCGATGTTCACCCAAGTCTTCCGGTACCTACGGTACCACTGGTGGCCTGGGGCTATCTCCTGAGGCCCGGGAGAGGAAGAAAACCTTGAAGTTCGTGGCTTGGTGATTCAATGAATACGATGCTCGCTGTTCGCTGCTCGCTCCCAACTCTTTTCTTCTTCATCCTTCTTCCTCCCCTTGCTGTGAAGGTTTCTGCGGATAGAATCCCAGCGCACAGTCGCTGCAAGCCGGAGCCAACCTCGCCTCTCGGCTGCCCAGATCTTCTCTGTCTGTTCCGCGCGCTCCCCTCCCCAAAGTCGTTCGGTCGTATCCTGGCGGGCACATGGAGCACCAGATGCTCCGTCATTCTTCTGTAATGACGGCCTCATTCTGTCAAAGGACCTGACCTACGAAGTACACGCTGAGCTACATTACACAACATGAGCTTCGCATCACCCGTCACCGTGTTGGACAAGACAACCCTGACGAATGTCTCGCGGGAAGGCTGGGCTGTTCTGCCGTTAGAGTAGCATCCCTTTCGACTGCCGTCTGAAGTGAAAAGAAAAGTTTAAAGACATGAAAGACGGTGAGGGCAGAATAACTCCACGGAAGGGCACCGGCATCTTCCCGTAGACTAAAACCAAACGAAACCATAAAACCGCCGGCAAAGCCTCGCTCTGTTGCGTGCGGATGCTAGTGTTGCTAGCTAACTGGGTCGCTGCGTAGTAAGGCATACAAACGATTTTCTCACTAACACTGCGCCTAGTGATGATTGTCTCCAACGTACTGTAGCTGCCCGGGTGGGGAGGAGTCTAGGAGAGGGTTTTGACTGAGAAGGAACTACTAACTCTGTGCTAAGGACGAAGATGGCAAAGGTAAGTTCGGAAAACGACCAGGGTTCGTAATTCTCAAGTTGCAATGTCTTGCTCCACTTTGGCCTTTCATTTTCCACTGCTCGACTCGGACTCACTCACTCACTCACTCACTCACCCCCAGTCTCCACGTCCCATCATTCTCATGCGGCCCTCTCAATCCCACTCTCACGCTCACTCACACTCTCACTCTCATGTTCTTATCTTTCGACATCCAGCATGCACGTACACCATACCTTGGGTACATACAGATGTGTGCAGGTCAACAAGCCCAGTTCCCCGGCTTCCCGGTTCCATCTTCCCCCTTCCTCTTGCTCCCTTCGTTTCGGGGAAGGATGACGGTTCCTAGACTCACAGGCTAAGACGCCAGGGACCCCTTCGGCTGGTGCTCTTCTCATTCCCCGATGCCACCAAGGGCGCCGCCCATGCCTCCACAGACCAACATGGACCACCTTAACCACCGCCACGACTGGTGACCCATTTGCCATCCATGTTCTCCAGCTGCG